CGCCCGGAAACATTCTTTGTTAGTTTCCTCTTCAACTAGTTTCATTTACTGAGACACACTGTGATTTTTAGAAAATCTTGCTGCAACTTCTTTGTAACTGAAGCACATTGTCAGTCAGCTCAGTCTCTTCCATTCCAGCCAACTGTCCCTTAATGGAGTGATTCAACTCAGTGAATAGGGCTCATACTTTGAAGAGACAATTGACTACCAGAGAGAGTGCCAAATTGATTTAACTTTGCACAAGTGTGAACGAATTTGTAAAAAGACACTGTCAGCTAATGTTGGCATAAGTTCCAGCTGTCTGAAAACTGCTCTAAATTGGTAAGTGTCCTATTTAAATAAATGTGAATATAATTTACAACACTTAGTTGCATATTTTTAAACATTTTTAATTTAAAACCTTTGGTTTTATCAATTTTTCTGATGAACTATTTCCCTATTGAAACTTTTAGATATATTTGACCTCTCAGTTGCTCTTGTGCAGATGTTGAAGGTAACAAATGGTGCTGGTCAGGCTGGGTAGATCTTGTGAAGGACCCTTTCGTTCCCTGCTTGATGCACTTCACTTTATCAGTTCTTACATAAATACAGTATAGAAAGGGTGCCATTTCCCCTTCATATTTGCATAGGGCCAACATTTCCTTCATTTTGTAGAACATTCCTGCTGGAAATATGCAGCTGGCAATCAAGGCTCTGTGGCATGAGGGGCAAATTGTATTAACTATGGGAAAGTTTCCAGTTTCCCCTCAAACAGTGCAAGTTACCACAGCTTGCAGGCTGTCATAACCAGAAAACTTTAAGGATGTTTTGCCTACGTTCCTTCTGTCTTAGAATGAAGGAGAGGAGAGAATTGGAAGGTGGTGGTGGTGATGGATAAAGCAAGCCTCAAATTTGTGCTTGAATTTAGTATTTATTTTGTGATGAATGTTCAGTGTGTATGACCCAAAGATCATCTTCAGGGGCACCAACAAAAAATACTCTAAACTGGATATTAAAATAACTGCAAAATAATGTATAACTTTGAAATTGGTTGACTATGATCATGATTTGTTTTAACATTCGTGTAACTTATATTTTTAAAACTAAGTACTTTTTAAAAGGTATGTTATCTTGGTTGCATTGGCCATTTTGACAAAGATAAAGATAAATCTAGAGTGCGACTAGAGAAACAAAGCAATACAATACTCGCATGGCACTGGGGTGTTGGAAGGTACTACCCATACACCTATGGAATGGCTACCATACCTACAGCAAAGAGTGAGGAATGTCCAGACTTGAAGTGTGAAGGGAGGCAGAGGCAAATGCTTTATAGTCACCCTGTGGTAGTGGTATACTGATGTTAGTGTGCTATGATTGGATGCTGATTGAAGAGCTATAGAACACAGTGTGTTTCCCCCTGTGCTACCCATGTTCTGGCCATGACTCCATCCTGTATTGGCTGTTTCGCTGGTAGAATGTTTCTTCATCATATATGGAGTGTTCTACCAGCAAACATTTCCACTAAATCCTATATTCTTCAGCTGGCAAATCTTCAATATAGGATTCCACCCTAAAATATTAAAAAAACAAGTCTCAAAAATACAGTAAAACTTGACCAAGGGAGAAAGGGTCGAACCAAAAAAAGAAAGTGTGGATAAATAGGGAGCCCAGGAGGTGAGACTATTAGAAGAATGGATCTTTTTTTCTTCTCGCTCTGTTTCTTCCCCTATTCTTATTCCTTGCAAGTGCTTGCTTATTTTACTGTAATACTAACCTTGAGTATCAATCTTTTAAGCAGTTCATATATATCTGAATTTGTTTTTTTATGAATGCTGTGCTATACCTTGAAAGAAAACTATAAAAGCAGAACCCTGGTTGCAATACAGTGCAACCAGACATAAACATCTGAGGCTACAGGTTTGTACTCATAGTCTTCATTCAATTTGATGAAACTGGCTTCTAAGAAAGTACATACAAGGTCAAAGTATATATTCCATTCATTTTCAGTAACAGCATTTACTTTCTTACCACAACTGAAATAAGTATGGTTCAGAGTAGAGTGATCCTGTGGGCCCTGTGCAGCATCTAGAAGACTATAGGTTCATTTGGATGTTGAAAATAATTATCCTATAGTCACTATATAGCATCCAGAAGGTCATAGGAACTTTTGGATTCCTGGGTCAAAGGTTAAGAAAAAGCTCCCGCCTTGGTCTAGGGATATGAAATTGGATCCCTCTCCCACCCCTTGGAGCTCATGAAGACGAACTTCACTGGTTGCATCTGTAAGTTCATAAGACCATTCTGGGAGCCTGGGAGCAGAAGAGGCTAGATCCACCAGGCTACAATATATTCTAGGAGTGCCCCAGCCTCCTTCAATTCTTATCCAAAGAGCTTCAGCTTGACAGCTGAAATGGGCTGTCTAGCTTATGTAGGGTGGGAAGAGTCTTTGCTCCTTTGGTGCAATTACCTCCTTTGCTGCTTTGGCCTTGCATAGTACTTAGAATCCTGCAAGTTCTGAGGATTATATGCAGCCCCACTGGATTGCACCCTTATTGACTTTATTATTACCCTACATTTTGTAAAGTGTTACTGTATACATTTTTAAAGATACTGAAGGATTCCAAAAAGTGCTAATGCCTGTGAATGGGAAATATAAAATGTGTAAAGTGGTGAGGGCAGACTGTTTCCCATTTTAAAAGCCTTGGAAAGATGTCTTTAATTTAAACTGTCTTTTAAATTATAATTAGGAACTCTTAGGATCTGTATTTTCCTAGCAAAGATTGCTTTTAAACATATATATTTAGAAAAAAGTTTAGAGTTTTTTACATAGCATCCAGTTATATCACCTCCTGATATTTGAAGACATTCAGCTTTGTGTTGATATTGCACCTGTTGTCTAATTCAGCATTACATGTAACTCTGCCATTTTTCCCACTGAATGAATAGGAGTATTAGCTGTTTATATATGCCTAATATAACTGGATACACCATGTTAACTGTCTATTCAAAACATTGAAACAAAGGTAGAAATAGAAACTTAGTGCGATATTCAAACAGAAACAGACATTAAATCCTAAAGCACCTCCATAGCTGACAGATCTTTAGAATAGCACCTTAAGTATTGCCAATTTATATACTCCCTCCCTCCCTTTCTCTCTCTCTCTCTCTCTCTCTCACTCACACACACACATGCACTGCATAATAATAGACTGTCAAGAGACCAGCTAATACTAATGCTATTATAGCTTAGTAGATTGGAGATAACCCTTCTCTCCCAATAAAAGGAAGCACTCCTATTCCATTCGGAAATAAGAATAGTTGATGACCAGGAGCCATTTATAATAATTATAAATGGCATTATATTATATGAATTGCATGTAAAATGTTTAGTACTTTGTTGGAAATAAGCATCCATATATGCCCGGCCGCCCCTTGAGATCAGTGGGAGAGGCCCTTCTCCGGGAACCCTCCATGAAAGAAATTAGGAGGGTGGGTACTCGGAGGAGGGCTTTCTCTGCGGTGGCGCCTAAGTTATGGAATGCGCTCCCCAGAGAGGTCCGCCTCGCGCCGTCGTTATTTGTTTTTCGGCGCCAGGCGAAGACCTTTTTATTTAAGCGGCATTTTAATTGTTTATATTATTGGATTTTATCTGGCCAGGGCGGCTTATTTTATATTGGTATTTTTGTATTTTTAACTTACTGTTTATATTTTTTAATTTAATGTTATAATTATTTTTTAACTTGTTGTTGTAAGCCGCCCCGAGGCTTCGGCGAATGGGGCGGCATAAAAATGCTTTAATAAATAAATAAATAAATAAATAAATAAATAAATAAATAGAAGCTAAAGATATTGTTTTTTTTATTTTTATGTGATTTCAATTCATTTTACTTTCATATATAAAACAATCCATTACAGCAATGTATTGGTTCCTGTATTTAGAGGTTTTGAGAGCACAGCATTTTTTCTTTCTTTTTAATTTTTTTTTATTTTCTTAAGATAAACAAGTAGAAAAGAATATAAAACAAAACTATAACGAACAAAACAGCTAAAAAAAGCAAGCTAGACAAAGCAAGCTAAAATAGGCAAGGTTGCCAAGGGAATTCTATATAGAGCCAACAGTGTTTTAAGTAGTGTGGCTTTTAATAGAAATTGATTTTATTGTAAACAGATATATACTAGACACTACTGTTTTATACCATTATCTATAGATAAGCTCAGTTCTGTATATCTGGTAGATACAGAACTCTCTCTGCTTAAAACAGTCATGGCTTAATTAGGGTTAACAACATAGAGTAGGAAAGAACTATGGGATTTCTGCAGTTCGATCATGAGCACTTATTCCCCCTTTGCTGCAAAATTTTCAAGTAGGAACTGGCATTGTATACCATCACAAATATTTGACTGAGAGTAAAGCTCAAAGAGAATGTTAATGAAAATTCCCTAATTTTGATGCAATAAAATAAACACTTAAACTTCTGTGTTCCTTATAGTATACTTTTTAACTTTAAAAGGCTGAGGCTGTGATTGTTTGAACTTTGAGTTGGTGAAAGTCGTATCCCTGTGGCTTGAAGACCAGCCAGGCCATTTTAAGCATTGAAAGGCATTTAGTGTAATAAGTGCCTGGAATATCACCAATGAAAATTTTAGCACAATAGTAGATTTCCTAATTCATTCAATACACAATTCTATATGCATCTACTAGAAGCAATGAATACTGTGGAACTTACCCCCAGGTAAGTTTGTAAAGCAGGGCTGGGGATTCCGCCCCTACCTAACCTATAGTGTTGGACATCTAACATACTCAATAATCATGGCTGATGAGGGTTGTAGTTGAATAACATCTGAAGAGCCTACATGTATCCCCAACTGGCATGTAGGTTTTCAGTCTCATTTTTTAGAAACTGCATGTACCTGACTCCAAAGCATTTAGATTTCCACTTGAGCCAAATACTGACTTGTTGGATTAAGAAATAATATTTAAATATTGACAAATCACATTGATACTATCTTTTTCTCTACAGAAGAGACCATGGGGTGCATTAAAAGTAAGGAAGATAAAAGTCCTGCCATGAACTATAGAACTGAGAATACTCCAGAGCCCATTACTTCCCATGTCAGCCATTATGGATCAGATTCTACCCAAGCAAACCAGTCACCTGCAATAAAGGGATCATCAGTTAATTTTAACAGCCATTCCATGACTCCTTTTGGTGGCCCATCTGGTATGACACCTTTTGGAGGAGCTTCTTCCTCTTTTTCATCTGTGCCATGTCCATATCCTAGTGGATTAACAGGTGAGCATCATTTCAAAAATAATACTGCATACCAACAGATTCCTTTGGGAGTGAACTTGACAATGCTAAAAGGTAACACTGGAGATAGATAGTGTGTGTGTGTATATATAGGTCTGTCCTGCCATGGTCTCTAGTTAAAATAGTAATGTAAGATTCTGCAAAAATTCAAGCAATACCCTCAGATTTAAAATAATTCTATCAATGAAATCAGCATTTCTATGAACAGACATGTGGTATCAGTTTAACAGGTGAACATAATTTCCAAACAAATGCGATTTAATTATATTTCAAGTACAAGTTAATAATTATGAAGCACAGCAAGTTATTGGAAGCATACCTTAAAACTAAAATATATAATTTGTCTTTTCAGAGGCAATTTAAGAGAGGGCTGACCTGGCTTGTATCACAGAGACCTGGGCGGGTGAGGGGGGGGGATGTCGCCCGCTCACAACTGTGCCCGCCCGGGTACCTGGTCCAGCACCGACCATGCCTGGAGGGGAGGGGAAGAGGGGTCGCTCTGGTTTATCAAGCTTCTATTTCCCTTGTGGGGCTTCCTGTTCTCTTGAGGCCGGGGCTGGAGTGCCTCCACTTGGTGTTGGGTGACTGAGACAGATTGGGGATTCTGTTGGTGTACTGTGCACCCTTCTGCCCAACAGACTCCCTGCCTGAGCTGACGGAGATCGTCTCAGACCTGGTGTTGAAGACTCCCAGGATGTTGGTCCTGGGGGACTTCAATCTCCATGCCGAGATGGTTCTAACCGGGGCGGCTCAGGACTTCATAGCCTCCATGGCAGCCATGGGGCTGTCTCAACGCTTCAGTGGCCCGACCCATGAATGTGGACACACTCTGGACCTGGTTTTCTTGACGGGGCAGGAAGAGGGTGATCTGAGGGTGAGGAATTTAAGTTTGACGCCCTTGTCATGGTCAGATCACTTCCTCATAAGGTTTGAGCTCGAGAATGGCCTTTCCCTCTGTAAGGGTGCGGACCAGATTGTATTCCTGAAAGCTCGGGGATTTTCCGGTTGACAAGGCTGGTGATCCTGTCTGTGCCCTGGTTGAATTGTGGAATGGGGAGATGACCAGGGCTATTGACACGATCACTCCCAAGCGTCCTCTCCCACCTGGCAGAGCCCATTCATCTCCTTGGTATACACCTGAATTACGGGCAATGAAACAGGTTGGGAGACGTCTAGAGCGTAGGTGGAGGAGATCACGGGGTGAATCTGACCGAACACACTTAGAGCCCATTATTGAGCCTATGCTGTGGTGGTGAGGACGGCGAAGAAGAAATTCTTCTCCGCTTCCATTGCCTCCTCAGAATGCCGTCCGGCAGAGCTCCTTCGGGTGGTGCAAGGGCTGATACATCCGGGCCCAAAGAAAGATCTCGTACCACCCTCAAAGGCCTGCTGTGATGACTTTGCCAGGCATTTCAGGGAGAAAATCGCTCAGATTTGTCACGAGCTTGACTCTACTGTTGAACCAGATTCTACTGAGGAGATGCCAATGACGCCGTCGAGTCCACAATTAATGGATGAATTTCAGTTGTTGCAGCCTGATGATGTGGACAAGGTGCTTGGACAAGTACGCCCTACCACATGCTTACTAGACCCATGCCCATCTTGGCTACTTAAGAAAGCCAAGGACGGGATTGGGACCTGGATCCTGGAGGTGGTCAACGCCTCTTTAAGAGACGGTCGGGTACCGTCCTCTTTAAAAGAGGCGGTAGTCCGGCCAGTCCTAAAGAAGGCACCCCTGGATCCAGAGGTGGCCGCCAATTATAGACCGGTGACCAACATCCCGTTCCTGGGCAAGGTGCTAGAGCAGGTGGTGGCGGGACAACTCCAAGCATTCTTGGATGAAACTCATTATCTGGACCCATTTCAGTCTGGCTTCAGACCCGGGTACGGCACTGAATCCGCCTTGGTCACCCTGTACGATGACCTGTGCAGGAAGAGAGATGGGGAGTGCGTCCCTGTTAGTTCTCTTGGACCTCTCAGCAGCTTTCGATACTATTGACCATGGTATCCTTCTGAATAGGCTAGTGGGATTGGGAGTTGGAGGCACTGCGTGACGGTGGTTCCGCTCCTATCTCAACAGCCGATTTCAGAAGGTGGTGCTGGGGGACTATGGCTCTGCACCGCGGCAGTTATGCCATGGAGTTCCGCAGGGGTCCATTTTGTCCCCCTTGCTGTTCAACATCTACATGAAACCGCTGGGAGAGGTCATCAGGAGGTGTGGGCTGCAGAATCATCACTACGCTGATGATACCCAGCTCTACCTCTCGTTTTCCACCAATCCAGGTGAGGCAGTGGCTGTGCTGAACCGGTGCCTGGCTGAGGTAATGGGCTGGATGAGGGCCAATAAACTGAAGCTCAATCCAGACAAGACGGAGGTCCTGTTGGTGGGTGGTTTGGGCCTCGGGATGGGGGACTTGGGCCTTGTCCTAAATGGGGTTGCACTCCCTCTAAGGGACAGGGTTTGCAGCTTAGGAGTGCTCCTCGACCCTGAGCTGTCTTTAGAAGCTCAGGTGATGGCGGTGGCGAGGAGCGCTTTCCTTCAGCTTCGGCTGATCCATCAGCTGCGTCCCTTCCTGGAGAACGACTGCCTGGTGACAGTGACACATGCGTTGGTAACTTCCTGATTAGATTTCTGCAATGCGCTGTACGTGGGGCTACCCTTGAAGATGGTCCGGATACTTCAATTGGTGCAGACTACAGCTGCCAGGCTGCTGACGGGGACTGGGTGTTATTCTCATATAACCCCAGTTCTCTGTCAGCTCCACTCGCTCCCAATTGAAGTCCGGGCCCAATTCAAGGTGTTGGTGATGACCTATAAGGCCCTTAACGGCTTAGGTCCTGGTTACCTGAAGGAGTGCTTGCGTCCATATACGCCCTCCCACCCCTTGAGATCAGCAACAGATGCCCTTCTCCAGGAACCCTCCGTGAATGATATTAGGAGGGTAAGTACCCAGAGGAGGGCTTTCTCTGCGGTGGCGCCCCATCTATGGAATGCGCTCCCCAGAGAGGTTCCCCTGGCACCGTCGTTATTTGTTTTTCGGCGCCAGGCTAAGACATTTTTATTTAAAACTTATTTTAATTGTTAATTTATTGGTTATTTATAGGATTTTAAATCTTTTAAGCCGAGATGCACTGGGTTTTCATATTTTTATTGTTTAATTTGTTATATTGGTATATTTTGTTCTTGTTGTGAGCCGCCCCGAGGCTTTGTTGCGATGGGGGCGGCATAAAAATGTTATAAATAAATAAATAAATTTATTGATAACTATTTCTGCAAAATTCATAGTTGTTCCATAGTATTCTGACTTGAGCTAGAGATGGGTGTTTGAGAATTATATAACAAAGTTCTAAAAAGTGATTCTGTAGCTCCTAGACTACATAGGATTTGATGCCATGCAGAAGGATTCACTTCACTACATGAAACAAATTTAATTGCATAGTTACCACTTGATATACATAAGGTACTCAGCATTGTAAAGGCACAAAATATTTTTATTGTAAAAAGTTAAGTAAACAAAAACAAACTGCACATGTTGGTTGCATAAGCATTCACTCCTTTTGTTGTGACTTCCTGATTAAGCTCTTGTGCTTCCAAAAGCTCAAAAGCTCTGTTTCCAGAAGTCACATACTCTAAGTAGTTAAGTAGAGACTCTTGTGGACAATTTTCATGCTAAATTATCTCACTTTAAATACACCTTTGTCTGGAAAGTCCCAGAATTTGTTGGAGAGAGTTATCTGAACAAACAGCACCATAAAGATCACACAGAAATCAAAACAAGTCTAGGATAAAGTTGTGCAGAAGTACCAATGAGTGTTGGGTTCTAAAAAACCCCATGATTCTGCCTAGAGCAGGTCAGCCATCAAAATCCATTCACTGGGTAAGGAGGGTGTCAGAGAAGCCACCACTGGCATCTTTGAAAAAACTGGAGAGATCCACAGCTGAGATGGGAGAAATCACCCATGGTACAGCTATTGCCTTTACTTTCCACAAAGCTGGGCTTTATAGAAAGGTGATGAGAAAGCCATTGCTGAAACAAACCCTTATCAAAGCCTGTTTGGAGTTTCCAAAAAGACATGTGGTGACACAACTAACATGAGAAAAAGCTTCCCGATTTGATGAGACCAAAATGGAACATCCTGGCCTTGCTGCAAAATGTTATGTGTGGCACAAAGCAAAGAGTGTTCATTGACCTGAGAACACCATCCCCAGGATGAAGCATGGTGGTGACAGCATCATGTTGTGGGATGTTTTTCCTTGGCAGAGACTGAGAAACTGGTCAGGATGAGGACATGATAGATGCAGCCAAATACAGGACAATTCTAGAGAAAACCCTGTTTCCATCTGCCAGAGACCTGAGACTAGGGCAGTTTTACTTTCGAGCAGGACAGACACACAGCCAAAGCAGCAGTTTCAGAAGAAAAACCTGAATGTCTCAAAATAGCCCAGGAAATAACTTAATTCAATTCTGAATATGTGGCAAGACTTCAAATTAGCTCTCATCAAAACACACAATCCAGTCTGACAAAGCTGGAGCAGTTTTGTAAGGACAAACAGTGCCCCATCCAGATGTGCAAAGCTGGTAGAGATTTAACCAAGAAGACTTCCAGTTGCAATTGCTGCCAGAGATGCTTCTAACAAATATAGATCGAGGGTAACTATTTACACAATCAACAAGTGTCAGTTTGTGTTTACTGTGTTTTGTGCCACAGTAAGAATATTTTATACCTTCACAGAGTTGAATATCTTGTGTAGATCAATGGTAACAAAGAAAAATAAATACATTTTAATTCCAGGTTGTTAACGCCACAAAATGTGGAAAAGTCAAAATGCAATGAATACTTCTGTAAGGTACTGTGCTTCATATTCCCAGTTCCAAGGCTGGAAACAGCACGGTTACCTTGGAGCTGGGGATCCACTCTCTGATCCCCTTTCCCCATTGAGCATGGAAAGAACTGCATTAGCTGCTACTTCACAGTCAGGAAATCAACTTTAGAGAGGAGGTAAAGGGGTAGTTAAGGGTCAGGCAGGGAAGAAGGGGGACACCAGGATATGATGTATCCTGATGGCACTCCAGCCTCTTTTATTTTCCTTTCAGGGCACCATGAGCCATCTAGCTGAAGTGTAGAGCAGGAGACAGAGGAAGGCAGATGTTGCTTCCACCAGTCCCCCTGCTCTGCACAGTCTTGGAGGCATATGAGCATCCAGGGCACAGTTAATAGGACTGTGCCATTAGTGTCTTAGGGAAAAAAGGACTTGAGCTGACTTAAGAAATCCAGTTAAGACCCCTCTATTTCTATGGCTGCGTAAAAACAGTGATTTTTCCAATAAACTAAAGCTATTAAGAAGATCAGTGAAATTGGCTAAAACTAAAATATTCTAAAACTGAATATATTTTAGTCTAGAATAGGTGCACCTATTCATTTTTTTTTCTATGCCTTTCTGGTCTTCAGAAATGGCACATTTACTGTAGCAGCTTAGAATATGCATTTGTACTTGTATAACACAAGCTTGATGTGATAATAATTTTACAAATTTTATTCCAGCCATATTTTTTTCTAAATAAAAAATCTTCAAAGCTTCTCCTTGCCTAACTGCGACAAGTCTGTTAACTGCATATGCATTATGTCTGAACAGCTGTGTTACAGAGTTGTGCTATCATAGCAGTAAACAGAAGTCACTCTATAGAAAGTATTATCTGCACACAGTGTATTTAGGAAAAAGACATACAACCTTTCCAGGATTTTCCCTGTTAAAACCCTTAGGTCTATTCTAAAAAGTGCTTTCTTTTAAGAAGAATTGGAATTGGATATCTAAGAACTGTTTGGCTGCCAGTACATGACCACAGCTATAAAAATTTTAAACTAAAATAAACCAAGAAAATCAAGGAAGTCCAAGGATGTTGCTTTTAGAGAAGGTGGGAGGTTGTTTGTTTTTTTATTGGCAGAGTTCACAGGCTGCATTTTCAATTGAGCTGATATTTGCTTCTTGCTGAAATGGGATACATGCATAATGCTAGTTTGAGCTTCATGAAATAAACAGCAGTAGAGTTTTAAATAAAGCATTTGATTTCTGTAGTATCTGCAGTTTTAAATGATGTATGTTTGCAAAATATTATGCCAAAGCAGTGAATTCAGGGAGAGACTACATAGATCCATCTGTCAAAAAACCCAATTAAATTGTAAGTTAAAATCCATTTTATCAAAAACAACACTCTTGATTTTTTTTTTCTTTTCGGCTTGTCACCTTTTACTGAAAGTTAGAATTCACAGTGGGAGACCAAGTTCAGATGACACACCATTGTTTGTTATTTAACCCATGATGGGTTGCAGTTCCTTTATTGGCAGGATATATATGTAATCTCCATGGAAGAGATTCTTCCATTCATTTCTGTGAACTTGGTAAGTGTGAGTTCTGAGAAATTAAGCAGACAAACTAAAACAGACTTTGGATTTTCTGAGGGTTGTTTAACCCATGCATAACCCACACTCTCTGAATTTACATGACATAACCCTGGAGCAGGGGTTACACATTCAGAATAGTGGCCACATGCACCACAGCCTCACTGTTGATTAAATAATCCATGGTGAGTATCATGCCATGCGAACAACTCCTGCATTTAGTTCTGACATCTGACAGACGACAGTAGGGAAACTTAACATAATTTTTCTGAAGACTGCAGATACTGTGATACTCTAATACAAACAATAAGACCCACTGCAATTTAGAAATGGGAATCTTAATTTGAGAATTCCATTTCTAGACTTTCTTTGTTTTCAAAAGGTTCTGTCAGCATTCTTAATATAAAATTTCCTTAATGAATACATTAGTAAGTTTGAAAATACTAATACATGAGTGATATAATTCATTTTGCAGTGCTGTGCTGTTTAGTGAAGTTAATTACTGTTTGGAAAAACAAAACAAAAAACATCCCTAGTAACAAAGGGAATGATGCAGCTTTGTCGTATGCAATATTTTCTTCATGAAAATATGGTTTATGCAGTTTTGCAAATGATACAGAATTAACTGTGTGATATGTCTATCTATGAGGCAGGCAGCCAGTATACCAGAACTATCAAAATACTAGTCAAAGACATATGCTTATCCAGCAGCAGAATCAGCAGCGCAATGATTGACATGAATTCAAAATTAGCCTACCTACACTGACAACCACGCACCCACATACAACATCTCTAGAAACTGCCACCCGCCAGTCGAACAGTGAACACTAATAATTTTCTCTATATTAGCTATGCCTTGCAGGTACCAGTAACACATGGCAGCAATTGAATGATCTCACAATATCACCTACTCAAGTATACACATAGCCTTCTCACAGTCAGACATAAGAAACTACATATCTCATTTTCTTGCACAACACTGCACAAGCCACAATAACTCTTCAGGTTGAAGGCCTGTATGGAGAACCTAAAAGTAACCCAGAAGAAGGGTCTTCCTGATGTGGAAACAGTAGCTTTGTATGTTCCATAACACTATACATGAGGTAGAATGAAAGCTAGAATAGCAAGCTGTATATTATTCAGTAGTCTGGTTGGAAAGGACAATTTGAGAAAAAAAATAGATGATGAATACAGTCTTCCTTTTTGAGGGTGTTCTTGGGAACATTGACCTCAGGTGGTAAACATAAGGACCTAAGCACTCTACAGAGCAACACTCAACATAGCCACAGGAACAGATGGACAAAAGATCCATGATAGATCCTTGCCAGTCTCTCAGGTGCCAAGTCCATGAAATGCCCCCTTTATTCATTTTCCCTGTTTCATTCAGGGGAAGACCCATGTGGAACAAAATATCATAGTGGAAAAACAAGCTTAGAGGTCCCCTGCCCAGAGAGAAAAGGTGTGGGAGGAAAAAGACAAAAAGCTCAGTGAGACACGAAATGAGAGGGACTGGTGCATGGACCTGTTCATGCCCCAATATACTTTTTATTCCATCCAGATACCACCTTCTCATCCAGATACAGACCTTCCATGTTCATTAGGATAACTGGCAGTATCTACTTATTACCACTTGACACTTTGCAGTCAGTCTGCCAGCTTTACATTTACTGATAACTAATCAGAGTAACAGTAGTCAAAGTAAGGAGGACATTGATTTTTTGGAATCACCACCTTCGCTCTTGCTCATGAAGGGTTTTTTAAAGCTACTTGACCAAAAGATAGCAGGTACACCATTCTTGTTTACTGTATATTCATGCTTGTTACTGCAGTTCTATTACATTGTTCCTGCTATATTTCTGTATGCCATGTGTTCTAGAAAAAAAAAAGAATCTCTGAGTACTGACCTTGGATGCATATGTGGAGACATGGAAAGCATGGAGGCTAATACTGAGCAGCTACAGCAACCAATAGTTCAAAATTAAATGTGCTTGTTCATTTAATTAATGTATTTGAATTGAATTGTATACCACCCCAATATTCAGAGATGTCTGGGTGGTTCTCAAAACAATATCCCATTGGATATCAGGTTTCAAAGGGTACTATAACCTTCATGTTCTTTCATTCCATATTCCTTGGGCTAATTCACAACCCTGCAATTGGCAGCTTCTGTTTGTCTGTTTTCCCCTAACAGGTGAAGTTGCAATGAGGCCTCTGTCATACGTTACACAAAATGAGGGGTTTTGGAATTCTGCAAGAATCAGTATGGTCGTTGTTCCTTCCTTGAAACAACTGAAGGGCATTTGAGGGTCTGAACATGCATTGTAAACCCACAGCTAGGACACTTGTCTAGTAGTCCTGCCTTGCAGATTAATGTTGACTAGTGCTTTTAGACAAACAATGTAGTCACAACCCATTGTATTCTCTTGTCTTTATTGCAAAAAAAAGAAAGAAAGATCTTGGAAACTATAGCAGTATATATTTAGCATCAGAGAAGGAGAAGCAAACATCCCAACTACTCCTTCCATTTAATAGCAGCATCTAGCTTACCTTCAGAATGAAATTGGGAAAATAGTTTATGTGTTCTCTCTCTCTCTCTCTCTCTCTCTCTCTCTCTCTCTCTCTCTCTCTCTATATATATATATATATATATATATATATATATATATATATGGTTTATATCTATTTGGCACATTGAGCAAAAGGCATGATTGGCATATTTTTGCTTTTCCTAAGGTGGTGTTACTATTTTTGTGGCCTTATATGATTATGAAGCTAGAACTACAGATGACCTGTCATTCAAGAAGGGTGAACGGTTCCAGATAATCAATAATACGCAAGTATTCTTATCTATCTATGGGCCTGTTCAGATTAAACTTTTTGTATACTCTCAGCTGACCAATGGCTGCTGATTACAAAAAGTGATAAGTTCCTGTAGGCAGAGCAAGTGGTAGGAAACTCCTACATGCAGAGGGATTAGAAAGGATACAAAAGGAAACTGAACAGCATGTTTTTAGGAGTAGTAAGAATGTACAGCAAGATACTTCTGTTACTTTTGTAACTTTATTTAAAAAATTCGTATCCCATCTTTTACAATGTCTCAGCAACTTTCTTGTTAAATGTGTATATGTTTGCCATGTTAGAACCTGCAGTATTTCCAAGAGTCATTTTAGTATCATAAAGAATTCAGAATCTTCTAACAATGAAACTATTTTTTTGCATTCTGAAGATGATTATCTTTCATCCTGAATTAAGAAAAAGATCTTTTCCGTAATGCTAATGTTTAATTTCCATTCTTTTTGGAATGAGGACAACCATGTCGTTTGCATAGGACTTCTTAGAGGACTAGAGCCTTTCATGGTCTGCTTTCTTGAGCTACCTTCTCATTCTTTTGATCAAATATTTACCAGAGGAAAGATAGATCTTTCTCTTTCCACTAGATAACATTATCCCTAAATGTGGATAGGGGAGACTATGTGTCATTTCCTAAATTTAAATGGAACCTTATTAGTTAAACTGGGCCTGAAAAGAAGTTTCTGTTCGAACTTCATCTACATTGAGTGCAACTTATCTTTTCCTCCCTCAGGGAAGGTGATTGGTGGGAAGCCAGATCTATTGCAACAGGGAAAAGTGGCTACATTCCTAGCAATTATGTTGCTCCTGCAGACTCCATTCAAGCCGAAGAGTAAGGCATTATTGTGTCTTTGATCAGTCATTTCACCCATAATTTTTAAACAGAATTATAGACTGAAGTAAGACAACTCCAGTTTAAGTGCTTATATGGACAGAATGAAGTTAATCTAACAGAAGAAGGTTGTCTTTTAAAGTTCCAAGTGCTGCAGCTATTGCAACTGACGTCACTGAATTGCATTTAGATCTAAAAGCGTAACTCTAGGAAAAGTGATGCGGAATTGCATGTTTCCTAGCTCAGAAATGTGAATGTTGGTGGTTTGTATGCAGGTCAAATATTATAGTCCCCAAATTTTTCTTTGGCTCAGATTTGGAAAAAAGATTTTCCATCAGTCTTTGTGCCTTGCATGGAGCAATTACCATCTATTATGTGCTAGAGGGGGGAAAAGACTTCCTTCATCTATTGCTGGAGCAGCAAATAAAAAGAGAAGGAGGACTGGAGATAAGTAAATGAGTGAGAGGTATTAAAGGGTGCCCAGTTCCAATCCAAGTGTCATCAGCAATATGATGAGGTACTGGTTAGTTCACAATTGGGCTGCAGTAATCCAAATTATTTTCTGAGTTTGGGGCAAAATAGTTTGATTCTCTGAATTCATTTCCAAGTCTGACTAGGGGAATTCGCTACAATCACCCTTTCTGAGTATCTGACACTCAGGTTTGCATGCACTTTCTGAATAAACAGTTAACACATGGCAGCAACTCTTTATATGTTAGGATGTAGTGTAGCATCACTGACATCACCTGCTTTAGTACTTTCAACTTAATAGCATGTTGTTGGGTAGAAATGCACTGAGATTAACTGGCATTATGCTCTTGAAAAGCAGATACATTCTGTGTCTCTATTAATAACTTTAATATTCACATCATCTATGTTGCCTCAGAGTATGGGAGGAAGGAGCCAACTCTGACTTCTTGGTTCCCATAGCAGCTATTGGAACAGTGAGGTGCTACTACACAGTTTGAAGATTCAGTATAGATGGAGTGCCATTTATTGGCTATTATGTGAGCCAAACCCAAGGAAGAGGATTCAGAAGCACACTACATTCATTCATTTCTGGGAAATGTATAGACATGGATCAAAGGAGGAGGAGGAAAGGTTCTTGTGATCTAGGTGCTGCCCTGAATAGTAAGCTTGTTTTTCCTTCCAAGTCAGATACAAAGGTATCTGGGGACTGCCTTCCATTGAGCTTGTTTGTAGTTTGCACACATTTTTACCAAGCAGTGCAGTGAATTTGAATCTGCTGGGCTCTGTGTGTAGAAGATGACATAACATTTCTGAACTACATTACTGTACAGCAATAACCCTGATGCTGTGAGGAAGACTGACAGAAATCTAAATTGCAATGTTTGCATTGCTTAGCAAGTTGTTAGTTTTAACAGCACCTTTTGAACTTCTATAGTTACTAAGGACAACAAGGTCATAGAACACAGCTAGTTAGTTGTACTTCCATCTGAATTGTTCTGAAGTATTACTTATATATTATGAAAGTAACCTTCCATTAATTCCTGTGGGTGGAACAGAATGATAATGGCTGCTGACTCATAGAGAAAAAAGTTGTTTGACATAGATGCTGCCAGTATTTATTTATCATGCAGTGTTTGTTACCATGACCCTTACTTTTGTAATCTAAATTTTGGATCAAAGCAATGTCTTTTCTGTATTGGTGCATTTGTTGAAATCCTGTAAATGGCAATCCACAAACTTTTCCTTAGAAGACCAGCCAGCCAATATTTGTGTTGTTACAACTACCTCCTGCTCCCTTGAGTCCTCTGACATGCACATAAAGCTTAGGAAGATGTAAGCATATCCTCTAATGCTGCTAGTGAAGTTCTCCTGATTCAGGCTTTGTTATCATCGTTGGTAGCTGTAGAACCCTGCCTCAATTGAAAGATGAGCTTTAAAATCAAACCTTGAAAAGAACCTAAGCTTCGCCTCTGCTGCCTCCATCCCCCAAATATGTCCCTTTCCCAGTCATCTGTGGAAAAAGAGTATTGGGGCAATTATGGGAGGGGAACATCAGGGAGACAAGAGAGGAAGAAAGGGAGATATACCGATCCTCCCCTTTCCCTCTGCAACTGCTGCTCCCTCCATTTCCAGGCAAATGAAACTGAAGGGAATAGTGCTGTGTAGGTAAACTGGCAGGGAACTTTTTCGAAGGCAAAAAGTTTTATCAATTTGTTTCATGCTATCATGGATTATTTCTAAATTAATCTCAGAATAATACTGGAAATCTTAACCATTTCTAGGTTTTCCCCCTTTGCATCTAGGTTCTGGAAAGCTATAACCAGTAGAAGAGACTTTTCCTTCCCTTCTACCTAACCCACTACTAATGAGAAAAAATCATGTCTACAGCATTTTATATATAAACATTCAGCTGTGTAAATTCTTAATTTTTTGCTTGTTTAAAAGATTCCTTTTGGCAGTCAGAAACATTTCAAATAGGATACAATATATATTTCACATATTATTATGTAAATAGGTTTATATGTCCATGTAGATTGTGCTCATTGGCTTAACTTTTGAAAATTCAATAAAGCTACAATGGAACAATGTTAAAATTATTTTTGAACATAAAACGGTAGGGCAACAACAAAATAACATGATGTTCCAGTGCAAAAGCTGCTAGAAATCACCTGTGATTGCTCTAATCCTGTAGAATTTTTGTCTTTCTTTCAAAAGTCAACACCAAAAGCAGTCCTGCTTTTGAACTTTCCATTGATATAAAAATAGTTTGCCATGGAATTTGAGGTGGGGAAGAGAACTGAAGTTCAGGAAGAAAGAAAGACTAGACTGCCGCTGGCACAGTGCAGTAACCTACATTGTTCTTTGATCAGAATGTACAAAAAAATGAACTTTGGCTTCCGTTCAGATAGAAAAGATTCCAGGTTTATTTTAAAGGTATAGAGATTGAGCAGGATCTGTACAGAAGACCCTGATCATAGTGAAAGTCTTATTAGAGCACGGTTATGATGCAATTGGCTGCTTTTTAATATATATAATCTTTTCACTGCTGTGTTAGGCAGAACATGGCCGCCGTACATTTGAACATATTTTATTTAATTCTTTAGATGGTATTTTGGAAAGATGGGAAGGAAAGATGCAGAGAGGTTGCTTTTAAATCCTGGGAACCAACGTGGTATTTTCTTAGTCCGAGAAAGTGAAACCACAAAAGGTATCTGACTTCTATTTTTTTATGTCTTAGGGCAAAAGGTAGTTAGTTTATCTATAAATATATTGGCAAAATCAATTTTAACCTATATATTTTTTCTAGGTGCTTATTCCCTCTCTATACGTGACTGGGATGAGGTTAGAGGTGATAATGTGAAACACTACAAAATCAGAAAACTTGACAATGGTGGATACTATATAACAACCAGAGCACAGTTTGAATCTTTACAAAAGCTGGTCAAACACTATACAGGTACATTTTAAATCCTAAAATTCTGCAGCTGCATATGTCACTTTGGAAATTAAGGTAGATTTAGTGTGCAATACTGAACTTACAGGCTTATGAACACCAGAGCAACAGAGATGATTGCTACATCACAAGTGGGTTTGCTATGGGTTTATTGTTGCTATGTTATCAATGTATTATTTCTGATTGATTTTATATGTTATTATTAAATATTGTTGATTATTGTCTTATCTGTTTCATATTTTAATGTTGTGAACCATCCAGAGAGCCTCTTTGGCTGAGGGACAGTATAGAAATGAAATCAATCAATCACCACACCTCTCACTTTTTACTTTCTTTTTGTCAACTACGTTCAGCCATCTAGTTAAGGCAGTTCAGAAAAGGAGGAAAGGAAGCTGCGGAGCACTCAGGAAAAGTCATATCTTGGTCTCTGCCGTGTCCTTTCTGGCCTACCTATTGGAATGTCCTTTTACCTTGTTAACCTCAGAGAAGCAACAGGTTTGGTTCTTTCCACACTGGCTTGTAGTCATGGGGAGGAGGATCAGAGCATAAATTCCCAGCTATGAGGCCAGAGTTCTGTTTCCTACTTCCAGTCTGGGAACCCATACTATCCTATGTATAGAGAGTGAGAAAGATAGCTGCTTTGGGTACACATAAACAAGGACTGCTGGCTGGTCTCCAGAAGAAGCAGCAGCGATACAGTAGGAAACCTTGAAACATGGGCCATTCCCAAACATTTTGATGAGAGAAGTGGAGACACTTAACTCAAGGCCAGACTCCCCAGGTGGGCAGGCAGTTGTTGGGAATAAAAAAGATGTACAGTTGGCTGGAGGGGACTTGGAGCAGACAGAGATGAGGCGGGCATGGCTCTTGACCCCATAGTGCAGCATCACTGTGCTGGCCCAATTGTAGAATCAGTATGCAGAGAGGAGGTGTGCTCATTTTCAGAAGGTCCCTCCTGAAAGGCATACTCATAAGGAGAGTTCCTGAAGAATACTAGATTGGGTTCAACAAGCTACTCTGCATGCTCAGGGATTCGTTCTAGGTGTTTTTGCTTCTGGAAAATGGTTTAGTCCATTAAAAAATTGTAAAAAAGGTCTGTGGTTTTGAATGTGCAAATCAGGGGGGGGGGGCTCTAGCTCACAACACTATGCACTCCAGATAATGTCTAGGAGCCATAGAACACTTTCATAATGTTTTTGGTCCTAACACCTATGTTAAAGACATGAAAAAGCAATTTTGTTCTGTTGTATTTATGGAAATAAGATAATTGTTTTAAATATATTACTATTAAAAACGTTTTTGTAATTACCAGATCATGCTGATGGCCTGTGTCATAAATTAACAACCGTGTGTCCAACTGTGAAACCTCAGACACAGGGTTTAGCAAAAGATGCCTGGGAAATTCCTAGAGAATCTTTGCGATTAGAAGTAAAGCTGGGCCAAGGATGCTTTGGTGAAGTATGGATGGGTATGTATCCCATGAGAAAAGGCCATAGCTCAGTGGTAGAACACATGTTCTACATGGACAAGAGCCCATTTTCCAGTTTAAAAAGGATTTCTGGTAACAGAACTAGAAAGACCCATGCCTGCAGTATTGCAGAGGTACTGCCAGTCATTGTGGACCATGCTGACCAAAATGAACACATCACCTGAAGGCAGTATCATAAGCTCATGTGATATAGTAAATTGCATTTTCATCAGATTCAAAAGAATTTTAAACATTAAAAAAGAGAAATTACAGATGACTGACACTGCTATAATACAATCAATTTATGTTTTTTTGAAAATCTCTCTAGTATCACTAATAGTGTAATGCACCGCTTCCACAGGAACATGGAATGGAACTACAAAAGTAGCAATCAAAACACTAAAACCTGGTACAATGATGCCAGAAGCTTTCCTACAAGAAGCTCAGATCATGAAGAAGTTACGGCATGATAAACTTGTTCCACTTTATGCTGTGGTATCTGAGGAACCAATCTACATAGTCACTGAATTCATGACAAAAGGTATGTTTTTTCTTAGGAGATTTTTTAAAAAGTTGTGAGAGTCCCATTGCTTATTTTGTTGTTATTAGGCTAGGCTAGGCTATATAGTCCTTGTCAAGTCAGATCCTGAAAGTGTTTGTCTACCTGGTTTTAACTGCAAACAAGTTGCATGTCTTAAAAAGATACACATCTTCCTTTTTTTTTTTCTTATGTTATCACATTTTTAAAACTCTGGCATTCAATAGGCAAATTTCCCAGAAAGCTTCTAATAGTTATATATGAATGACACTAATATTTGCAACAACCTTACTGCTGTATAAATATTAATTCAAAACTTATTGAAATAAGAAGGATGTCTAACTGATGCTCTTGTTCACATGAAACACTAATCTACATAGTGTTACAAGCCCAAATAATTGCAAAGGGGAGAAGGAAAGCATTTACTTTGGTCTTCAACTAACTGTAATTAGTTACTATTTCTGAGCCAGAAACTGTAAATAGTATCAATTATGGCTAATCTGAGCAAGTCAGTAATATTAACTACAGTTCAGTTTGTTGGACAAATCATAGTGAATAGCAGTGTTTCCATAATGATTCCATAATAAACTGGAATCAGTGGAAAATGAGAGCAAATGCTTCTAGTCTCCCTCTTGGAGCAGTGCTGGAAGAGAAGGAATACAGAGTGTACAAGTCTGAGGCTTATGCATATAACCCTAGAATATAGTTGAGGGTTCTGTGTGAATATGGCCCATGAGTCAAATGCAGTCTGATTATACAGTCTTGTACATTTGAGACAGAACAGCTTTGACATTGCTGTCAGTGAAGATGGACATACTGTCCACTTCATGGTGGACAGTAATGCATAATATATATGCATGTGTATTCGAGAATGAAAGCCTGTGTCGTCTTTGCGTGCATAGCATTAGCAAATGGAACTTGAATGGTCTTCAGTTGTGTTCTTGTTATATATGAAAGATACAGTAAATACTGTTCTACAGATTCTACATAGTACAGGAAGGAAAGTAAAGAGGCCAAGTCATCCTAGTAGCAGGATTCTTTATAGCCTTGAGAGGCATTTGGCACTTTTTCCAGTGCAGCGTCAAAACAATATTGGAAGAAGTAGTGGTGCATGATCACTAGTCAGTGGAGCTGATACATCCACCTTGTTAAGGTGTAGAAAACTCCATTTAAAAAGTAGTGCTGTATGGCCCAGGAACAAGATGGTGTCAGGTACCACTTTGACATATTCTGAAGCAACCCTACCTAACCACTGCACAAGACATGTTAGATGTATCAATATTAAGCTTATATCCATTTGCACAAGTCACTTGTTCATTATCACATATTTGATAAACATTGGCACATAAACCTGTGGAGACTGTTTCTGTTTTGCAAGTCCCATGTTCAGCTATTAAATATAAGTTGCTACAAATTAACACTCTTATTGTGTTAAATCAAAGAAATTCTATTTATATTAGCATTATATTTTTATTAGCATTATGTTTTATTATATGTTACTTCCTTCATACTGATTCTACCATAATTTGGTTTTTTAATTTGTGCTTTAGCAACTGCGATACAAAAAGCAACTTTTAAAGCTGGGCCAAAGTAAAACTGAAAAATCATTTCTATATTTGACTTAAAGGAGAACTGTATTTTGGAAAAAAGTAATATCTAGGATCACAGATTTGCACAACTGGGAAAAAAACAGTTTAAAAATTCCTTTAATGATTCCTTTTACAAGTTACCAACTGTACCTAAATTAATGCACTAATATCTTTCTGCAGGTAGCTTACTAGACTTTCTTAAGGAAGGAGAAGGGAAATATTTAAAGCTTCCGCAATTGGTGGATATGGCTGCTCAGGTACTTGTTTAAAGCAAGGGAAGTTGTGTTGCTGGATTATTATGTTATAACATGGTGGCATCATATAAAATGTAGAATAGAACAAAACAGTTGTCTATTCTAATTCATATATTGTTTTTAAATTTAGGATTATTTAATTCTGTTGCAAAAAATAATAATGACTACTGTATGTGTTTGAACAGAAAATATACATGGTTGAATCCAAAAGTGGTGAGTATATAGTATAAGTCTTAAGTCTGTAATATGTAAGTTTACATAGCTAAACAGAAACATCCATTTTCATTAGCATATGTTTGGTGAACTGAACACTGTTTTGTTTAGATACTTTTTTTTTAAGATTGCAGATGGTATGGCCTACATTGAACGAATGAACTACATTCATAGAGATCTCCGGGCGGCAAACATCCTTGTGGGGGACAACCTAGTGTGCAAAATTGCAGACTTTGGCTTAGCAAGGTTAATAGAGGACAATGAGTACACTGCCAGACAAGGTACATTTGATATGTTTACCACACAAGCCAACAGAGTTAAAGTTCCTGAATCAATACATAGTATCACATCTCTGTTTCCAATCAGTACACGCCAATTTAATGAACATTGCTTTATTTGTAATATTCAGTAAATGATGCATTATTCCTAATATTCTACACTTCCTTCAGGGGGCGAGGTGTGCATGTTCCTCATCAATGACCCACTTAACAGTAGTTCACAGAAGCAGACGCTATGCATTGTTCTGTAAAAGTGGTTTATTTAGCATGCTCTGGGACTTAGAATGTGATACGTAACACATCTAAGGATGTGATTATCAGAAAGTCCAACACAGTTCTGAAACTCAGTCTTCTGAAGTTTTACATAGAAGATCCGACCATCAGTGTTCCTAAGGATAAAACCTTAACCTTTAAAAAACCAACATTGTTCCAGAATAAGTCATTTAAAGATTCATTTCCAAGTCCATTTCAACAAATGCATTATAACACAATTGGACATGGTTCCATGAAAAGCAGTGCAATGAAGGACATCATTAGCAAACCCAAAAATAACATATCTGAAAGAAACTACCTATTAACAAAGGCACAGTCACTCAGATTATAGCAGGTGTGATGAATTTTTTAATGTCTCCCCTGCCCACGTAGAACATTCAGGAGAATGTTATAGATTAGCCTTCTTCATGTGCTATTCTTCTTCGTACTTGGGAGTTTTTTACAAGGTATTTTAAATACATCTGGAGTCTATTGTATGCCTTTTCTGAATGTGTAAGTAGAACAACCTTGGTCTCTATAACTGTAGAATTAACAATACGTCATCAGATGTTTCTCATTTTGCAATCTCCCTCATAACACAGCACTGACTCAGTAGACCTCCTCCACCATCAGACTTAGAGCTTTGTCCTTGAGCGCAGCAAATATGACTTGGCAAGCCAGGCTATTCAAGGAGAGATAGTCTGTGTGTGAGAGAGAGTCTGATTTTTTAAAGTTATTTGACAAGTAAATACAGAGGAAAAAAGTCAGGTTCAAGTGAGAGATGAGGCCAAGGCTTCTTCTGAACCTAGAGCTGAAGAGGAGATAATCTTTACTTATTCCCAGCCTCAAAGGGAAGAGCCATAAATAGCCTTTGCCTTGGAGATGAAGGGACATGGACTTCCCTCTGTGCTTATTGAAGCACAGTTGCAGAGCATCTCTGAATCCTCTCCTGCTCTGAGCAAGAGACCAAGGGGCACACTTTGCCTGGGCATCCAGTGGACATTCTGAGCTTGGATCACCAAGTAGGTGCAACCTTCTTCTGGCCACTCCTTTTTGGAACTACTGAAGGGCAGGAACTTGTATTTTGCCCTTGCCAGCTCCAGATGTAGAGATGGAAAGAGGAACATTTATGCTGTATTTAAACCTAGCAGGAGGTCCTAATCCTGGAGGTCAGGGGATCAAGCAACAAATTTTCACTTAGCTAGTAATCCCAGGTCACTCTGTTGATCCCTGCTTAACTTTGACAGCAGTATATGTTTGTAAAACAGCTTCACAGTTGGTCATAACATGGAAATACACCAAACAATAAAATGTTATTCTTTTGAGTTTACTCGATTTTCTACCTACTTTCGATCCACTGATCCAAATCCAATCAGATTTCCTGTCCACTTCCAATCCATTTTCTGGAAAATAAGGATACAAAACTTAATTCTATTAAATATGCTAACCAGTTCCTTTCTATAATATAAGGAGCTTGGATAGTGTGCAAGTGTGAACTGAAGAGCTAGCAATCTTAGGCAGCCAAACTACTCTGCATTGGCATTGTTGACTTCCTGGCTAATTGTACCAAAACTATACAAAATAAATTAAATATAAACAGTACTATCATAACAACTGGTTATGTTGAAGGATTCTCAGTATATCCTTCCCCACATGAGATGTATTAATAACATACTGCTTCACCAAAACATTCTTTTTAAAAAATTATAAATAATTAATATTAAGAAGAGTGGTTCTTTTGTATTCTTCTCTCCTCTTTTAGGGGCCAAATTTCCAATTAAATGGACAGCACCAGAGGCTGCTTTATATGGTCGGTTTACAATTAAATCCGATGTCTGGTCATTTGGCATTTTGTTGACAGAGCTCGTAACAAAGGGTCGTGTGCCATATCCAGGTAAAATAAGCACAATAACAGGCCTTCATAAGAATGTCACAACCAATGTCACTGCATTTTCTGTCAGTATCTGCAGTGCAAAACTAGACTACACTGGGGAGGTTTTTACAAATGAAAAAATACCAGATTATTTCTGTAATATTATCCAGTTGTTCTCCTATATGTAAAGAACAAAGCCTACAAACTGTAAGATGTAAAAAGCTCACTTCACAGTGTTTTTAAAGTAATAGTTTATTCCCACCACCCACCTCTCCCTGCCTTCTCACTGCACATATCTACTCCACACACACACAGACGTGCACGCGCGTGCCAGGCACAAGAAGGGGATCTGCATGGGCAGATGTTTATCAATGGCTACTCGTCTTAATGGCTATATGCAACGTCCAGTTCCAAGGCAGTATGTCTGTGTACACAAGCTGCTAGAAAACATGACTGGGTGGATGCTATTGAACTTGAGTCCTACTTGTGGGTTTCCTGCAGGCATCTGATTAGCCAGTGTGGGTAGAACAGTAGACTAGCAGGATCTTGGGTTGAGTCAGCATGGCTCTTTTAGTATTTTTACCTTATTTTGGGTAAGTTTGTTGCTCATTGGTAAAGAAGAGCACTGACAGCTTCGTGAAAGTTCTTTCATGTTGTTGACTATTAATGTTAAATCCTGTTGTACAATTCTAGGCATGGTAAACCGAGAAGTTCTGGAACAAGTAGAACGTGGCTATAGAATGCCTTGTCCTCAAGGATGCCCAGAATCTCTCCATGAATTAATGAAACTCTGTTGGAAGAAAGATCCAGATGAAAGACCAACATTTGAATATATTCAGTCATTCTTAGAAGACTATTTTACTGCTACAGAACCACAGTATCAGCCTGGAGACAACTTATAAGCCAGTCAACTACATACCATGCACATATCTGCCAAATGTAAAATATTTTCAAAAATTACTTTGCTGATTGGAAGAACTCAAAGGAAAGGAAATCACCATTTGCATGCTCTTGATGGCTAGCAAACTGGAATTTCAAATTATGGTTGCACAAAACCACTTTTTAAAGTGTTTTACCCAAATGTATCAATGGCACAATATTTTTCTCCCTTATTATGTCAGGGCCCAAAGGAAGCAGATAGAGAAAACTGGGTGGTAAGCAAGCATTTTTATTGCCAAGAATGAAGCTGCTAACCTTTTTCTTTTTCTCATCTGGCATTTTAGCTGTATTGCTAAAGGCAACATGAACAGTTAGATAAACCTGTGAATGGAAATGTTTAAGGAATAACAAAGAATGCTTTCAGGACCAAACAATTCTAATTTTCTACAATGTCCTGTGTCCAGAATGAAATAAAGTTTTTTTTCCTTTAAAATTTAGATCAATGCAGCCCTGATCTTGAGATTTTACACTGATTTAATTAAAGTAGGAAAAGTATTCTTTAAAAAAAAAAGCAGATGATTTATGAAAAACTTGATTTAATGCTAGACCTCAGTAGTGGAACTGAAGAGCATAATGCACTGTGTTGATACTTTATTGATGTAACTGGAAAGTAGCTTACGGAAAATAGTGTAATTAAGAATGATGAAGGTAATTACAAAATGAGTTCATGTTATTTTCAAACTTGAAACCATGAAATGCAATCAGAGGGAAAGAGAAAGTCTACTTAATCTTTCAAGATGCAACCTTTCAGAGTGAATTCTGAAACAATTCTGTGTTTTGGGGGACAGATCTGGAAAAGGGAGAGATGTGGTAAATATGTATGAATGCTTCCAAAATGTCTTGAGTTCAGGGATTTGCATAATTGCACTTCTGCTTTTCTTGAAAAGACACTCCTATGTTTTAAAGGCTGATGAAGGACCCAGAAGATCTGACCCAGACTTGAGCTTCTGCAAACAGCAAGATTCTTTCTGTTGGCAGAGGCAGTTGACTCACACTTTCCTGGAGATTCCCCGAACCCTCCTGAGTGCATATTTGAGGATATAGGGAGGGGGGAATTTGTAAAACGTCCCTCTCCCCAGTTCTACCTACAGGATCATCTCATTGCAGAGTACCACTCCACAGTTATGGATACAGTCTAATATATTCACTGTTTGGTTAATTACAAGTTATAAATGGACTGTCAGCCATGCTCTCACATAGTTCTCAGAATGACTGCAACACAACAGAATTATGCCAGTAAGCTGTTAGGTGTTTTGTTGTTGTTAGTCGCAAAGTCATGTCCAACCAATGGCGACCCCATGGACAACATTCCTCCAGGCCTTCCTGTCTTCCACCATCCCCCGGAGTCCACTTAAGCTCACACCAACTGCTTCAGTGACTCCATCTAGCCAGCTCATTCTCTGCCGTCCCCTTCTTTTGCCATCTATTGTTCCCAGCATTAGGCTCTTCTCTAGGGAGTCCTTTCTTCTCATTAGGTGGCCAAAGTATTTGAGTTTCATCTAAAGTATCTGGCCTTTTAAAGAGCAGTCAGGGTTGATCTCCTCTAGGACTGACCGGTTTGATCCGCTTGCGGTCCAGGGGACTTGCAGGAGTCTCCTCCAGCACCACAATTCAAAGGCCTCAATCCTTCGGCACTCAGCCTTCCTTATGGTCCAGCTTTCACAGCCATACATTGCAACTGGGAAAAATATAGCCTTGACTATATGCACTTTTGTTGGCAGGGTGATGTCTCTGCTTTTTAGTATGCTGTCTATATTTGCCATAGCTTTCCTCCCCAGGAGCAAGCGTCTTTTAATTTCTTGGTTGCAGTCCCCTTCTGCAGTGATCTTGGTGCCCAGGAAAATAAGATCTGTCACTACCTCCATTTCTTCCCAATCTATTTGCCAGGAAGTGAGAGGATGGGATGCCATGATCTTAGTTTTCTTAAGGTTCAAGCCAACCTGCATCAAGAGGCTCTTTAGTTCCTCTTCACTTTCTGCCATTAAAGTGGTATCATCTGCATATCTGAGGTTGTTGATATTTCTCCCAGCAATCTTAATTCCAACTGGTGATTCATCTAGCCCCACCTTTCCCATGATGTGCTCTGCATATAAGTTAAATAGGCAGGGCGACAGTATACAGCCTTGCCAAACTCCTTTCTCAATTTTGAACCCATCAGTGGTTCCGTGTCCAGTTCTCACTGTTGCTACTTGACCCACATATAGGTTTCTCAAGAGACAAATAAGATTGTCTGGTACTCCCAGCTCTTTAAGAGCTTGCCACAATTTGTTGTGATCCACACAATCAAAGGCTTTAGCATAGTCAGTGATCAGAAGTAGATGTTTTTCTGGAACTCCCTAGCATTCTCCATGATTGTATGTTGGCAATTTGATCTCTAGTTCCTCTCCCTCTCTGAAATCCTGCCTGTGCTTCTGGTAGTTCTCAGTCCACATACTGCTGAAGCCTAGCTTGTAGGATTTTGAGTATAAGTTTGCTAGCATGTGAAATGAGTGCAATAGTGCGGTAGTTAGAACATTCTTTGGCATTGCCCTTCTTTGGGATTGGAATGTAAACTGCCCTTTTCCAATCCTGTGGCCACTGTTGAGTTTTCCAAATTTGCTGGCATATTGAGTGTAGCACTTCTACTGCATCGTCTTTTAAGATTTTGAATAGCTCAGCTGGAATACTATCACCTCCACTAGCTTTGTTGTTGCTCAGACTTCCTAAGGCCCATTTGACTTCACATTCCAGGATGTCTGACTCGAGGTCAGTGACCACCCCATCATGGTTATCAGGGACATTAAGCTCTTTCTTGTATAGTTCTTCTGTGTAATCTTGCCACCTCTTAATCTCTTCTGCCTCTGTTAGGACCCTGCCATTTTGGTCCTTTATCATGCCCATCTTTGCATGAAACGTTCCCTTCATATCTCCAATTTTCTTGAAGAGATCTCTGGTCCTCCCTATTCTATTGTTTTCTTCTATTTCTGTGCACTGTTCATTTAAGAAGGCATTCTTATCTCTTCTAGCTATTCTCTGGAATTCCGCATTCAATTGGGTGTATCTTTCTTCTTCTCCCTTGCCTTTCGCTTCATTTCTTTCCTCAGCTATTTGTAAAGCTTCCTCAGACAGCCATTTTGCTTTCTTGCATTTCTTTTTCTTTGGGAAGGTTTTAGTTGCTGCCTCTTGTACAATGTTGCAAACCTCTGTCCATAGTTCTTCAGGCACTCTGTCTATCAGATCCAATTCCTTAAATCTATTTGTCACCTCTACTGTATATTCATCAGGGATATGATTTAGGTCATACCTGAGTGGCCTAGTGCTTTTCCCTACTTTCTTCTGGTTAAGCCTAAACTTTGCAATGAGAAGCTCATGATCTGAGCCACAGTCAGCTCCTGGTCTAGTTTTTACTGACTGTATAGAGCTTCTCCATCTTTGACTGCAGAGCACATAGACAATCTGATTTTTGTGTTGACCGTCTGGTGATGTCCATGTGTAGAGTCGCCTTTTGGGTTGTTGGAAAAGAGTGTTTGCTATGACCATAGTATTCTCTTGACAAAATTGTACCAGCCTGTGCCCTACTTCATTTTGTATTCCAAGGCCAAACTTGTCTGTTATTCCGGTTATCTTTTAGCTTCCTACTTTAGCATTCCAATCCCCCATGTTGATAAGGACATCATTTTTTGGTGTTAATTCTAGAAGGTATTGTAGGCCTTCATAGAACCGGTCAACGTCAGCCTCTTCAGCACCAGTGGTTGGGGCATAGACTTGGACTACTGTGATGTTGAATGGTTTGCCTTGGATTCAAAATGAGATCATTCTGTCATTTTGGAGTTTGTATCGCAGTACTGCTTTTCCTCCTCTTTTATTGACTATGAAGGCTACTCCATTTCTTCTGAGGGATTCTTGCCTGCAGTAGTATACCTGATGGTCATCTGAATTAAATTCACCCATTCCTGTCCATTTTAGTTCACTGATTCCTAAGATGTCGATGCTCAGTCTTGTCATCTCGTTTGACCACATCCAGCTTGCCTTGATTCATGGATCTTACATTCCAGGTTCCTATGGAGTATAGATCTTTGCAGCATCGGACTTCCCTTTCACCACCAGATACATCTGCGACTGAGTGTTCTTTCAGCTTTGACCCAGTCGCTTCATTCTTTCTGGCGCTACTAGTACTAGCCCTCCGCTCTTCCCCAGTAGTATATTGAACACCTTCTGACCTGAGGGGCTCATCTTCCGGCGTCATACCTTTTTGCCTTTTGGCACTGTCCATGGGGGTTTCATGGCAAAGATACTGGAGTGGGTTGCCATTTCCTTCTCCAGTGGATCACGTTTTGTCAGAGCTCTCTGCTATGACCTGTCTGTCTTGGGTGGCCCTGCACGGCATAGCTCATAGCTTCATTGAGCTACGCAAGCCCCTTCGCCACGACAAGGCAGTGATCCATGGAGGAGAAGCTGTTAGGTAAGGAAGGGAAATTAAGATATAAATTCCTTCAAGTCCCACTGACTGGTAAGATTTTTTTGGGTGGGGGGATATGCATGTAAAGCCCCAATTTCTAGATCAGATAGCCCATGTAATTTCCGATTCAGCTAGTGATAAGAGTACAGAAGTCTTCATTCATACACACACACACACACACACACACACACACAGCCCCTAGTATATTAGGGAGTTAGATTTACCACAACCTCTGACATGTCAAGCAATAAAATCCTATCGCCATGGTTAAAATCTACGAGTTACACTACAATATTTTGCACTACAAAAACTTTCTGTGATAATTAAAATCATTGCCGTATTATCGCACAGATTTAATTCTAGCACAACTATTCAGGAGATTTTGTGTTCCCAGAATGATTTTTTACACATTTTGTGCAATCATATTGCATTTCCCCTTAAGTTGCATTTTCCCTTATCCTCTACTCTAAAAATTTAAAAGGGCTTTATATAAAAGTAATTATGGGTAATGCAATTTTGTTGATGTAACAATGCAAAATGCCAGTAAATTATTCTGGTATCGATTGGATTTTAATTAAAAATGGAACAATTCATTATAACAATATTTGTACAGTAAGGATATTTCAAAACTAAATGAGCTTGTTCATGAAAAAAAAGATTATGTATTTTAAAAAGGCCTACAAGATTAGTTTCCATATCTATTTTTTCTTTTTTAAATTGCATTTTACCTCAAGACTTTGATGCGAGCTTATCTTAGCAAATAAGAACTCAAGACTGACACACACTTTTTATAAATAGACATTTTAAAATGTAATTATTTTTATAAAGCATGGTGTTAAATTTGTTTTGCAGGGTTTATTTGAAATTAAATTCAGTGTAATTACAGAAGCTTATTTTTAAAAAATAATTTGATAGGTTTTCAAATTGCTGTTAAGTCTTCATAATGGAGACATCACCTTAAAGCTCTGAAGTATTGTAATCTCAATTACATTGTTTAATTTTTTCATTCTTAACAGATTTGAACAGAGTTCATCTTGTGAATGCCATGATTTAGTTTTAAGATTTTTCATAGAGTATTAGAAATGTTTCCAGAAAGAATTTAGTCCTACCTTTGTATCAATTGAGCATAAGACACTCCATAAAGCTAAAAATCTCCACGAGAACACATTCTGTACTATCCTTCTACCCCATACTGATTTGATGTTAAAGATTACTTTGTTATACAGGCATGAGGCACTTTGTTATATTAACGCGCCTTACTAATTTGTATACTCCTTGTTGGTTTTTGTGATACAAACCCATGAGTGCAGGTAGTACTTGTGGATACTCTCCCTCTCCTGGTCCTTTACCAAACAGATCAGAAATAGATGGTGCCTGAACTGTATTCCTTATCCCAAATAAAAGGTAAGGAGGAGTGAGAGGACTCCCTAAGTAGATCAGTGACCACAGAGCTAGTTTTGTGTGCAGAACTCAGGATTTCCCTTCTTTCTCCCACAACTGTGAGCTATGTTGCTGAATGTGGAGTTTGCACCCCATAGCAGCCTTTTGCATGAGTGATGGAGATTATTTTTTAAAACATGAATTGTCCCATGCTGGACTGGGAACGATAAGCACAATTAGCTAGGAATTTCTACACAATCCCCAGTTGAAAAAAAATTGGATGCCACCCTTTTCTTGTGTGGCTCCTAATCCCTGTTGATGGGACTTGTGAGGGAAAGATCCTGATAGGTTGTGCCACTGTGTATAATCTGTCAACCACTACTTTCATGCAATTTCAGTTTATTTTTAATGTAATTTTATGTTGTGTCCCATGTCTTCTGCCACAATCATATTCTTCAGTCAATATTGTACAGGCAGTCCAAGCATCTCCAATGTATAGAAGTGCCACTGTATATTAAGACTGCAGAACTGCTAAAATGCTGTTTTCTAAACATCAAAAATGATAATGCAATTTTTACTTGTTCTCAACTACTTTGTTGTATTTTCAGCACTTCCTGTACTGTAATCATTGTTAATCATTTAAGAATGATTTTGATATTTTAATGGAAACAATTATGTAACATTTCTGATCAAAACTGTACTGCAAGCCTTGCCTAACAGTTTTGTTGAAGCTACTTTGTGTGGTAACTTTTTTTTGGTTTGGTTTTCCTATCATGCTGTGTTCACAAGCTTAAATATTTTTTAATATTTTATTACTTTTGCATAATTAAACTTCCCAAAGTGTAATCACTGTGTAGTGACAGTTAATATATTGTGGAAATTTAAACAGAACTCTGTTCCACTATTTATCAGTTCTGTTAGTCATTTAACAGTGACTGGTTTCAGACAACTTGATAATCTCCTGTCAAAAGTTGAGTATGGGTTGTTGCTGAATCATGAGCTTGCTATTGAAATGTATATCCCGCAGTTCATAACCTAACAACAAACTATAGGTTCTCTTCATGGTATGCTTCTGTTTAACAAGCCATGATTTAGTAACATGGCTGGGTTTAGAGAGCACAAGAACCCATGTTACAAAGAATCCATACACAGCCCTTGAGTTTGAGTTTCGTCGTCCGATTTCAGAGAGTGAGTGGAACTTCAATTTTTACTTGATAAATATCAAATTGTAATTGTTCCCTGTGTACCTGATATGGAACCTAAAAATACCAGATAACTACTTATTAGGCTTGGTACAGTGGTACCTTGGCTCATGAACGCCTTGGTTCACAAACAAATCGGGTCATAAACAAAAATTTCTGAAAAATTTTGACTTGGGTTGTGAACATCACTTTGGGTGGCCACCAAGATCACAGCCATCTCCCCCCCCCCCCCCCCCCAGTGGGGAGATGGCTGCGATCCCAGTTGCTTTCGTGCAGGGAAGACGTCAGAGGTGCGCTGCTGCAGGAAAGACAGGAGCAGCAAAGCAGAGCCTCAGGGGAGATGGCCAAGATTCTGCCTGTCTTCCCTGCAGGAGTGTGCCTCTGATCAGGCACGCCTTCCCTCCACGAACGTAACTGTGATTGCGGCGATCTCCCCACCCCCAGCACACCATTTGCGCCCATCTCTCCCTCCCCCAGTGTGCCTGTGATCACGCCTGTCTCTCCCCCCCACCCCCCAGGGCGCCAGGATGACAGACACATGCAGGGATGACAGGCACGATCTCGGTCGTGCTGGGGTGGAGAGGGGAGATGGCCACAATCGTTGTTGTTGTCACTTTGCTTCACATTTTTCTGATTTAAAAAATGGTTACAGAACGGATTAACCTTATTTACACTGAACCTTATGGGGAAATTTAATTTGGCTCACGACCAATTTGGGTCACGACCAGAGTTCTGGAATGGATTAAGTTTGTGAGCCAAGGTACCACTGTATTTTCAGATTTTGCTAGACACCAGTCCTCCATAGAAGTATCCTAAAAACTTTAAATGAGAAAATTATTTTTTGCATATAATAATGTTCAAAGGTCACTTTCAGTAGCAAAAGTATGCACAAAGTATTATTCTCTCATTTTAAAGTTTCTAGTAACTCAAATTTACATAGGTAGACTATAGTATTACAGAAATGTGAGTAGTGGTAGCGAAATAGAATACCCTATATAATAGTAATTAGATCAAATATTTTGCAGATATGTCTGCTTTAAAAGATCAAACCAAAACAATTATTTGGATTATAGGACTTGACCTTAGCAAAGAAATGGGTGCTGGAGCTGAATTTGGACATGAGTCCTACTCCTGTATCCCATATTGCACTCTTGCCTTCTATTTGGTGGAACAGCCAAGGATATGAAACCAGTGCGAGGTCTGTTTTAATTCCAAAAATACAGCCTATTTAGATCAGTAATGAACTCAATTTGCATAGGATGACAAACTCCGATTTATCTGATTTTAAATTAAGCAAATACGTTCAGCAAAGTATGGTGAAAATGTATTCTACTGTGTCCCATGAACAATTTAGGCATCTTGTATCATTAGTCACTCTTGGGGTTGAAGGATAATTCGACTTCTTACGTGGGTCTCAGTCATTCCAGCAAGTCAGTTAAATCTCCAAATTCATCTGTTTTGTTTGTCCAAAATGTCTACCAAAGGTATTTTAAAAAAAATTCAGTCCAAGGACCATATTCCAGTTTAAAGACTCTCTTTACATGCGTATTTAAGTGCTGCACAAGGCCAAATGCAAATACTGAGGCAACTTCCCAGCCAACAAAATACCCCCACGGCTGCATACACACACATAGCCAGATACAGCACACACATGCAGGTAAAATTTCTCCAAAGTATTATCTCTAATTAAAAAGCTATTTTACCAAGAAATAACTTTAGCATATACAATGTACAATGCCTTTCAACTGTTAACATTTTGTATTTGTTTACTGTATATTAAAGAACTATTTCCCCCTTCCTCTTCACAGTAATAACTAAAAAAAAAAAGATACATATTAAAAACATGCATCATAGGGTTACAGCTACAATTCATACAATTAGTACCCCTTCTGGCTTGCTCTAAGAGGTGTTGAGTCTATACAGCTCCCCAAATCCACCCAAACACTATTTTCCCCAAATTGCCCTACTTCACATCAATCTGTCCATGCTCCTGTTCGCATTTCTTCAACCCACCTCTCATGTTTCAGTGTAGACTGGATTTCCAGTACCTAAAAAACATATTTTTAGCAATTGTTACCATTTGCCACATAAGTCCAATCACCTAAAATTCAAACAAATACAGCATAACTCCCCTAAAATTGGTAGTTCAGTATAATGCTAACCCTGGAGCAAGTTTTAGCACAAATGGGAATGATTACTGGGCAGATCCAAATCAGGTGAGGTGGATGTGCATGTGAAGATCAATATCCGTGTCAGTCCATTTGAAAGCTGAGCCAGGATCAATCAGCAACAAGGCCAATTCCCAATGAGGGAACCTGGATCAACAATCAGTGCCTATATTCCACAGCCAGTCAAGCTGCAGTAATCACTGTTATATCTTGTTTGATCTCATCTTGTACACTGATACCAGCTTTCAGCTGATCAGTGAACACTGCATGCCTAATCTTCCCCCTGTGAAGGCTTCATTCAACTCCTAGCACACAGATTTTCAGCCCCTTTCTCCTTCATAAGAACTCTTCACAGTCTAGCATGTGCTTTATTATGTTGCATATCAATCAGGTTCTCCTTAAATATTACATTCCAAATCTCTCTGTAATTAGTACCCATAGTTGAACATATTTAATATTGGCCAAGTCCAGCATTTGTTGTCATACAACTCAAACAAATATAAGGATGGATTTATTCAGTTTTAAATTTACTTATTTATTTAAAGCTTTTCTATCCAGTCCTATTACAAGAACTCTTAGGATAGTCATACAATTAAAAAAAATACTTATGTTGCTTGATTAAGCAGCCACTCCTTCAGGCTATTAAAACCTTTGTGATTCAATGGAGTCCTACTTGTTCCATTGCCTTAAAATTCATTCCAAGGAAGTGTTCATAGGACTGCTCTCTCACACCCTCCTTCAATAGATCAGTACTGATAGCTCAGTCGAAATCGGGGTGGCCAAACTTGTTCAACCGAAGAGCCACCTATGAGAAGGATCAGGAGCTTGAGAGCTGCAGAAAGCAGGTGGAAGCCACAAGGTAAATGAAGAGCCACGTTCAGCTCCAGAGCCTCGATTTGGCCACCCCTGCTCAAAATTAAGCAGACAGCCGATTCCTTGCATTTTCTTCAGCCCCCTCTTGAGTAACCTAACCACACTTGTCCACAAGAGGAGGAAACAGATGATAAATGGGCATGTTTCTCCTCTTAATAATCAGGCATTACTTTAAATGTACATCTAGCAAGTCCATCTTTTCCTGTATCTGTTTTGACTGGAGAGTTTTAAGTATTTATTAGATTTAGATCTCACCTTTCTCCCATTGTAGAACTTATGGTATCCCCACCACCACCACCACCACCCCGCCCAAGCTCAGACCATCCCCAGACCTGTTTAACTCCAACGTGGATGGATGCCTTATGCACCTGCAAGGTGAGCAGCCGGCTGGATCCTGGGGTCAGACTAGATGGCCCGGGACCCAGGAGACCCCTTCTGACTTGCTCTGTTTCTATGTTTCTACGTGAGGCCTTTGTTCCTGGACTCCCCCTCCACTACTCCCTCGATTCCTGAACTCCCCTCCAGAGTTCCTATCCGAAACAAAGTCCTGGGCCTATTCTAGAATAAAACTGCTAGCAACACATTAAAATATATCTTGGCCCTTAAAATATCCCTCCCCAGCCTCGCATCATCCAAATATTCTTTTAAAAATTCAGGAAGGGTGCTCGTATTTACGTACAGCAAATCGAGGTTGGAAAATGTTCACCTCGCCAGGACCCTTTGAGTCTCCTAAAGCGGAGCCCCAACTTTTACTTCCCTCTGACCTAAGCCGGCGGTCCTAAGCATGTTTCGCTCAAAGAAAGGCGAAGAGGCAGCCGTGCGGGCACCTGCTGAAAGTTGGAAGACTTTCTTCGGGCTAAACCCGGACAAGCATGCGCTCTCCGTACGACTCACCCCGGCAAGGCGAGCGCGACGCGCGCTTAGATAAAGCCGCCACGCGTCTCCTGCTGCGTTGCCGAGCCGTCCCCTTTTCGCCCTCCTCCCCCGGCTCCTCTCCGCCTCCCCCGCCCTCTCCGCGGCAGGCCGCCTGTTGGATTAGCGCCCCGCCCCGCTAGCGTGTCCTGGGCCAATTTCGGCGTTTTAGAGTCGCTTGCCGAGGCTGAGCAAAGGGCCGCCGTGGTAGCTACTTCTGACCCTTCCTGAGCCACGGGCGTAGCCATGGGGCGAGGCAGGATCACGGGCCTGGCCGTGAGCGACGTCCGCTTCCCCACTTCCCTGTCCCGCCATGGCTCCGATGCGATGGTAAGCGCCGCCGCCGCGCAGCTTGCGTTACAAAACAGTGGCAGCAAGCACCCGGCAGGCGTCCCCCGCTTTGGCTTCCAGCAAGGCTGATAAAATCGGATTCGCGCAGTGATGACGGGACTATAACGGGGTCCTAAAAGGGGACATTCGGCCCGCCTTCTAAGCCTGCAAGCCAGTGCAGAATTACCGAGGAGTAACCCTATTGAGCTTGAAGGGATCTCCTTCGGTGTAAACAGGTTTAGGTTTGCGCCGTTAAGTACCTTATCCAAGCTAATAAGGGCATAAGGAGAAAAGAAAGTTCTGGAAGATGCCTGTGCTTGAGGTGAGGCCCTCACAAGCCTCCAATTGCAATATCACGCCCCACATTTGTCTGTGCCAGCTACAGTTAATGCGAGTTGCTGTCAACTCCTGGAGGGCCATAAGGTGTATGTCCCTGTACTAGCTGCTTAGTTGTTTGATTTGTTGTAATTTTGCCACCACACTTCATTTCTGGAAGTGTCAAGTTACAACAGGGGTATAAAACCTCAAGATTGAGGGTCAAATCTAGTTCTCAGTTTCCTGGCATAGTGGTACCTCCTCTCCCTTTCACCCTACAGCCAGTGTAGTTTCCTATTCTTGCCCACCTGTCACATTTTGAAAATTAAGTGCATTATTTGGCTTAATTATTGGCAGTAAGAACTTTTAAGTTATAATACACAGGTATTTTAGTGGGTTTGGCTTCACTCTTTTGCCTTTGGTCCTGCCTCCACTGGAGCATAGTCCTATGCATGTGTTGGAAAGGAATTTGGGCTTCAGGCTGAGAGAGGCACCGCTAAACATAAAAACATAAAAGAGGTCATACTGGATCAAACCAGTGGTCCATCCAGTCCAGCAGTGGGTTACTTGCCCACAGTTCCCTCAAGCAAGAGGGTACAGGTGTTCTGTCTGCCCAACTCCTCAGCAGGCATATCAACTTTGATAGAGGTGGCCCACAACCAACAGGACTAGTAGCTGTAGATAGCTTTCTACCCCATGAATTTATCCAATCCCCTTTTAAAGCCATCTAAATTGGTAGCCATTGCTACTTCCTGTAACAGTAATTCTAGAGTTTATGCACTGTGTAAAGAAGTACTTTTTTGTCTGTCCACTATCTTCCACCAATCAGCTTCATAGATTCTAGTACAGGTTCTAGTACAGGTACTTGGTAGTGATACATCTTAAAAGGGGAGGGGCGGTTGCCACGGTCAGTTATATGTATATTTTGTGTGTGTGTATCACTTGTGTGAACATTGGGTTTTTCTGCTCTTCTGTTTAGCACCCTGACCCAGATTATTCAGCAGCCTATGTTACAATAGAAACAGATGCCCCTGATGGGCTCCGAGGCTATGGCTTAACATTTACACTGGGTAAAGGCACAGAAGTGGGTAAGTTGTTATATTGCCCTAATTTTAAACTAGTCCTAAATTGCCAGTGGTTTAAATTGTGTCTTCTTTCCTCACTGGAACTAGTCTTTTTATGTTGGCCATTTCCAACATATTGCCCCATCTGACCCACTCAGCATGGACAAAGCTCAGTGATTCCTGCTGGAGTTTTAGTGCAAAATAACTCTGGGGGCCCTGGTTGAGGAATGATGCATTAAGAGGCGCCACTGCTACCATGTGACTGTGCAAGGTGCGATTACAAGAGCTTTCTTAATCTTTGTACTAATAAGTCACATATGTGAACTGGGCTACTGCAAAACCAAAGCGAGAGGTAGGGGGAAAGCCCATTAAATTCTTTTGTTGATCCATTTAAGAATGTTTCAGTATTCTTTAAGTGTATTAAAGTGTATAGCCTAGTATCCAGAATATTTGCAAATATGTTATTACTTTGCTGTCTTACACAGGGCCTTAAAGGTTTGTCTATCATTGCAGCCTTCCCACTAACCATGGATGCTGCCAAAGTTTTTTTCATCAGCTGCTCCTTTCCCAGGAAGGTGGTTGTTCTAATAATAATGTAGATTTTTAGGGAGCAATCCTGTGGTCTTACAACATCATCTGGGAGGCCATAGGATTATTCAAAGTCCCAATTCCAAGTCCTTTGATCTTGCAGCTGGGACTTCAAAGACCCATGCAGCCAGTGCAGAATGAATATGGGCAGCTATGCCCTAGCATTGTGTTCTGTTTGCTATAAATTCTTTGCCACCTGTGGCATCTTCCAATCATGGTGTAATAGTGACAAAATAATAATCCATTAAGGCCTTTTTGCTCCTCTGCTGTGTCTTGCCTCTACACAAATGTGTTACTAGCCATTATATTTTCCAAACAGCTGTGGCATCCCTAATCAGATTATATGCCTTGTACTTTTTTTTGTCCACTTTACTGCTTCTATTTCCTTCAGTTGACAGAAGAGGAATTTCATATCATCCAAATAACTTCTAAATAGCCCTATCTAATCCTGATTCTACTAGAAATGGGTCAGTGACACACAATTGCTTTGGATTTTTGCTGCCACAATTAAAACTTGATGGTCCAGCCCTTATTCCTTATGCTGGGGATGGCTGATTGTAGTTTGGGCCTTGATTACATTTTGTATTAGATGAAGGAACTGGAGACAATTTCTCAATGTTTCACAATCCTGTGAAACTTAGTTGCAGTTACATGATGGCATAGCAGCACCAACATAAACAACTTAGCTGTATTTACGTTGCAGAACAATTATATTGTGCCCAATAGGCACAGGAATATCATGAATCATTTCAAGCCCCTTTGGAACTAGTTATTTCCATCTTTGCAGTCTCTGCTTCTTCTGACTTCAAGAATAGACCAGAAGCTTGCAGTCAATGCACAGGCCCTGGTTTCTTCCTGAAAAGGAATGGCAACATGTTATCCTGCAGATGTTTTGGCCCACAACTCCCATCAGCCTAAACAGCATGGCCAGTGATGAACATTCATGGGAATTGCAGGCCAAAACATTTGTTCTACTGTAAACTAGAAGAGGTGCTGGATGCTTGCATCCCAAGTTAAAAACTGGAATGCAAGTCATATTGATAAGTCATAATAAAGTCATGTTTTATCTAAGATTGTTAACAACCAATCATCCAGGCAATCCATGGCCAAACGTTCTATGTTCTTTTCCCACTGACAAGCTATTTATGTGGTCTGTCTTTCAAATAATTTTTTTCAGAGATCACTCAAATTCTGAACAATACAGGGAGTGCAATTTCATAAACTCAAAAACATTGGTTATATTTTTTTAGTTGTCTCTGCAGTCTACGTACTTGCTGCTCATGTGGTCAATAAAGACTTGGATGAAATCATTGGTGATTTTCGAGGGTTCTACAGGCAGCTCACCAGTGATGGGCAACTCCGATGGGTAAGAAATTGAAACAAAACTAATGACAGCATGTAAACTTTAGACTTAATTCTGTTTGAGTTCTAATAATGTTGCAGATATCAGAAGCCTTTTTTATTTATATAATTTAAAGACATACATATGCCCTGAATGCCATCATTAACCAAATATCAAACTACAGGAAAAATGAAGCTATCAGGTTATAGTGCTTTGCAAGGCAATGTTGTATTTTAAACATTGAAATGAAAAAGAGCTGAATCAGAGCAAAGGCCTGTCTAGTCCAATTTTCTTTCCTCACAATGGCAAACAAGTTACTACAAGCGAAAGCTCTCAAGCAGGACGTGAATACAATTATTCTTCTACTCATGATCCCCAGTAACTGGGGATTGGGGGATGTATATTTCCTTTGACAGCATAGGCAATATATAGCTATCACGACTAGTAGCCTCTACCATTGTAGAGGATAAGTGTAATTCCATTTTAAAGCCAGTGGCTATAGTTAGGTCTTTTGGTAGCAAATTCCATGGTTTATATACTGTGTGAAGGGGTACTTCCTTTTATCTGTCCTGAATCTCCCACCTCTTAGTTTTATGGGATGATTTACATTGCCATCATATCTACTCTTATTTGCCTTTCTTCTAAGCATTTTCAAAGACTACTGATATTGTCAGCTAATAAAAATAATAGAATTGTCATTACGATATTTACAAGAGCTCCTCTGATATGTATAATGTCCTTACTATCCTTAAATTTGTTAGAAATAAAAGCATTTTTAATCTGTAGGATTATACACAATGGCTTTTTATTCATTTTTAATGTGCGGTTAGTTTGGGTTTTTTTTCCTGTATGCATATATAATTGTTAAGCAGAATGTTTTAAATTTAGAAAGTCTGAACATTTTGTTAAAAAATTCTGGTTCCTCATGTATCAGTTGAATGTCTGAAAATGTGGTGATAGATTTGCAGTTTGTAGACAACTTGAGGAGTACAGAAGTTTGCCATCCCTTAGCTAGGGAAACAATCAGTAATTTATTTAGATAATCATGCCTAGAGACCAGAATTCAGTTCTTATGTGTATGCATGTTTATATTTTTGTGTGGAAGCATGCTAGCAAATGCTAGTTGTAAATTACCACATCTATGAATAGAATTGAAGTCAATTTACCTAAATGTTGCTGTCTGCCTCCATATGAATAGATATGCCCAGCAAGTCTGGAAACCAAAGATTATAGGTTTATAGAGTTGCAAGGAAACAGCTGCCTTACTGTTCAAGAGAGCAGGATATCCTGTACCTAATACATGTCAACCAGATGAGTCCAACCATTTCTTGAAAGCCTTCGAGAAAGGAGGCTGCCTTAGCTCAATATTCTAAATGCTGTAAATTCCCTATAGGCCTTTGAGAAAAGCCAAGTTTCACTTATCTGTGCATGGCTGTCATAATGTATGGATTGCATTGTTTGTTTTGTCAGTAGATTGGTCCAGAGAAAGGAGCTGTACATTTGGCCTCAGCTGCTATTCTGAATGCCATCTGGGACTTGTGGGCCAAACAGGAAGGGAAGGTAATGGCTTTGGAATAAGAAGAGAAGCATGTTGCTGTTGGTTACTTAGTAAATGCTGCTCTTTTTTGTCTCCCAGCTATGTCACTTTACCTGGCTGGAGATGTAAACACTAGCTTAGATTAGGTGGCTGGACTTAAATTATATTTATATTCCTCATATCCTAATAGGATTTCTTATTTGTCAGAAGATCATCATTGTAGTCATTAAGCAACTGTTAATAGTGCATACACCAGCACTTCACAATTCAAAGTGAAGTATTCTAAAATTCTGAAAATCAAGACTCTCCTCTTTATCAGCTTTTTATAACAGTAGATTCAGCCAGAACGGACAGATTTAGACAGATGTTTATTTGTTGTTGGTATTTTTCACTATTGCTAGAACCTAGAAATGTAGAAAGCAGCCTTGTGCTGAGCAAGGCCATTTGGTCCATCTAGCCCAGAGCTGTTTATGCTGTCTGGCAACAGCTCTCTGGGCTTTAGGTTTCCTTCCTGACTCTATCTGGAAATGTCAGAGCTGGAATCTGTGATCTTCTGTATATAAAGCAAGTGCTTTGCCACTGAACCACAAGTCCACTGAGCAGACCTCTATATGCATTATAGAGGCTCAGGAGGCTGGACGAGCTACCTCTGGGCACTTGTGCAGTCCAGAACAAACATCCATTCCTGTTTTTCTCCCACATTTTATTTCTTTTCAGCAGCCTAATTTACAGAAAGGGAAGCATTTAGATGACTGAGAATCTCTGAAATCCTTGCAGGTCTACTGGAAATCTCCCAGAAATCTGCCAGTGGATCCTGATCTATCTTTTTCTGTAACATTGAAGGGTCTGGCCTCAGAGAAGGTCCCTTCCACAATCCCATCAGACTGTTCTTTACTGCAATTATGAATTATGCTGAATTGTCTTTGTTATGTTACCTCACCCTGAGATAAGAGATAAGATGCAAGAGAACAGATCAGAAATACCTTAATAGAAAAACAGAAAAGGGCGATCTAATGCATGGCAGTTTTGTGTAGGAGCAGTGAGACCTTTTGATCCCAAAGCTAGATAGGCCTTTTAGATCATGGGTCCTCAAACTACGGCCCGGGGGCCGGATCTGGCCCACCATGCCCATTTGGGCCCGCCACGTGTGCGCCTGCATCCACACACGCGCCCGCCACCGCCCACCTCGCCCCTTACTCACTGCTGCCTCACACGCCTGCCTTGCAGCACGTGCCCACGCCTTGCCTCCCCACGCCCCACCCCCGCACCGGCCCGTGCACACCACTGGCAGCACCTTTCCGGCCCACATCCAGCACCGGCAACTTTCAACTGGCCCCCTGGTGAAAAGTTTGAGGACCCCTGTTTTAGATGATTACCAGTGCCATAAAGTATGTCTGGTGAAACATTTCGAGATGTCATTCACATCCTAATTCAATGTTATAGAAATGGAGTTATGTTCAAGTAAGAGGAAGGATCCTGCCTCCACCCAGTGCACACACATTGTGAAAGCTATGAGTCTGAGTGCTCCTAAAAACCCTGGGAAACCAGCCACATATGCCTGCCCTAATCTGTCTGCTAGGAGCAGAGTAAGTGCAAAAAGTCCCCAACCTCTGTGTTCATCGGACTGGATCTCCTCGCATAGAACCTATTGCATCTTGGAGAAATAATAAGGACCATCTCATTATAAAATGCAGGTGTTGTGCTTAAGGCAAGTTTAGTGCCAGTTTGTAACAGTCACTGGCTCACATGTGTGGAGGGAAGATAAGAGATAATGACCTGATTTGCAATTCATGGGTATTCTGAACTATGGTGATGCAAGTGTGAGCTGCCTTGTTTTGGATTATAAACCAGGAAGCCATTGTCTGTTTTTGCATTAATACTAGAGATGGGTAAACAAGCAGTGTACAAGCTTTTCAAAATTTTCTAGGCATCAGCTTGCTGCTTGTCTCTCCTCAAGTTGCACTGACATTTGGCACACCAAACAAACAGCTACCAACCAAAAACTTGTGCCACACACCCCTGCCCCCAATTTGTACCACACTGCTGGTTAAAATTCTGGGTTTTTTCCCAGTCGCTCAAAAATTCAGGGTTCCAGGTTTGGACATCAAAGCAAACATTTCTGCATTTTCTAACACTGCTCCTTCACTTTCATGCAGCCCCAAAATCTTACAGGTTGTCATTATGTGCAAATCAAGCCATTATAAGCAGGTAACTGTAACCTGAAAATTTACTGTAAAGGCTGTTCTATTTAAAAGTTTCAGAATGTGTCTTCTTTTTCTTTTTCAAGCCTCTTTGGAAGTTGCTGGTTGACATGGTAAGAAAAACTACTTTATTGATTTGTTTGCTCTTGTTCTTGCTGTGCTAAAAATAATGGCATGGAGTCACAATTCCAAATTAAGATTTCTCATTGATTACATAGTTTATGGCAAGAATCTAGAAAGCTTTCTAAGTCTTTTAGACTACACAGTTTACTTTCAGTCTCTTTGCTCTCTGGATTGTGGTACAGAGTTGTTTCTGCTTTAAACAATTGACAATGAACAAAGCAATACCAGAGGCAAGTTTATAGTGTGTTTTAACAGGTTCCTTTCCCCAGGGACCACTAGCTAAGCTGGCTGCACTTAATGTAAGCTGTAGTCCAAGACATCTGATGGGCACTAGCTTGGGGATGGCAGTTGCAGGAACTGCTAGCTGTAGTATAAAGCCTATGCTGGCTTGTCATAGCACTTAAAAATGTGGTATTTCTTCTATAGAAAGCATCCTTTCTATCTGGTTGAAAGAGTTTGTCATATGTTGTTTCTGGACTTGGTAAAGTAACAGTTTATTAACTGTGAAATACAATGAATGCAACAATATAAATGCAACAATTTAACATCTTTTTGTCTTGACCAGGATCCAAAACAGTTGTTATCATGCATTGATTTCAGATATATTACTGATGCACTGACAGAAGAGGAAGCTTATAGTAAGTCATTGGTTTGTTTTTTTTAGATTTTTTTTAATTAAAGTTTTAAACTAATACTAAAAACATCAATTCTCACATACATCGGATTTACTGGGTCAACCCCCTACTACATATTTTTTTAACATTCTATAATCATGTTCAAATCAGTTTATAATAACTTGAAAACATCTCTAAATTTACTCCAGGTCCCATTTCTCCAGCCAATTATAGAAAAAAATCCAAGTTTGATAGAAGTCAGTGTCTTTTTTCTCCTTCAATGATAAAGTCAATCTATCCATTTCTGTGCAGTCCAGAATCTTTCTTAAAATCAGTTCATCAGTGGGTAGTTCTTCACTTTTCCAGTATTGAGCAAATGCAATCCTCACCACTGTGATTAAGTGTAACATCAAATACATTTCCTGTCTGTTAATATCTTCCGGTATGATGCCGAACAAGAAAACTTCAGGTTTAAAAGCTAAGGGTTTTTGTAGTATTTCCTCCAGCCATTTATTTATTTTAATCCAATACTTTTTTACATTATCACAAGTCCACCACGTATGATAAAAAGTACCCACTTTATGTTTACATTTCCAACATCCATTCGACATATTTGGAAACATCTTGGCTAATAGACTTGGCGACAAATACCATCTATAGAACATTTTATATAATTTTTCTTTTTACGAAGTTGCTAATGTTACCTTAATATTTCTCTCCCATAGTTTTTGCCACTTTTCTAATTCAACGCTATATCCAAAGTTTTGTGCCCATGTTATCATAGTTTCCTTAACCTGCTCCCCTTCCATTTTCCTTTCAAGTAAAAAATCATATAATCTTTTAATCATTTTCTCATCTGTTTTAAGCATCACTTGATCAAACGCTGTTAAATCTTTGTAAAACCCCCATGCTTTAGAATCTTTAGCATATCTCGATTGCATCTGCACCTTATGCCACCAGGAGATATTAAGTCCCTTTTCTTGTAATTCTTGATCTAGTTTCAGGCCACCGTCCTTATCCAAGATATCATCATATCTTATAATCCCATCAAAGTTCAATGCATTTGGATATACAAAAGCTTCCATAGGTGAAAGCCATCTTGGTAGTTTATTATATGGTTTTGACTTTAATTTTTCCCACACCGACATTAATGATCTTCTAATAAAATGACTCAGAAAAGACCCATGTGACTTAGCTTTCTTGTACCACATATAAGCATGCCAACCCATCTGCAAGTCATGACCTTCAAGATACAAAACTCTCTTACTTCGCAAAGTTATCCATTCTTTTAGCCAAGTTAGAACAGACGCTTGATAATACAACATCCAATCAGGGAGACCAAAACCCCCATTCTTTTTAGCTTTCTGAAGCATTTTTAATTTAATCCTTGGCTTCTTTTTTCTCCAGATAAATCTCAAAATTTGAGAGTTTAGATCATCAAAGAATTTTTTATCAATTTTTACGGGAATCATTTGGAACAAAAACAAAAGTTTAGGTAATATATTCATTTTAACAAGTGTTATTCTTCCTATCAAGGATAATTGTAAATTGGCCCATTTTTCCAGATCACCTTTAATATCCTTCAATAATTTATCGTAATTATCTTCTTTCAAAGTAGTACATTTGGCTGTAAGATAAATTCCCAAATATTTAACCTTTTTAACAATCTGCAAATCTACTTATTCCTGGAGTCTTTTTTTTTTTTTTTTTTTGGTCTTGCGTAAAGTTTTAAACAATTTCATTTTTTCTCTATTATTTTCATTCCCGTAACCTCACCATATTTCTTCAATCCATTGTAAAAGTTTAGGCATTGTTACAGAGGGTTCCTCCGTTATGAAGACCAAATCATCTGCGAATGCGTGCAATAACTTTCGTCCCTTATTCTAGTACCTTTAATGTCCTCGTCATCCCTGACATTTCTATTCAATACCTCTAAAATCAAAATAAACAAGAGGGATGACAACGGACATCCTTGTCTTGTGCCCTTTTGGATCTCTATAGGGTTTGTAAGTTCTCCATTAATTAAAATCCTGGCGGACTGTCTTTGATAAATACTTGATATCGCATTCATAAATTTTTCACCAAACTCCATTTGACTTATCTGTTGCTTCATAAATTGCCAATTAACATTATCAAAGGCTTTTTGAGCATCCATAAACAGTAAAGCCATTGGTTTTTCGGTATGTATCTCATAACATTCTAAGATATCCAAGATAGTTCTCAGGTTATTCTTCATTTGTCTTTTTGGCAAAATGCCATTTTGCTCTGGATGAATAAAGTCTATTAGGAACTTCTTTAGTCTTTCAGCCAGTATGGAGGCAAAAATTTTGTAATCCACATTTAGTAATGATATAGGTCTATAGTTTTGAATCTGTGTTGCATCCATATCTTCTTTCGGTATTAGTGTGATATTTGCCTCTGTCCAAGTAGTTGGCATTTTAGCCTTTAACAATGCTTCATTGCATATATCTTTTAAAAATGTAGCAAAGATTGCTTCAAAGGATTTGTAAAATTCAGCTGGCAGTCCATCCAGGCCAGGGGTTTTATCATTCTTTTGTCGCTTAATTGCTTCTGTTACTTCCGTAATTGTTACTTCTTGATTCAATCGTTTTTGAAATTTTTCTAGTAGTTTTGGTAATTCTCCCTTTCGAATGTATTCTTTTACTTTCTCAGTTGAAATCTCTTCCTTCTGATATAACTTTGTGAAAAAGTCTTCCGCTATTTTCTTAATTTATGCACTTTGTACATGTAGTCGTCCTTCTTCGTCTTTCAGTTTCGAAATCCATCTCTTCTCTTTTTCTTTCTTTACTTTATATGCTAACCATCTCCCCAGTTTATTAGCATTTTCAAAAAAGTTCTGTTTGGTCAACTTCATTTGTTTAGTAAGTTCATTTGTGTCCAAGAGATTTAATTTGTGCTTAAAAATATTCATTTGAGCCTTAAGACTTTTTTTTTTAATGGATCTTCCTGCAGCTCTTGTTCCCGTTTCATCAACTCCTCTACTATTGCTGCTCGCTCTTGTTTTTTCTTTTTATTTATTTGCACTGAGTATGTTATTACCACTTCCCTGGCATAGGCTTTAGCTATATCCCAGACATTCTTACCCTTATAGTAAGTCATTGTTAAGCCACAAAACTTGCATTAATTCGATTTAGTCTAATCAAATTGAGCCTTATTTAATTTCAAATCTCTTGAATACGCAAGCCCGAAAATGTAATTATTGATAATAATTAGTGTTTCTATGTACCTTTTCCTTGGTGTTTAATGTGCTTTAACTATACTAGCTCAATATAGCAGCCCTGCAGGAGTCCACTAGTACTGTCCGCATGTTACAAACAGGAAGGAGACTAAGACTCAAAAATCAATGGCTTACCTAGATCACCCTGTAAAATCATGACCATGCTGAAGTTTAAAACTGGAAAGTCAAGTTCTTCGTCGTGGCCTCTGTGCATCACACATACGGGTGCTGCGCCTGCGCAGTGCCTAGGCCGGAAGATTAGAAAGCTAACGGTTTTTTTGGCGGGAAAAACTCTGCTCCCCTCCCCCTCAGTGGTATAAATAGAGTGGAGTGTCCGCCATTTTACTCAGTCTTTGTGACCACCGTTCGCTGTGCCTCATGCCTGTTAACGTCCCTCGCTAAGATCTTTGTGCTTACTGTCCGTTTTACACTTTATCCCTTCTTCAACTTATTTCTTATATTCCAAGTTTGTATATCTTCCCTGCTTTTTCTTCTACTCTTCGTTTTCAAAAACAACAACAACAACAACAACAACCAAAAATATTATCTTACCCTCTATACTGTTGTCTTTTCTTCCTTTTACACGATGGTGCAGTGAGCAGCATTCCGCAAATGCACTGAATGCAGATCCAAAATGTTGCCTGCAGATCCACATGATCTATGCCTCCTCTGCCTCGGCGGGGGGCATAGAACTGACAAGTGCGGCCACTGCTTGGCGTTTTCCAAGCAAGCGAGGAACAGGGAGAATCGTCTCCAAAAACTCCTCTGGGACCAGGCCTTGATGCAGTCCGATCAACTGCTCTTACGGCCTGGTTCTTCTTCAGCCGCACCTCCTCAGCGCTCTACCTCAACTGTGAGCACTCCTCCGAAGCGTCCTGCTTCCACCGCTCCTCCACAGTGTCCTTCGGCTGAAAGCGCTACTCCAATGGAGGCCCAGCCTTCCTTCCCAGCCAAGAAATGGGAGAAGCGCAAGCACACTGGCTCAGATAAGCCTTCCGCTCATAAAAAACCAAGGAAGGAGAAGGTGGATAAGCCCGCTCGTAAGACCAAGAAACCCGACCGTCCCAAACACCGGGGCTCGGGTTTGTTGGGCTTCTCGGTACCGTCTGCCGCCACGATACCGACCCCCTCGGGACCGGCCCTGCAATCTACTATGCAGGTAACACTGCCGGGATCCCCCAGGCCTATCATTCGGCCTGAGAGCGTGCAGCCTCAACACATGGAGGAGCCGCTTTGGGAGTCTATCTCTGATGGAGAGATTAGGGACTCCCCACCAAGGGAACGATCTCCAACACCAATGCCCATGACTGAGCCACCTGCGGAATCACCGTCGCCACCCAGGCGTTGCAGCCACTCGTTGGAACAACGGGATGATGATTGGATGATGCATGGATATGGTGCCTTCCCAGACTGGGGTGGTTATCATTCCTATCCATACTTCCCTTGGGATCGTAGATCTCCCTCGGTCCCGAGAGACTTGCCGTCCACATCCAGACGTGTGGAGAGGGGACACCCGACCTCCCCTGAAACATCGTCCTCGAGTGACCGTCACCACTATTGTCCAGACTCGAACGAGTCGGAGGTCGACTCTGCATCCCCTGATGTAGCGATTACCTCCCAAGGACCTGCTTCACCCAATGAGCCACATGTCTCCTTTACGGAGCTCATGTCCCGCCTCGATGGAGGAGGAGACGTAAGCTGCCTTGAGCCCTTTGTAGGAAAAAGGCAGGATATAAATTGAAAAATAAAAAAAACAGCCCAGTCCATCCACGGATCGGTTCTATGATGTCGTGAGGGGAGAGCAGTCCGCGATCATAGCCTTGCCGCTAATCACTACACTTCGGCAGGCTATGGTCCAACCCTGGGATCAACCGGCCCAACTGCAGGCTACCTCCCGTCGGTATGAGGCCATGTACAGAGTTCAAGAGGACGACATCCCGTTCTTGCTCCGCCACCCGAGACCGAACTCTGTCGTGGTTGAATCCTCCCAGGGCAGGGAGTCCAGGGGGCACACGGCCCCTCGCGACAAGGGAGGAAAATCAATATGCTCGCGCGCCGAGTCTATGCAGTCTCTGGGCTCGGCGTACGCATATTGAATTACGAAGCAACACTGGCACGTTACCAGTATTTCATTATGCAAAAGCTGGATAACGTTGCTTCCTCCCTTCCAGACCACCAAGGCGGCCTCGCCAGGGTCTTCATCAAAGAAGCGATGCAGGTGGCAATGCAACAGTTGTCTACTGCACGACACCATTTAGACACCAATTTGAGGGCTCTCATTAATGCCATCTCGTTGTGCCGACATGCATGGCTCCGCAATTGTAATTTCCCCAACGAGATGAAACGGAGAATAGAGGAAATGCCATTTGACGGCACCGGGTTGTTCCACCAAAAGACCGACCACAAGCTAAAAGCGATACATGAATCGCATACAACCGCGCGCCATATGGATCTTCCTCAACAGAAACGTAAGTGGCAGTGGCCTCGTTCCTCCTAATCAATTCCATCCTCGGCAGTACTACCAGCAGCGGCAGCAACGTCGGAGGCAGCAGCCGCAGCAACATTTTTCCCAGGGCCTTCGACGAAACGTTGACGGCCTGGGTGAACCATCCTCTCTCTTCTAACACCACTTTCCCCTCTCCCTTTTGGGGACCGGCTCCCCATTTGGGAGTCCATTACATCTGATAGGTGGGTGTTGTCTATCATTCAGTTCGGATATAGAATTCGATGTCATCCCTCCACCGCGTCCGACTCGTTTTACACCTTCTTCATCGGTGCTGTGCAACGAAGTCTCTCAGTTGCTTCTCAAGGGTGCGATTCAACAACTCTCCCACTCTGAGGGGTTGCATGGATTCTACTCCAGATATTTTATGGTTCCGAAAAGGGACGGTGGTCTTCATCCAATTCTGGACTTACGAAATTTTAAGTACATCAAACCAAAAAAGTTTCGGATGACCACTTTACAAAATATCTTTCCGTTACTGAAGAGAGAGGATTGGTTCGCCTCACTGGACTTGAAGGATGCCTATTTTCATATTTCTATCCATCCTTCGCACAGACACTTCCTGCGTTTTACTGTCGGGCTCAATATATTTGAGTTCAATGTTCTGCCCTTTGGCCTGGCCACCGCACCTCGAGTTTTTACAAAGTGTATGGCGCCAATATGTGCACACTTACGAACACAAGGAGTGCAAATATATCCATATTTAGATGACTGGCTGATTGTTTTGCAAACTAAACAAGGTCTTCTGTCTGCTATACATGTGACCTGCACCCTGCTCGATGATCTTGGGCTATGCATTAACTGTGAGAAATCATCCCTTATTTCCACACAGGTCATCGACTTTATCGGGGCACATCTCGACTCCATACGGGAAACAGCCTTTCTCCCTCCGGAACATTGAAATACCTTATGTGGCCACATCCGTCAAATCCGAATGCTCAGAACGGTTCCAGCTATATCCATTCAGAGACTACTGGGGCACATGGCTGCTGCAGTTGCCATTGCCCCATATGACAGGCTACGTATGCGGCCCATACAGCTGTTTTTCAACACTTCATTTCGCCCGCAGCAAGATTCTCCCAACAAACTAATCCAGATTCCGTCTGTGATACTCCGTACTCTGGCTTGGTGGATCATTCCAAACAATCTGTTTATCGGCGTCCCGTTTCGACCACCTCATCCAACTACAACCCTGTACACGGACGCATCGCTACTTGGATGGGGTGCAGCATGTTCGGGACTTTGGGTCCAAAGGACTTGGAACCGACAAGAAACAAGGAAGCACATCAACGTTCTCGAACTTCAGGCAATCTTCAACGCCCTCAAGGCTTTCAAGACTGTGCTTTGCCGTCATGTTGTCCAGATTGCGTCAGACAACATACCTGCTGTTTTCTATATCAACAAGCAGGGTGGCACAAAATCACCAGCCTTAGCATGTCTATCGATGGCCATTTGGGATTGGTGCATACCGAGGGACATAATGCTCCTAGCAATTCACCTCGCAGGAACCGACAACACTGAAGCAGATATGTTGAGCAGACATACGTCAACAACGCACAAATGGGAGATGGACAGACAAATATGCCAGAAACTCTTCCATTTGTGGGGCTATCTGGACATGGACTTGTTTGCCACCCAGGACAACAGAGTGTGTGCCCTATACTGCTCCAGAGCGGGCATCAGATCGGGATCGATGGGGGATGCTCTTATGATCCCTTGGGACAACATATCTTTTTATGCGTTTCCTCTGATCCCACTTCTAACGAAAGTGGTGGCAAAAATAGCTCAAGAGAATGCCACGGGAATAAAAATAACTCCGTGGTGGCCGAGGTGACCGTGGTTCTCCACTCTTCTGCGACTATCCAGAGGAACGTTTCTTCGCCTCCCATCTATTCTTCAACTGTTAACGCAGCAAAACGGAACGATCCGGCATCCAGATCTGACTGCCTTGAAGCTGACGGCATGGCGGATCACTTGAGCCATTTCACTGCATCCATACCAACGACATCTCAATCTATAGCGGATTCCATTCACTGGACTATACAAACGGCTCCTACTTTGGTTTCAACGACAATCGCTTCGCTTCCAATGACTATTGACCAAGAAATTCAGGCAATTCTCAAATCTGCATTAAGACGGTCCACTCATCGCTCTTATGCGGCTAAATGGAAAAGATTCTCGTCTTTTGCAGAACACCATTCCTTTCCTCCTGGACTGGCTTCAATTGACAATATTTTGCAATTTCTCTTGGAACTGTATTACTCGGGACTGAAACCATCATCCATTAAAGTTTATGCAGCCGCCATATCACACTATCGTGGTGCTGTTCAGGGCGTATCAGTTTTCTCTCAACCTCTTGTTCGACGTTTTATTTGGGGATTACAGAACTTACATCCTTCTGTTCACCCCGCTAACGTGGAGCCTTTCTGTAGTACTCCAAGCACTTGCTAAACCTCCATTCGAACCTTTGGCAACTGTTGACCTACGCCTGGTGTCCTGGAAAACAGCCTTGTAGCAGTAACATCAGCTCGAAGAGTAAGTGAGCTTTCTGCTCTCCACGTAGACCCACCATATCTTAATTTCCATAAGGAAAAGGTCATCCTTCGTATGGATTCTTCATTTCTCCCTAAAGTAGCTACACCATTCCACTTGAGTCAAGACATTGTTCTGCCGGCATTCTATCCAGCGCAGTTGAATCCAATAGAACGGGCTCTACACACCCTTGATGTTCGCCGCTGCTTGGATTTTTATAGATCTCGTACAGAATCCTTCCGTCGGACGAATAGACTTTTTGTTAAGTACTCCGAACATGACAAGGGATCACCAGTTACACCTCAAAGGCTATCTAATTGGATCATCCAGACTATTGTCTTGGCTTACCAACTATCAAAAATAGACTTGCCTGTTACCCCAAGGGGTCACTCCACGCGAGCAGTAGCGACATCGTCCGCCTTTGCCTCAGGGGTTCCACTTCAGGATATCTGTAAAGCTGCAATGTGGGCTGGACCATGTACTTTCGCCAAGCACTATCGGCTTGATGTACGCGCCAGGCAGGACTGCTCTTTCGGCAGAGCTGTTCTTTCATCTGTTCTTCGCTGATGACACCTCCCTTCTCCAAGTTGAGTAAGCTTGCTAATCACCCATATGTGTGATGCAGAGGCCATGACGAAGAAAAGCCGGTTGCTTACCTGTAACTGATGTTCTTCGAGTTGCCATCTGTGCATTCACACAACCCACCTACCGGCCCCACTCGGTGTCGGTGAGTGGATGGTTTTTTTCCTCTCAGTATTGTACTCTGATTTACATCGGTACCGTTAGGATATGATGTTTTTTTCTCTCGGTACAGTATTTTAATTTTCATTGGTACCATTGGGATATATGATGCTTGTTGAATTTACACTTAACCTCTAGAGGGCGAACGTTCGGTCTTCAAGACTGAGTAAAATGGCGGACACTCCGCTCTATTTATACCACTGAGGGGGAGGGGAGCGGAGTTTTTCCCGCCAAAAAAACCATTAGCTTTCTAATCTTCCGGCCTAGGCACTGCGCAGGTGCAGCACCCATATGTGTGAATGCACAGATGGCCACTCGAAGAACATCAGTTACAGGTAAGCAACCTGCTTTTCACAGCTCATGCTCTCAATCTTAGGGCTATAATAACTCCAGAGTATGAACTCCATAATTATTTATAGGGCAAGTGCAGTTCCATTCCCTTAGGTCATAACTGCCTTAGATTATTGCCAAACTTGGAGGCTTATTTGTTTCCGATGGCCAGAGGGAGGCTGCCATCTATGGCTACCATTTATGGTAGCACAAGGGAGGGGGAGGCACCAGTAGGAACCAGCGCAAGCAAAGGGCTCCATCCTCTCCTCCCCATTTCCACACATACCTTTTCCTTCTCTAAGGCGCATATACAGTCTTGGCAAGGCAGCCAGGCTGATACTTTCCATGTCAGCAGTATGTGCATGTACACACACACTCAGGCTTCAGGACCTTGGCACTGGAACACCAAAAAATCATGTTAGGCCCCGCAGACAATATGAGAAGACCATTGGATTGCACACTTAGAAAGTTATTTTTACTAGAATTTTTCTTTGTATTTTTTCTTAAGCACTTTTTCTAAATGAAGATACAAATCAAGTTGATTTTTGGCTTAATGTTACATTTTCCATTCCACTAGCAATACTTCAAAATGGTCTTCTGGGGAAAAAAGAAAGAGGTAAGGAATAAATTGGTTTAATTGGATTATTAGTTTGCCTCCTGGAGTTTCTCTTGGGTTTCCATTTTTCCTAGAATTAGTTAATTATTAAATAATAAATTATTATTCCTATTATTATTCAATTTCTTTTTAAATTAGTACCCTAAAGTGCAGTTGTTGTGAGAAAAGCAGACATGCATTCCCAGGCATTCTGTCACAGAAGAATTTCATTTAACATTCTATATCGTTGTAGAAGAACAAATGTTAAAATGTGGCTACCCAGCTTATACCACATCATGTGCCTGGCTAGGCTATCCAGATGATCAACTAAAACAGGTTTGGCATTTCCACACTCTTCCTGTTTAGTCTGTGAGCAAAAATTAACTCATTTAGTCTAACTTTAGATACAGAAAACTCAAGTTAGTTTAGCTTTAATAACTAGAATTTGCTGCTTTTTAAAGCATGCATAAGGGTTGTGTGTGGGGTAAGATGTGGAAGCAAACATTAGAATTTTGTACCTTCTCCCTTTGTGCACAACACTATTAGTGTAAACCAGTGCTCCTGTGCTTCAATGTTTATATAAGAACTACCATACTGAATTGGACTGAGGGTCCATGTGGCTCAGCACTCTGTTCACACCATGGCCAGCCAGTCACAAGAAACCAACCAGCAGGTCATGAGTGCAACAGCAGCCTCCCCGCTAAGCTCACCAACAGCTGGTGTGCGTAGCCATCCTGCCAGATAGCAGCATATAGCCATTGATAGCCTTATTCATGAATGTATGCAACCCCCACTTTTAAAGTTATCCAGATTGATGACTGTCACTACAGCCTCAATTCCTGCAGACCGCTCCACTGGCCCCTCTTCGTGTGACAGGGGTCCTGAAAGGGAGCATAGTCACATAGGCATTGATATATGCAAATTCAGTTTCATTTTCTGTACACAATGAGGCAGACATACTTGTATCACACTGGGGGTTCTGTGAACTGGCAGTAAGAGCAACTTACTGGCAATGAACACTGAAACAATATCCTTTTCAGTGTGTATAAACACGCCATTCACCTTTGAGGTACACAGCTACAAAAGACAAGACATTCTGTTAGCTAAGCTAAAATCTTAAGATTTTAATACAAACAGCAGCTTTCACTTATTTTACATCTGTGTAACATATTTAACTTTCTTGCCAGCTGTGTTCTGAAGCTCTGAATAATGGTTGGACCAGGTACAGAACATTCTCTTTTCAGTTTTATAAAAATATGCAACAGGGAAGTCATGAGGTTTCAAGAAAGTGTGAGGAAATAAAGTTTTGCCTTTTCCTTTCTTTTCTTGGAAATGATTAATTTGCTTCTTACACTGGGTTGCAGAAATAGTGCATATATGGGGGTGTGTGCGCGTGCACACAGCACCAACAGCAGTTGCTGTCAACTTTGGTATTTGCCAGTCAACAGATCAACTGCATGATGGTCCTTCCCACCTCAAGCAGGTGGGGACTCTTTACCTTTGATTCAATGTTACATATGGATGAGGGTATGAAAGCATGTGCATACACCTCCAGTTGATGGTTGCAGAATCTATCCTTTATACAGCTCACTCCCTTTAGTCTAGAAAGGACCTGATCTGGAAAGCAATTTTGTGGAGATTATGGTTCACTCTTGATGAACAAGAACTTTGAACAGCAACTTCACACTCAGGTTCCATTGAGTCAACTGGGCATGATTTCACTTGAAAAGTTTTCCCACATTTCTGATCTTCTGATCTGAGATTTGCAGACGTTTAAATTTGGACAACAAATGTCTCCAATTTGGAACTGTTAGGCTAATTATGAGTCGGACCTAGGTGTTTTGGAAGTTCAAGCTTGATTCATTAGTTTAGTTCTGGCACCAGCCTTTCCCCTCCTTTCCTTGGGAACAGCATTAGTTACTTCTGGAATATGTAGTTTCTTAGAGGGTGCTTCCAGAGGGGAGTGCAAACAAGTGCTTATATAGCATCCTTTCTTAAATCTGAGCATAGTAGAGAAACTGATATCACAATTCAATCAGTCTTTGAAAAAGCTGTGTTTCATTGGAAATATGTCTGTAGGTTCAAAGTAAAAGTTGGAGCAGATCTTCAGGATGACATGCGGAGATGCAGGCTTGTTAGAGAAATGATTGGCCCTGAAAACATGCTGGTATATATGTATATTTAAATTTTATGAAACAGATGATTTATTATAAAATTATGCTGTCTGTCACTGTGGGTCACATGAATGATTGACATCCTTACTTGTATGTGGTTGGAAATAATCACTCTGTTATCATCTGGCATATGGTACTATGCACTAACAGATCTGAGAGTTCTTTGTTTTTTGTGCCCAACAGAAGCTTTGATGAATTTGACTTGTGCATTTACCTAAATTGTAACTACCTATATTAAAACTATAATTTTAATATATTAGTTTTGTTTTCAAAGCATACATTTTCTTACAACACGAACAGCAAAATAGAATTATAATCTTCATTCGTTGTTTGAGATTTGGCCGTAGTTCAGTGGTAAAGGGTTTGCATTACATACACAAGGTCTCTGGATTAATCCCTTACATCTCCAGACAGGGTGGAAAAACCTTGCCTGAAACCCTAAAGAGCTGTTTACCAGTCAGTGTCAATAATATGAAGCCCTAGTCTGACTCAAGGCAGCTTTCTGTGTTTCTACATCTCACAAAGGTATTGAAATGTTGTACGCTTTATTAATTCGCACGGACATAAGAAAATAAGTACAGATTTTGGATAGACCAAGGGGTTTTCAGTGCTCAAATAACCCCCACCATCCATGTTACCAGCTGGTATGTGCATGTTCCACCATGTCACCCCAAGGGTTAATCAATCCAGTGTAGGCTGTCATGTTTCCCTAACCAAGTCTTACCTTCAGTATGCTTACTAGGATATTTCACTGAATTTAAATCCTTTGCTGGCCATGTCTAACTAAGGCTTGGTTTCTTAAAACTGTTTTAAAAAATTGTTATTTTTTGTTAATTTAATGGATTTTAAAGAATGTTAGCCAGGACATAGTATACCATTTGGATTCCTGAGCATCTCAGCAGTTAAACTAACCTGGGTCATAAGGAAAGCTTGGTTTAGATTTCCATTGTTTTCCATCTGTCTCAAATAAACATAACAATTGTAACAATGAATTCAATAAAATCATAATGTGGGTTTCATCAGCACTGTATTCATTTGTATTGTTAGATGCTGGATGCGAATCAAAGATGGGAAGTGGATGAAGCCATAGACTGGGTGACTAAACTAGCTGCATTCAAACCACTATGGATTGAAGAACCAACTTCTCCTGATGATATTCTTGGACATGCAAAAATTGCTAAGGTCAGAAGAGTTGTTTTCAATGTCAGTCAGTTGACAGATAGCAATGGTGATTTATTGACTGGAAATTTTCATTAGGACATTTGAAACTCAAAATGAAACAGTTGTAAAAAGTAATTAAAATAGACCGGCTATCAGATCCCGTCACACACATGCCACACATGTATTCCATTAAACTTAATGAGTAACATATTTATAAAGGATGTAATAAAAGACTGAAATATATATACTTGCATGTATAAGCTAACTAGCAGTGGTTCTAAAATACATATGATTCATGCACTTTTTAATGTGTTTGGATTAAAGTTCTAGTTATATGAGAAATGTAATACTAGCCAGAGACATGTGATCAACTTGTATTAGAGTATCAGTAGTCTTCCCTGTACACCATTGCTAAAACTCCAGCCATTAGATATGCTTAAGCCACACTGATTTCAGTGGGACTAGCGGTCATAAATGCACTGAGTTATGTTCCAAGTGTATTACTTGTGGTTGTACACAGCCCACCCTCTTAGGTATTTTTTCATGTTTGACTAAGGGGAACACATGAAATATGCTAGCAAATCTGTAGTGTCCTTCAGCTCTCCTCAGTCTTTTTGGCTTTCTCTTGTATGTATTTGAAAAGAACTGAAGGATATGGCACATAAGCTGTTTTTGTGTTTAGGCATTGTCACCATTAGGGATTGGTGTTGCAACAGGAGAACAAGTAAGTCTATTTATCAGTATCATACTTTCATTTTTATGGCTGAAAAGCCAGACTGGGGAGAGGGAGGAAGAAGAGCACAGCTGCTAAGGCTGTGTGGTGCCAGACAGCCCAGCTACCAGTCCTTGTAGAGAAGGCTTGAGCAAACTGCCTCAGTGCTGACAGCCCTCATCATAGTCTGCAAGATCTGCCCATGAGGGCTTTCAGCCATCCCTGTTCAAGCCTTCCCATTCCCCAACAAGCAAAGGGAATACAAGAGAAAATCAGTGTCCCATGGGATACTTGGGAATGGTATAGTGCACCCTACCTCTGAGAAACCCAGTAATATGTTGAGCACCTTTCAGGTAGTGTGGTCTATAAGCCAGACTGCAACCTTCTGTTTTATTGTTGCAGGCAAACCTGCTCATAATATGGCCTTTAGTAGGTTCCCTGTATTTGCTGATATATGGGTTTCTGAAAAAAGACTGAATCAGGAAAATTTCCAGTATACTAAATTAAAATATTACTTTAAGTATGTGCATCCTCAACCCTCAACAAGTTCTTTGAGTGGCTTACAAAAAGTTACAATATAGTACAATAAAACATTTAAACATAACAATATTTGTGTTAGCATTTTAAAAAGCAGTTTTTATTAACAAAATTTAAAATGTGTCATTGATGTACTACAAAAAGATCCCCATATTTTTCAGTAGTCAAAAGTATGTGAACTGAAATATTTGATTAGGCAAAAACATTAAACACTTATTGGCTCAATCCTAAAATATGAGACTGCAATCCAAAAACACTTACTTGGAATAAATCCCACTGAATTCAACAGGGCTTATTTGAGAATATTCAAGTATAGGATTATACTGTGAGCCTACATTTGTATATTCACTGGGTTGGATGCAGTCTTAGTCAAACTTAAAGGGATAAAGGTGACCCTTTGAAAACAATGGACTTAAATTAGTCATTATCTTGTCCACTCAATTTTAATCAACCCTACGTATGGCTATGTCTAACCATCTATTTGATCTGACCTCCAAATATTTTAGACTGTAACTCCCAGCCTTTCTTCACTTGGCCTTGCAAGCAAAAGCTGATAGAAGTACAAAACTTTTGGAGAACATGAGTTTGGAACAGACTAATCTAACCTGCTTACCATGAAGTAAACCAACTGAATTGGGTGGGACTTCAGAGTCTGAGTGCATATGTAAGGTTACAATGTTAAGGAAGTGCATGGAAGGAAATAACTTACAAATATGAGAAGTTATGACAGCTCAAAAGTATTTATTTCCTGAATATGTTTTGAAAGCACAAACTATAAGCATATGAACTTCAGCATGCCCGAAGTGCTCTGTGTACATGTATGTTTCTTCAGAATATTGTTTTAAAATTCTAGAGTAGTCTCTAGAATAAAATATTATACACTAGACTTCGATATTTTTATAAGATTTTTCCAACCTTACAGCATATTGGCTAAACAATTTTTATTTTACTTGTTTATAGTGCCATAATAGAGTGATTTTTAAGCAGCTTCTGCAGGCCCGTGCCTTGAGTTATGTCCAGGTGGATAGTTGCAGGCTGGGAAGTGTCAATGAAAACTTGTCTGTGTTGCTGATGGCCAAGAAGTTTCAAAGTAAGTGTCTCAAAAATTCAATAAAGCTCTCTTTTGTAGTCACTTTTACAGCAGGCACATCAATTCACAGCTTGATCACCTCTTTTTGTACAGTTCTGTGTAGCTGAAGTAAATAATTCAGACATTTGGGTTTTTCCAGATCTTTAAAAAGTTAAAGCATCTTTTTGGACTACATTTACCACCATTTGTGACTATTGACCTTACTGCGTCTGGCTGCTGGGAGTTGAAGTCCAAAAGATCTGGAGGTCCTCAGGCTAGAGAAGCCTGGACTAGGGCATGCATTAAGCACTGGAAAGAAATCACATATTCTTTAGGGCAGGGGTCTCAAACTCGTGGCCCGCGGGCCAATTGCCGGGATGGGTGGGGCACGGGGGAGGGGCCCTGCAGACTTCAAAGCACCGGCGGTGCCCGGGACGGCCGCGGGATGAGCGGCCCATCACCACCAAGGTGGTGGAATACTTGATGCGGCCCAGCCTCACCCAGACTCTACTTCTAGCGGCCCCCAGGTGAGTTTGAGACCCCTGCTCTAGGGGATTGTCCAGTTTGCTTTTGTCAGTGGTGCCAATGAACTTTATCACTTTTCTTCCAGTCCCAGTATGTCCTCATGCTGGAGGAGTTGGGCTCTGTGAGCTGGTACAGCACTTGATAATATTTGACTACATTTCAGTATCTGGTACCCTTGAGAACAGGTGGGTAATCCTTATCTAATTCTCTTCTGTTGTAAATAACTCTCAGAATCTTTTCTTTCAACTCTTAGAAGTGATATAGCTTTGATCAAATAATAGCATATCTGTAATGATCTTATGACCACAGGGGTTCAAAATAAAGCCCTGCTTCTTTTCCATAAATATAAACTTTGCTTTTTCATTCTTGAATGGACAAAGGATCTATTTTCCACAGTAATGATGAAACCAAATGTAAGACAGTAAACTTCTGGTGAGTGTGTAGGCAATTCTTAATATGTACAAGGTTGTATATCAGTTCTACCTTCCTTTCCTTCCAGAATGTGTGAATATGTAGATCATCTGCATGAACACTTCAAGTATCCTGTAGTAATCATGAATGCGTCCTATATGCCACCCCAGGTATTCTTTGCACTGGAAAAGTTGGAATTCTTAACATTCTCATAACTTAATTTTTAATGGTTAAAAGTGAGGTCCAGATGTGGCCTACTCAGAGGATAGCGAAATTGTGTTCTTGAATTTTAAAACATCTATCTCAATCTCCATCAAAAATACTCATGGCACCTTCCACACATTGGATCAGGCTCTTTCTTTTGCGGGAGCATTTAAATAGATGTTTGTGTAACCAAAATATTTGGACTCCTAATATTTATGATTTGCACTTACACAAATAAAGGTTCTCTTTCCATTAAGTTGAATATACTGAATAACTTAGTAATGAACCCAAAATGTATTGTTGATGTATTTAGGAACAACCCTTGACAACCAATTCAAAACTTAATATTTACTTATTTAAAACATTTCTATGCCGCCCCCATTGCAACAAAGCCTCAGGGCGGCTTAATTTAATAGGGTTTAAATTATAAGTCAAACTGTTACAGTTTTACACAGATGTTTCAAAAGAGTGATAAAATAGCCATCAAGACATTTAAGGCTAACTGTATCATTAAAGCCAACAAGAATCCAGTGGGACTTTGGACTAATGAACCTTGCATAGGATTAGCCTATTAATCCACAGAGGGCTTTTGAGTTATTAGAGTGTTCTGTCCTTGAATATTAAACCAGTGTAATACAGCTCATCATACTTTAGTTACATGATTAATCCAGTGTTCCCCTCCCAACATGTAACAGTACAGCCAGTGACCATTATCCAATATTGCGGTTGCACCTCTGCTGGTTCTGTTGCATGCACAGGGTCCACCATGAGCACAGTAGGAATTGGTGCTCCCTAGAAACCCTAAAAAAATGCTTTTCTGAATCACACAGGTCAGCAAGCTCCTTTCTGCAAGCTTTACTAAACTGTACCATTCTAGAAACTATTGTAGCAGCAATTTCCACTAGCATTTGGGCTTTAATGGACTCTGTGCTGAAAAATTATTCCTATAGCTGTTTTAATTTGAACATTTGCTATTTAAATTCATTCCTGAAAACAAGATGGCAGCATTTCAGATGTTCAGAAATTAATTGCAATATTTATTTAAATAGGAAACTTGCAATGGTTCTGTTATTGAATTATACAGCTTTTATGTTCTAGGCCGTCTTAGGAAGATAAGTCTAGAAATACATATATTTAGCATCTACATTACAGTTAAGGGTTCAGTCATATGGCCACTAGGACTTTAGCCACATGTAAAAGTTGGAGGCCCAGCTCCAATCCTGGAAACGCCTTCCAAAATCAGATGTGGGGTTCTGACCTTAGAGTGCCCTTCTTCCACCCAATTAGCCCTGGTAGTTTGTTCACACCGGCTGCAGAGCTGGTGGTTACTGGGATTCCAGAAGGCAGGCAGTAAAACTCCACCAGAAGCCCCTCTGCTCACATGCTCTGTTAAGACGCAGCAGAAATCACTTTTCTCAGCCTTTTGCAAGGCAAGAGGAGCATAAAGGCAACTGTAATCCTCCACTTCTATAGTGCTGAATAACCACATTGGATGGAGCTGTAAATATATTTAGTTTTCTATACTGAGCAAGAACTGCTCTATAGAATTTGTTTCTAGCCAAAGATAGGAGACTTGTGTCCATTTAAAATGGTATAGTATATTTATATGCAAAATATTTATTCCAGGCAGCTGGATATTCTACTGAAATGAAAGAAGATTCTGCAAGGAAATACCAGTTCCCAGAAGGAGAAGTCTGGCAAAAACTTCTATCTGACCATAGTGCAACTAAAATAAGTTAAACGTTGCCAGTCTGAAGATTAAACTCATCTCAGCTATTTTTGTCACTCAAATAGTTGTTGCTAAAGCTTTATAAAGATTTTAGATTCAGTGAATACTCCCAGAAAGCTTTCCCCCACTTGGATAAAAATAGTTTGCAATCTCAATAACAGAACTTAAGAAAAATGGGATACTTTTAAATAGTTAATCTTGAAAGGCAAATGATTCACTTTTCCTGGCGTTGTTCCAAAACAACTACAGAAATATAAACTCAATGTAACTGCTGAACTTTATAAGTTTAAAATAAAGTAGAAGTGGCTTTCACACTAACATAGTGGCGTGCTTTGCAGTATTGTACACTTAGTCAAAATTCTAAATTATAGAAAGTACACAGATTACTGTGAGTGCCTAGCCTAGAATCAGCTGCAAGACTCATCAGCAGTGTGAAGTGAATACAATGTCTCGCAAGCAACTACCTTCAGAGACTGAAAATTGGACCAAGCCCTGTGAAGAGAGAAGGTAAGACTAGGAGAACAGTTTCCTATCCTTAATCACGGGACATGAGTTACATTAAGAAATAACTGTAGGAAGGGAGAATAGTTGGGCTTTTCTGAGGATATACTGATCTAGAACATGGCACACAAAATTAGATTCAAGGACATGAAAAGGGAGAGGGCTTCAAAATTCACCTGTCATCACTGAAGTGACTCTTAGTACATTGTAGCAAAAAAAATTAAGTATGGGAATTTTGCCAAGGCAGAAATTTCTTAAGCACCCTAGAATTTGCATTTTACTAAAATAAAAGACTTCAAGGAGTGAAATCCCCTTAAATTCAGGGGGGAAGAGATATGCATGTGCATTAAACCTTTTTCCCATGGAGTGCAGAGACACCTTCTTACCACCACCACCACCACCCCTATTTTTTGTTCAGCGTTTTCTTGTTTCTCTCAGGGATGTGAATAATTTCTAGCCACTTTACATTGCTACTATTTGGAATTTTACATAAAAATTGCTCAATATTTATCCTAAGCCTTGAATGTAGCATTCTTTTCACTGCTGTCAACTTAGTTCTAAAAGATTTTATCAATGTTGATAGCACATCTTTCATATGTATACTACAGCAGTACCACATGTATTGGATTGTATTGTTCAGAACATGGAACACTTAATACAAATAACTATACAAGATATAGATATACATCTTTCATTTACCAAAATTGAAAAGAGCATCCCCCTCTGCACAAGTGCAAGCATCAAATACAGTGCATATTTAAATGTATACTTCAGATTCAAGCTCCATATGAAAGCTGTGATCACTTCTTAAAATATTGACCTTTGTAGCCTTCTGAGTGACATTAAAAAGCAGAACTGTGGACTGATCATTAGAACAAATCCATTAGACAGCCATTTCCATTTTGATAGTTGGATGAGGATTATAATCCTCTATCTTAAAGTCATCTGCCTTGAAATCATTTATGTTTTCCACTTTTCGAAGAATTTTGAGTTTGGGAAAAGGTCTTGGCTGCCTCTGAAGCTGAAATTAAGATAAATTATCATTCCATGAGGTAGAGATCATAAATAAACGGTAAATACTGTAATTAGCTTTAAGGGATACACATTTAAGTAATAAATTTCACAATGGTTGGTTTAAATTAGTGCACATTCTTGTGTATAATAGCTATATTTGGTTGGAGTGTTAACAGATAATTATACAATTATCTCCAATAATACCTGGTTTATTGCAGATTCATCTTCCTATAAATTTTTGACACAAAGTAGTCAGCATGAGGGACTAACCTATCTTACCTAACATTCAGCCATACTGCATTTGTTATGTGGACAGAAGCTGTAGAAATGTCCCCAGCACACTATCCTGCCTTCCAACCAGGTCAAGGACAGTATCCAACAGGACTCTTCCACCTATGCTGGTACCATTGTGCTTACAGGCTCTGCTTACCTACCCCATTCTAGAAATAAGCATTTCTATTCATTTTGGATTAATTTTAAACAAATGGAAGCCAATGCATATAAACAGTCATTCCCTTGAGTGCACAAGTACAATAGGATCCATGAGAAGCTGTTATGCCCCCCCAGCTAAGTGGCAGACATATCAAACATTTCATTATACGTGCTGAAGAGAGAAAATTGCTTTTATTGCACCAAGGGCTTTAATAGTAAATGTAACACAACTCTAAGCCCACAAACTTGGGGGTGTTCTGTGATAGTAACAATAAATAAAATAGCAATGTTTTGTGATAAAGGGAAATAAGATGAATAGGCAGGATCAAAATGTAAACCCAATTTTCTTTTTCTGGAACACAGATAAAACTTAGAAGTAAATTAGGTGTCTATAACATTCAAGTGACATGCTATAAATTTTAGCAAAAATATAGCCTCAGCCTGATTCATATCAGACAGTTCATTTGTAACACTTCAAGATTATACAATTATGAAAGGATATAGAAACTTAGTAGCACTAGTAATATGGAAACTTGCAAATATTCTAAACGTTTACCTGGATTTTCAAAGGTTCAATATGGTTTAGGTATATATGAGCATCTCCTAATGTGTGTATGAACTCACCAGGCTAAATAAAAAGGGAATAAGCATTAAGGTATGCAACAGAAAAAATAACAAACAAGAATATGCATGATGCAAATAAAGTCATGTTATTTAAATATTACTGAATCAAATTTCTCAGGAAATCACTTCTCTAATAGTTATAAGTTAAATCCTCATTCCTCTGAACAAAATTCAAATGCAGCTATTTTACTGCAGTAAACCTGGAATGAGGTTCAGTATCAGAAAGAGGACCTAAAGGAGTGATCTTTGCTTCCTCACTCTGTGCATATAATCTGTGGATTATGGTAATTTTCTGTTATCTGTTGCTAGAATGCATAACTGCTATTCAAAAGTTGGAGGGACTTATAGTAGATACGCTCTTCTACTCAGTCAAAAAACAAGACACAAGCAGTGCTATCCTGCCCCCAGCATTTATAGTTTAGTTGCTTCTCTCGGCTTTAGGCAGTCTTCTTCTCTCCCAGTAGCTACCTCTGTATCTGCCCTCATAAGTGTAATCTATTACAGCTACCAAAATCCTCCTGCATATTATTTAAAACATTTCTATCCCATCTTTATCCAAAATGGTTCTCCTCCCACCACTGCCCCAATAAAATGCAGAACACATGGTACATAAAATCTGCCATGGGTAGTTATGAGTACTTACAGCAGACATAGAAAGTTAAAATTCAACTTCTAAATTTTGGTGCTTGCAATGATTTGAAGATTTTGCTATGAACATTTTTCAGAAAGCATACCTCCCCCTTCTGCCTGTGAAAATGTCATTTGCAAAGGTCCACTCCATGCAAAAATATGAACCCAGCCATATTTTTATTCCAATTTTTCATATACCAAAACAGTTTCTATCTTAATCTGGTCACTATACCTAAGGAAGAAGCTGAAAAAAGTGGAGAAAAGTACAACTAAAATGAGAGATTGCAGCAGCTTCCATCTACAACTGTTTAGAAAGGCAGTGAGCTGGAGAGTTATGACAGTGGTGTACAAAATAATGCATGGTGAGGAAAAGCAAATATATATATATATATATTTCTCAGTCTTAGCCAAATTCATTGAACATAAGGCTAAGTAGTCAGTGCCTAGTAGTCCAGATGACTATATGCCACCTCTGCCATCAGAGGCAAATGTACCTGTGTACATCAGTTGCTAGAGATCTTGGACATCAAGGTACTAGTACCCTCCTGCTCTATTCTGGGTTTCCTACAGGCAGCTGGTTGGCCACTGTGCAAACAATGCTTGACTAGATGGACCTGTGCTGTGATTCAGCAATGGCTTTTCTTATTGTCTAATATATAAAGGAAATAAATACTAGAAGTATTAAAAGTTACCTTCAACCCTGTAACATGAGCAATCATTGAAGTGAGCAACGAATAACTGGCAATGTTAAAAGGTACTCCTAATCCCATATCTCCAGAACGTTGATATAACTGACAAGAGAGTTCACCATTTAAAACATAGAACTGGCAGAGAGCATGACAGGGAGGTAAGGCCATTGCAGAGATATCTGATAAACAAAAAGAAGACATGCTACAAATATGGTAACAAAGCACTGAAAAATATCCAGTAGTAACATTCTACCCACAGTGTGTCGCTCTTAGAAATAGGCAGAAATATACAAAAATGCAAAGCAGCAGCAAATCCATTTGCATAAACTGGTCTATCCTGTAAAGTACTTGCAGTGGCAATTTCGTAAAGCTCCCCACTCCCAAGTGAACACAGAAGAAATGTATTTTATATTAAAGCATGCTTTTTCAATTACCTAATTTTAAATTACCTAATTTAAAAACAATTTACCTTGGTTCCACACTAACTTGTTAGCACGTACAAAGGATATGCAAGCCAACATGAAGCCAACTTACAGTTTTTAGTAGCTGTTCTAGTGTCTGAGAACTAGTGCCTGCACACACAGCTATAATGATTTCACATAATTAAATGCCATTACATACCTTTGGGATTCCATGCACACATGATAATTCTTCTATTATCAGGATCATTTTTGATTGTATCAATCACTTGCTGCAGCTGATCTATTCCTTGTCCTGTATAATCTAAAGGGATATGGAAGAAAAAATTGATTTTTTTTTATAATGGTCTTTAACACACGTGTCAAGCTCACTTTTAGAAGACAATCATACCACTGTGGTATTGTCTTTTTTAATTTAATCTTAAAAATCTGTGTGGTATAGTGTTTAGAGTATAGGATTGGGATTCTGGAAATCCAGGTTGTGGCCCCCACTCAGTCATGAAGTTACTTGGATGACTTTGAGCCAGTCACTGACTCTCAGCCTAACATACCTCAGAGAACTGTTGTGAAGCTAAAATGAAAAGAAAAAGGATTTACATGCATTGCTTTGGAATGCTTGCAGGAAAAAGGGAGTGACATAAATATAATAAATAAAAGTCCAGTTGAATTTTCCTTTCAGAAATGTCTGACAGCTATGAGGCTTATTGATCAATGCAACCATGGACAGGCTCCCAGTATGCACACTTACACTCAATAACTGTAATGGCATGTTGGGTATGAACAATGCAAATGAATGAGCCCTCTTATACCACAGACAGAACTTTCATACATCCCTGTGGCACCTCATATACAACACTTGTCAATTATGTCAATTTACACATTCAGATATTAGTAAATTAAGAAAAATAAAGAGCACGTATGTACAAACAAGACCTATAATCAGTACAAGTACTTCAGTTTAGATGTTTTGGTAGGTTGGACTGTAAAATGGTTTTCTTTCCTCTGAGAAGGACATTTAAGTGTTTTAGGAAGTAGGAACACCTATAAATCTGCCTCAGTACAATTAGAAGTTCCCAAGGTGCTGAAAAAACTATATTATGTATTGATTCAAGTATATTTTCAATAAGAGATTGTATGTCTTACTGAAGACTAAACTGAATACCATGAGCAATGTATTCAGATAATGACAAAGTTAAGAGAAATGCATAATTGTTGCTTCCAAAATCAACTGTACTTTAGAAAGGAAAATCTTTATTCAATACAACTGTAAAATAATATATTAATGTATTGTCTGCCTTAGAATACAAGATTGAGTTAAACAGTTCATTTTGTCCTTATGTTTGCAGATCCCTAAATATAGGTAGCCAAAATTTACTCTGTCCTCACCTGTATTCTTATCTTTGTATTCAGTTCCAAAATGCCTCCACTGGAAGCCATAAACAGGGCCCAAATCTCCTTCCTCTCTAGAATAGAATCCCTGTTTGTCTAAGAATTCACGTGAACCATTTGCATCCCAAATCTTAACACCTTTAGCAGAGAGCTCCTTTGCATTTGTAGAGCCCTATGTGGGATAAGAGAGAACACAATTATCAGAATACTCAAATAATGCTGATGATAGCAAAAATAAGCTAAAACAATTCATGATTTCTTTACAAGTTTAATAGTGGATTTTTCCATCTGCTTTCTGATAGAATAATTTGTAAGTAATTTAAAATAAGATACTGTGCTCAAACTCTCTGGAAATGAAATATAACAAAGCTAAATGGAAGGGCCAACACAAGTGGCCTTCTAAAATCCATGAGGATTTCATGGTTCTTGGCACTAAATCTTTGAAAAAACAGTCACATTACATTAGTAAGCTGCCATTTGGATGTATGATGACAACTGAATTCAGGTGTTACCATGGGTTCAACACTCAACTTTTGCAATTGCATTTTGTAATATTATCTACAATGTCAAATATTCTGTACAAATGCCTCACTTTAAATTTGTTTCCCACCATTCAGATTTCTTGCTTCTTAATGTTACAACAAACCTTTTATATGAATGTATGTTTCCTTTTCACTTCATTCTACTGTTTGGTTCTTAAGCATTTTGTTCAATGAAAAGCAGCTACTGAAAGGTTCTGACTACTCATATGCTGTATATGTTTGTTAATAAATACAACATAATATATAAACAATAAAACAAATATAATTTGCTAGATGCTAAATTCAGAGAAAGACATTGCTGTATTGTGTTCAGTACACCTGCAGATTCCTATTCACAGGGGTTTTCTTCTTCCCATTCGATACAGTAACTCAAGTCCATGGTGAATCACTCACAAGAATTTGCCATGGAAAGGAATTTACCTATCAGATGCTATGACTAAGTGGCAAGAAAGGACAGGGAGAAAGGCCAGTTGTCCTACAATTCCCACCACTTTTCCTTACAGATCATTTCCTTATTTTTAATTTCTTACCTCTGCATATAACAGGGAGGGATAATAGAATGCTTCCTACCATTTTTAATGGATATAAGCTGCTGACAATCATATTAGTTTGGAAATATCTGCATTGGTTACCAGTTGTTTCCAAGCCTGATTCAAATGCTGATCTTGACTAAAGCCCTATATAGTCTTAATTCGTTTGGGTTCAACCCTGTCTAGTGCTGTGGAAATACATTTCTTTGACAGGCCTGTTTTGTTTTTCATTGCTCTTCCTGCAGAGATGAATGAAAATATTTTTACACCAGGTTTCTAGGATATAACTGGAGGTGTGGTTTTACTGTTGACCTTGCTATTTAAATTGTCTAATATTGAATGTATAACATTTTTAATTGTGACACCCCAGAAACATTTGCATTAAAAAGGTAGTATAAAAATGTCAATTTAAAAAAAATACTATCTTTTAACACTACAGGAAAAAATACATAAGACTGAACTTCAAAGGGGAACACAACAGGACTATCCTACCTTGTTAAACATATAACACTATTTAAGTTAAGTGTAATGTAGTATCAACTAGTTATGCACTACAGTAGTTATCAAGTTCTAAAATAGATTGGGATGTATCTCAACTTATTCATATTTAAGCTAGACCCACTGATACCAATTGAATTTATCATGACTAACGTAAGTCCAAATGATTTCAGTAGTTCTACTCTATTAAGTTTGCATCTAATGCATTAAATAGCATACCTTGATAAACCAAAGTAGTTCTTCAAGCACTCCCTTCCAGAACACCCTTTTTGTTGTTAGCAGTGGGAAATTATCTGAAAATAAATGTTAAAGAGAATTACAGGTGATAAAGGAACATTCTAAATTAGCATCTTATATTTAAATCAGCATCAGAAGCAGGAAAAAAATACTTAGGGTGCAGTCGTACAACTGCTAGACACTTGCCATAGGATAGGTCAGAGTCCCTGCTCCAACCTCAAGAATAACCTTAACTTCCACTCTCAAAGCTGCTGCAATTCTTCTCTTGCTGGTTGTGACTCTGAAGTACCAAGTGCAACTTCAGAGCCTGTGGGGATTTGGGGGTGAGTTTCTGGGAACTGGGAGAAAAGCAGTAGTCTCTACCATGTTTCCTGTGAGAGGGGCAAAAGCCACAGAAGGCTAGTCAGCAGGAATGTGGAGGCAATCTTTGCCTTCACACTTCTCCCACCTTTTCTTGGATGCCCATAATCTTCAAATTCAGATGGTTACAGGCAGTCACACTGTATGGTACCCTTACCAATTGCAGTATGAAGTAGTGAGTACATTTTCAATTCCTTCTGTATGCTGTTCTCAAACTTCTATTTCACCAGTTAGCTTCTCTCCAGATATATTTTTAAATTATGTAAAAAGTTAAGCAAGCCACAGACATAGGCCTGATGGCCATTCAGCATTCACCCTCTGAAACAGGCTTAAGAGAAAGTACAGGGGCAAAGATACATTTTCTGTACCTTCATAACTTACTACTGGTTTGCCTCTTCTGAATGCCATTGACAAAAGAATATTGTCAGCAAAAATACTGCTTATGTGAGGATGCCAAATATTTCACTTTGTTAGGATATGCATGAAAGCATCTATTGTTCATAGCATACCAAAACCATGTTTCATTCATTATTTTAGGAAGTTATAGGGTGACTAAAGCTTTTTGCTTTAATTCATGATTTGTGTGGAGCTTCATTATTAGAACAGTTTTTCATACAATCCTTCCTTCCAGTACAAGCAACTTCTGGCCATGCAACTGGCATTACTTGTGTATAACATTAAATATAATACAGTGCAGATTTAAAGAACTGGGAGAGGAAAAATGTGAAATTAATCTGCTTAAACAATAGGGAAATTATGAAATTAATGGATTTTAAAAGAAACCTTTTTGGTTGCTTTTGGCTTTCTGATTAGGGATGCTGATGGATTAGTAATGGTGTGCTTACAAGGTAGCAACATGTGTTCTAATGGTAAATAAGCATGAACTTAATGAGAAAATCTATTGACACCATTTTTGGCATTGCATGTATGAACTCAAAGATGTTGTATTGACCATGATGACCTCCTGTATTGCTGATACACAGAAGATATAACACATACAGCAGTAGAAGCAAAAGAGTATGATTCAATGAACAGGATGTTCACTATAAAATTACCATGAAAGCAGCCAACTGCAAATGGTTGGCTTCCCTTTCTGAATGAGAAATTAAAGATATCTAATGGCCCGTACAAAACAAGGTAATATAGGAAAAAGCAGGTTGCTTACCTGTAACTGATGTTCTTCGAGTGGCCATCTGTGCAGTCACACATATGAGTCTTTGCATCACACATATGGGGTGCTGCACCTGCACAGTGCCTTTGGCCGGAAGATTGCAAGCTAACGGTTTTTTGGCAGGAAAGCTCCGCTCCCCCTCCCCCATGGCCTATTAAAGAGCGGAGCGTCCGCCATCTTGTTCAGTCTTTGACGACCGAACGTACGCCCCCATGTGGCAAAAAAGAAAAATTATCCCTACTGTAATGACATCGGTACCAAGAAGAATGGAAATGGTCGATACCAACAAAATGTCCACTCACCGACACCAAGCGGGGCCAGTGGGTGGGTTGTGTGACTGCACAGATGGCCACTCAAAGAACATCAGTTACAGGTAAGCAACTTGCTTTTCTTCGTCATGGCCTCTGTACCTCACACATATGGGTGATTAGCAAGCTTACCATGATGGAGGAGGAGAGGTGTCCTCAACGAAGAACAGATGAAAGAACGGCTCTGCCGAAGGAGCAATCTTGTCAAGCCCGAACATCTAAACGATAATGTCTGGCAAAAGTGCAAGGATTCACCCAAGTAGCAGCTCGACATACATCATGAATCGGGACTCCCGATGCAAAGACAGACAAGGCAGCAACAGCCCTAGTCGAATGGCTTCGAGGAGTTGTGGGTAAGTCAATCTTAGCCAGTTGATAAGATAAAGTGATAGTATGGACTATCCACTTAGAGTCTCTGAGGAGTGACTGGAGTGCCTTGATCTCTGGTAGAATATTTAAAGAATAGTCTATGCGAGCGCCAAACAGATTCCGTTCTAGATCTGTAGAAGGCTAAGCAGCGCCGAACGTCAAGTGAGTGTAACGATCTTTCTAAAGGATTCGATGGAGATGGAAAAAAGGCAGGTAAAATAATATCCTGTCCCATATGAAAAGGCGTGGACACCTTAGAAGAAAAGATGGATCAAGCCGTAGGACGACCTTTTCTCTGTGAAAATTTAGGTAAGGAGGGTCTATGCGAAGAGCGCAGAGCTCACTGGCCCTCCGGGCCGAAGTAACCGCCACAAGAAATGCAGTTTTCCACAAAACAAGACGTAAATCGACTGCTGCCAATGGTTCGAAAGGAGCTCTTGTAAGCGCTTGTAAAACAACAGAGAGACTCCAGGTAGGCATTACTGGCCTGATTGATGGATTGAGATTATAAAGACCCTTAAGAAACCTCTTAATAGTAGGTTGAGAGAAGATGGGTGATCCGTCCACCATGCCATGATGATAGGCAATTGCCGTCGTATACACTTTAATTGAAGATGGTTTCAGTCCCGAGTGATGCAGTTCTAATGGGAACTGAAGAATTTGATGTATCGATGATGCAAATGGAGAGAACGAATGAGACTCGGCAAAGGTGGAAAATCGCCTCCATTTGGCCATGTAGGACTTCCGTGTAGATGACTTTAAAGCGGAATCAAGGATGTGTTGAATATCAGGATGAAAGGTTGTCGGATTTGACAGAGTAATCCTCGGATCCGACGGTGCTGGAGGAGCAAAAGAGGAAGCAGCGCTGACTCCAGTGGATTTGAAGGTTCTGAACGCAGCAGATTCGAAGGCAGGATTCGAATCACTTAAAGTTGCCGTCTGTACAGATGAAGCAGAGTTAGCTATCAGATTTGCCACGCTGTTAGTTTCAACGATAGTATATCTGGATGGCGAAGCGCACTGTTCTGCTGGGTTATGAGGTACAGAAGCAGTGGAAGATGAAGGTATTCCCCGTGAGAAATGTCGAGCAGTGTGGCAAACCAAGGTTGGCGTGGCCACCAAGGGGTAATTAGTACCCCCGTGGCCCGATCATATACAATGTTCGCTATGACTCTCATCACAAGAGGAATTGGCGGGAAGGCGTAAAAGTTCAGGTTGTTCCATGGGATCATGAAGGCATCCCCTAGGAATCTATACCCGATTCCCGCTCTCGAACAGAAAGTCTCGCACACCTTGTTCTGTTGGGTGGCGAACAAGTCCACGTCGGGGAACCCCCAGTGATGAAAAAGATCGTCACGTGTCTGAGGATCTAGCTCCCATTCGTGAGAGGTGAACATGCGCCTGCTGAGAAGGTCCGCTTCCACATTGTCCGTACTGGCCAAATGGACTGCCATTAGTGTAATGTCTCTCGAAATGCACCAGTCCCAGAGCTGCATAGAAAGTCTGGCCAGAGTTGGGGATTTCGTTCCACCTTGTTTGTTCAGATAAAAGATGGTGGCTATGTTGTCCAATGTTGTCTGAACGACCTGATGTTGGAGAACATCCTCAAAAGAAAGTAGGGCTTTGAATACCGCCAACAGCTCCAGGAAGTTGATATGATTCGTGGATTCCTGATGAATCCACGTGCCCTGGGTATATAGGCCGGAGCATACTGCTCCCCACCCCAGAAGAGAAGCGTCGGTACCGAGGGTTATCGATGGGCATCGGGGCCTGAAGGGAACCCCAACAGTCAGATTGGCCGGGGCCGACCACCATAGTAGAGAATAAAGCACCGAGGATGGGATTCGAAGCAACTTCGACGGTGGATCTCTCTGTGGATGGAACATCTTGATGAGAAATAGTTGCAAAGTTGAAGTCTGGCATGTGGTACCACCAGAACGGAGGAAGCCATATGTCCCAGAAGCCTCTGGATGGACTTCGCTGGAACCGTCCCGTCTCGTCGCATTCGATGGATGTGGTGAGCGAGAGTCTGTTGTCTGTCCTGAGGGAGGAAGGCCTTTTCCAACATCGAATCCAAATGGGCTCTGATGAATGTAAGCTTCTGCACCAGAAGAGAAGATTTCTCAGTATTAATGCATAGGCCCAGATCGTCTAATAAGGCACAGGTTGTATGGATGGATGTGATGAGAGCTTCCCTAGACCAGGACACCAGGAGCCAGTCATCAAGGTAAGGGTAAACTTGTATGCCCTGGAGGCGTAGGAAAGCACAGATAGGGGCCATGCATTTAGTGAACACTCTCGGAGCAGTGGCCAAACCGAAGGGTAGAACCGTAAATTCGTATAAATCAGAAGCAACAGCAAAGCAAAGGAACGTCTATAATTGGGTTGGATCGCAATATGGAAATAGGCGTCCTTCAGGTCCAATGAGGCGAACCAATCCTCTTTCCTTAGCAGCGGCAAAATATTTTGAAGGGTGGTCATTCGAAACTTTTTTGTCACAATAAATCGATTCAGATTATGTAAGTCCAAAATCGGATGTAGGCCACCATCCCGTTTCGGGACTGTAAAGTATCTGGAGTAGAATCCGTGGAGTCCGTCATGTGGAGTTATTTGACGAATCGCTCCTTTACGAAGAAGTTGTTGTATTTCATCGAGCAATACCGGCGAGCATGATGTAAACTGGATCGGACTCGATGGAGGAACGATGTTGAATTCTATCCGATAGCCGTGCTGTATGATGGACAATACCCACCGGTCAGATGTGATAGACTCCCAGATGGGGAGTTGGCTTCGCAGCCGATCCCCAGATGAGAGTGGGGTGGGTATAGGATGGGTCAGAGGAATGGTTCGCCAGTCTCATCAACGCTGCCTCCTATTTCCGTCATAACGGCGACAGCCCTGTTGGTAACGTTGCTGGGGCTGTTGGCGGTGTTGCTGTGGTCAGTGCTGCGGCTGTTGCCTAGGCTGATAGGACTGTCTATAGGACAGATGGGTCCATGCCCACTTACACCTAGGTTGAGACTGGAGCTCCATCCGTCGGGCCGTCATGCGGGACTCATGGAGTTTGAGCTTGTGATCAGTCCTGGAGTGGAAAAGCCCAGACCGTCAAAGGGCATTTCCTCAATTCGGCGCTTAGTCTCCTCCGGGAAGTTGGCACTCCTTAACCACGCATGTCTGCGGAGAGATAGCACCGACCAAGGCTCTTGAGTCAGTGTCCACATGGTGCCTCGCTGTGGACAACTGCTCGATGGCAACATGCATCAGCTCCTTTATTAGCACCTTCGCCAGGTCACCCTGGTGGTCTGGGAGGGTCGAGACGACGTTGAGGCGTTGCATTATGAAGTACTGGTACCTCGCCAATGTCGCCTCGTAGTTGGAAATACGCAGCCCCAGGTCTGAGGCTGCGTAGACTTTCCTGGCCAGGGAGTCGATTTTATGTCCCTCCTTATCCTTTGGAGCGGTGTGGCCTCTTGCTTCTCTACCCTGGGAGGACTCCACCATGACCGAGTTTGGCTTGGGGTGGCGGAGGAGGAAGGGAATGTCCTCCTCCCGAACCCGGTACATGGATTCATACCTCTGCGACGTGGGTTGAGGGTGAGAGGGCAAGTCCCAGGGTTGTGTCATCGCCTGTCGTAGGGTGGTAATCATATGGCCTGCTTAGAGAAGGCCAGGCAGTGGGAACATTTGTCAGTCCTATGCCCCTCCCCCAAGCAGAGGAGGCATAGGTCATGCGGGTCAGTCGGAGACATCTTCGACCCATATTCCGCACATTTGCGGAAAGCCGTTCGCTGCACCATCGCAAGAAAGGGAAAAAAGACAGTACAGAGGGTAAGAATATATTTTTGGTTTGTTTTTTTTAAATAGAGAACTGTAAGAAGCAGCAAGAACTAACAGGGATATATCAACTGGGAGAATAATCGAGAATAAAAAGTAACTATATGAGTAACGGTCAGAGCGATAGACGAAAGCGGCACGAGGCACAGTGAACGGCGGTCGCAAAGACTGAACAAGATGGCGGACGCTCCGCTCTTTAATAGGCCATGGGGGAGGGGGAGCGGAGTTTCCCGCCAAAAATCCATTAGCTTGCAATCTTCCGGCCAAAGGCACTGTGCAGGCGCAGCACCCCATATGTGTGATGTAAAGACTCATATGTGTGACTGCACAGAGGCCACGACGAAGAACCTATAAAAAGGAATACATTATTGAATTCTAATTCTGCACACTTTGTGTTAGTGAAAAAGCAGGTAGTAAAGAACTTGCTGCAGAAAGCTTTGAGTGACTACAATTAATTATTCTGAGGCATTAAAACAAAAGGAACTGGAAAAGGTTAATGGCTATCAGTTCCAGCTGTAGAAGTATACCAAAAGACTGCCATTTGTGATTCAGTAGATTACTCCATAAAACCCATAAGATCCTTGATCACTATAATATCAAGGTTAATGTCCTTTATACTGCCTTAGTAACATTGAAACATCATCCTGTGAAACCTCAACTGAACGATAACAAATACTGGACATCAGAATGCCCTAAATGTATGGTAATAAGGAAGAGTGCAATTTACAAACTCAATGTTTGGAATATAATTCCTTTTAAATAGTGAAACTGGAAGACCTCTTCTGAAAAGAGATAATGCACACTTGACTGATATTTAGTGTAATAAAAGACATGCTAGACCTAAAACGCTGGTAGAAATTAATGGATTTTCAATTAAAATCTTGGTGCTAGCAATTCAACTGAGTCTTTGAAAGAAGATTAAGAGGGCAGTTTGTTTATCAGATGACACCTGGTATCAGTGTGAAGGATGAGATGAACAAGCTATTACATTTATTAACATGACTTTTGGTTGCTCAACACAGATGCTAATTGTTCATCTTTGTTTTCCCACTGAAGTTTGGCCTGTTTCGGACTGGTTCTGGCTCAGTTTACGTGGTATTTTAGCATTCTCCTATCTGTAATTGAAGTTGGTCTTTTTATTCCAAAATATTTCAAATTTTAGAATGGGGGAGGGGTTTCTCTGTAAATGTATAAACTGGGTATTTGTTCATTGTATATTAAGTTTTAGATTGTTATATGTACACAACACAATGATAGAGCAAATTTGTTTCATTGTCTTAAGGGGGACTACACAAGATCACCTTCAAGGTAAAGTTGTAATGCAGTACAGAGTTAATTACATTGGACTGTAGGTAAACATCAATAATTGTCTAGGATTGAACCTGGTTATTATGACATTGCCACCCTTTTGTGAGGAATCCAAGACAGCTTACATAGTTCTCCACTCCATTTTTATCCTCACAAAGGTAGGTTGGGCTAAGAAGCTGTGACTGACCTGAAGTAATTCAATGAGCTTCATGGGTAAGTAGAGATAAGAACCTGGATCGCCAGTCCACACTGCCTCTCAGTGTGGACAAACACAATGTTTCTTTATGTCATGAAAAGTAAATACAAGTAATAATTTTCTGCAATAATACAGTATCACTCCCATGAATACCAAATTAAGGTGGTACATGGCACCTAAATTCAATACAAAACTGGATGGAGAAACAAGGAAATTTGTATTTTCAGAGGAGCCCCAAAGTTGGCAGAAGCAGAGAAACAACCGTTGAACATTATTTAAGGGGACAACCCCTCCTATCCCCAAAAAGTATCCCAGTGATTGAACTTATTCAATAGCTGTAGTGCAGCACTTAAAATGTTGGACTCGGACTAGAAATCTAGGTTCTATCCTCATTCACTCATTTAGTGCACTGTGTCACTTTGAGCCATTCATTTACTCGACCTAACCTACCTCACAGGGTTGTTGTGAGATTGAAATGGAAAGACCATGTAAGTCACTTTGCGTTATTTGTAAGTGGAAAGGTGAGATGCAACTGTAATGAATACAAAATACAATGGAATAATGAATGTCAACTAATAAGTCAGAAAAGGGATAAGGTATTCTAATGCTTGAGCCTGGATATCAATATTTTCTCCCAAGTTTCTTCTTTAAAATTGTATGACAAACATATCATTCAATATGTTTAATAGGATTCATTTTAAGTGTACAATTTAACAATCCATATTAAATTCAGAATTCACTTTAAACTTGAGGCAGTGTCTTATTCAAAACTAGTGCTAATATAAATTACATTGCACTAGAGCAAGCAATTTTTAGGACACCTTATAGCTTTGCAGAGGTGATACTTTTTCTGTGGAAACCTATTCTACCAGCAAGTGCTGTCAGCATTGTGCTAAAGGTTGCTTACATTAGTGCAATGTAATTTGTATTAGCACTAGTGTCAGACAAGATAGCACCCTGGAATCTTTTTTTTTAAAATATGTAATAAATCCACTCTGATTCTAGGGCCTTGACGTTAAGGCAAAGCTGCCCTAAGACTCCTAGCACTGTCAGTTTAAAAGGCATTGTGCATTTACTGTCTTTTATTCCGTAACGTTTTTCATTTCCGGTTTGAAAAGAAAGAAAAAGTGGGAAATTCCAAACGACTACAAAGGGGTTTAAATGCAAGACTGTCCAGACCCTTTCCTGTAAAATTCCATGAATATAGTAGTGGAATTTCACAGGAGAAGCCTCGTTTGTAATCACCCCAGCAGCAGCCAAAAACACAGCAATAAATACACGGTTCTGGCAAGGAAGCTACGCCCTGCTTCAAAGGAAGCCCTTGTATGCTAGGACATCAACCTGCAAACGATCGGGAGAGCTGAATGACTAAAGGCACGGACAGTATACACCTATTTTAAATAAAATAAACTTGCCCCCCATGAGTCACCTTGGAATTTGGGCCTGTAAAATGAAAACCAGGCGTGTGCATATGAATACACAACACCAAGATCGGAAGTTTGGGTTCTGGCGGGAATATATTGCGTCCTCCCGCCACCACCGCAGCAACTATTGGTGGCCCGTGCCAGCTCCGGAGGCAGATACTCTACTGCTCCTCCCCCGTCCTCCTCTACAGAGTTTTTTTTAAAACCCAACAAAATAAAACCAGGATCTAGAAAACCAGGATCCTATTCACTATTTGTTTCAAGTGACATCCATTTCAAGGAATCTTAGTAGAAAGCCAGGGAGGTGTAGTGACTGGGACACAGGCAGGGTGTAGCCCCCGCTCAGCCATGGAGCCAGTTGGGTGACTTCGGGCCAGTCGCAGATTCTCAGCCCAACCTACCTCACAGCGTTGTTGTAGGGATCAGATTGAGAAATGGAGAATTATGTATACCACCTTGAGTTTCTTGCAAGAAAAAAAAGGTGGGATATAACTAAACCAATAAATAATTGAGTACAAGCTCTCTACAAAGATTAGAATTTCATTTGTTTCAAATGAGAAGCGTTATGTTAATAAATTATAACAGTCTCATAAAGCTTCCCTTCTTCAAGCTTCCTAAAATTACTGACAGGCGGGATTCGTTCTCTAGCAAGCGTCAGAGGCTGGCGGCAGCTTTTTCCCACCAATCCCCGAAGGGCAAGGAAGAAACGGGAAAGAACGGGAAGGAATCAGGAGGGCAAAAAGCTTCACCTCGGAGGCTATACCGCGCTTGCATGCCAAAGATGGAGAGTGTCCCAGTTCCGGTCCTATCCTCTTTTTTGTGCCCGAAGCGCAGGATCTGCTCGATCTGCCTCAGGTACTGAAGCTCCCCGTGAGGCGGTGAGTCCATCGCAGGGGGCTCCTCCTGAGAAAGCGCGGGCTGCTGCTCCGCACTGGTTTCAGCAGGCATCGCGGCAAGCAGCAAAGGAACGGCGAAGAGGGGCGCGATTCTCTCGGCGAAAAAGCGCCGTTCTTAGGTGGTGGCGCGAGTTTAGAATTGACGCGTTCTCGCGCCTCTTTCCCGCTACGCCAATAGAGAAGGCCAAGAGGCAGGCACTACTACAGATACTGAATTGCTACTGGCTGCTGCGCCTGCTGTTTTAGTGTGATCATCACTAGCCTAGCGAGAAAATAGTTTAACTCCGGCCGTTTCCGTAGCGGCCGCGTTGATCTCGGTACCACAGAATAGGCTCGGTTTTTATTAGAAAATTATATACTTCATCCTGAAGTGTTCCCGCATACAGGAATTTTTTCCAAATGGCCTTTTGTACTTCCGCAGACATGAGAACTCCGCCCCCCAGTCAGCTGATAACGTAGTCTGTGCTGATTTGTTTACGTAAGGACCAACGGTATGATAATTGCGGTTATTAGCAAAAGGTGACGATATAAATTAGGCAAAGCCTACAACTCCCAACGTGCCCTAGTCGGACGTAGTGCCTGGGGAATGCTGGGAGTAGTAGGCCTTTTGTTTACAAGTGCGTGGGACTATGCTCATTAACGGCGCTGTTGCAAATTGCTTTTAGCTGTATTGACGAAGAGCAAAATGAGCCTGTTTCAAATGGCTCTAACGTAACCGGCTTTCATTTTAATGGGTCTACTCGAAGCAAAAATACCGTTAGATAGAACCCACTATATAACGTGCATCAAGCGCCATATTCAAGTTTTGAGAAAGCTGCATTGCAGGGGTGTTTTGGGGCAAAAGGGATAGGGCTAAAAGGAGAAGACCAAATACTGGCATGTTGTGCTTTAAAGCGCTTTCTGCCATTCAGTAAATCTTTGGGGTGGGCGAGAGAGGTTTTAACCTTTTAGAATGAGAAAAAAAGAGCTACAAAAAGGCTGAGAAACCGCCAAATTATGAAGGGTCAGGGAAAGGGCATTGCTATTAGGAGAACTCCTGTAGCCCAGACTGAGACCACATAAAAGCTAAATTTGGTCCTTGGACGTGAGGGTCACCTTAATGTGTAGGATTTGAGTGCTGACTGAATTTGTTACCTGAACCAGCAGAGTGTTCTTAGTCACTTCTGAATGAAATTTTGACTGTATTAGAAAGTGAAAAGGATATAGCAAGATATTTACAATGCTTATGCATGTACTGGTTGCTACTGTAATTCTTGCAGGCTGTCTTGAGCATTTTAATGAAAGGGTAATTTGAACTATTTTAACCAATATAGTTGAAAGAAGTGCAGTACAGGTTGTGGTTACACATACAATTCTGTCCTCCCTACTGTTCCCCACGCACCAGCAACTGCCACCCAAGGCTTCTGCTTCACTCTGTTCACAGGTCTGGCCCTGCATGCTCTGCTAGATTGGCCTGGAGAAAAGTAGGAGGATGTGCTCTATGTCCTACCACCATTGTGCCAGCATCACAGATGTCCAAAATAGGCTTCAGAGGCAGCGTGAGAGGGTTTGTTGGTTTATTCTAGGGTTAGCTATACGTGGAAGTCTAGTAAGACAGACAAGTTTATTTAAATATTGTAAACTGCTTGGAGAGCTTCAGCTATGGGCAGTATATAAATGTAATTAATAATAATAGTGGCTTGTAAGCTGCCTTTGGAGGAGGAGGAGGAGGAGGAGGAGGAGGAGGCCCTAAACCTGTTAAATAAAACATTTGTTTACATTGCACTGAATTGTATTGATTGAGTAAACATCCATTAAAGAAATACAATTATCCAGATTAATTAATCCTAACTAATTTAAAAGGTTTTTTAAATTTCTCTCTCTATTATTTTAATGCATGGTTATCTGCACAGTGATGCCTTTTTAAGTTTTGTCTTAAATTCCCAGCTCAGTCAAGGGAATGCTCTCCAATTAGAACGTTATCTTGAGATTATGGCTTTATATTGCATTGGACTATGATTATGGTAGTTGTGAGCTACTTGTGGCCCTACAGATGTTTTTGCCTACAATTCCCATCATCCTTTAGCATTGATTATGCTGGCTAGTGCAGATAGAAGTTGTAGGCCAAAACATTTGGAATGCCTCAATGGAGTACATAATTATACATGAGTCTGAATTCCCTGGGCAACATTTTGCGTGCTTTGTTTAGTTCAACATATCTACACAGTAAGATGCTGGACTGTAGCCAATTTACAGTTGTTGCTCATGTTGTATTCTTAAAATGTATAAGGAAATAAATTAACCACAGACCTGCACGCTGCAGGGTGTGACTGGTCAAATGTTGTTTGCATGAAACACAATCTTATTCTAGCAATTTGGATTCAGAGATAACTATAAGTATGTTACGAAGAACACATATTTATATTTCATTTATTTGCTTTATTTCTATAAGCCATCTTTTCACAGAGAAATTGCTGCAGTATGTCAAAGGAAACATAAAATGTAGAACACAGTAAACTATTCTCCATGATGTTCAAAATACAAACTTTGTAAAAGATTTGATGAATAAATAAAAGAAAAACTGAAAACCAAATGTAATAGTTTGGATAGTACATGAATATATTATGTTATATTAATATATTATGCTATATACTCTAGACTTGGTACTCATCATTTCTCCCTATACATAGAGATCCCTATCATGAAGGGAAGTAGCACAGCCTACTCTTCTCTTGGTATTGAAATATTAAACTCTGATAGTACGATTTGGGTATATATTATCTCTGGGAAGAAGAAAGCAAAATGAAGAAACTTCCACAACTGGAGCACACAAAGTTAGCCAGAATAATAATTAAGTTCCTGAATGTGCTTTTGCCCAAGGTTGAAAATAATTTACTGATGCCGAACCAGCTGTATCACAATGCTGCTTTTGTTTATCAAATATCACACCCATATATTGATTCCGCTTGCACAGACTGTGAAACACTTTCACAACTCATTACAGCTTCATAGTGCTAGCAGTAACTTAGCTACTTGCAAAAGTGCTGTTTGTTTGGCTTGCACTTAAGCAACTGCTCACAAAACACCACCACTGATCAGCTGAATAAGAGCTAGAATACTGAACCTTTGAAATGTATGCATAAATGTATCATCCCTTTTGTACACAAAAACAAAATGCTAAAGAGAAACATTTTCAACTGAATCAATTACATCAGCTGTCTTTCTGTAAACTTATACTTTCTAACTGAACACAAATAGAGATCATGGAGTTACATTCATAATAATGTTAACATGATTTTTAAAGCATTTTGTCATCTACAGGTTTCTTCTGTAAGCTGAATGTTGATGTGCTTTGCTAAAAGGAGAATATGCTGGATTTAAAGCAGATCATATTTATCATATCTTCAGTCTAGGGAGATAAAAGCCATACTTAACAAAACAAATGATGCTGCAGTACAGCTCTAAAAGAAATATTTTAAAATTCTTTTAAATGAAAGGATTCAACCTGATTACAATGCCATTCTGATTCCTCTCTCAGCAGCAGTACAGAACCTTTATGTTAGCAAAACACATTAGGCCTCTGGACATAATGATCCCGTTCACAAGTCACGGATTCAACAAACCATGCCAGAGCAAATGCTTTCTCTTGAGCGGGGGTCGGCAACCTTTAACACTCAAAAGAGCCATTTGGACCCATTTCCCACACATAAGAAAACAATGGGAGCTGCAAAACCCTTTTGACATCTAAAATGAAGATAACACTGCATATATTGTTTTTTACCTTAATGCTATCTTCATTATGATTTAGCTGCAGCCCTTGTTTAGTCACTAAAAACTGTTATTTTTAATCTTATAAACTAGTAGGACTTCTTTCATATATTTTGAATAGGAGAACAGCTTCCTGAAGAGTCAAAGTCAGTGCTAAAGTGCTGCATGTATGAAACAGCAAACCCCATAAGTTCATCAGCAGTAAAAGCAAATGAATCTACCCACGTATCATTAAACGTTTGGTTTTCTTCAGAAACTTTTCTTCCATTTATCCATGGCTGGCCTACGGAGGGGTGGGGGGGAGCTCAGTAAATCAGCGTGGGGCGGGTCGGCAGGGAGATATAGGTGTGGTTAGTAACTGATTAGCAGATAAACAGTCAAGTGCTGTGAATTGTGACTGGTCCCAAGCACAGCTTTTAACATTCAGATGAAGGAGATTACATTGGGACAAAGAGAATCTTTTCAGCAGCATTTTGTGTAACATGAAAGCCTGCAGGAAGCTTATTTAGCAGAGGAATGTAGTGATTTACTTAACTAGCTGATTTACTTAACTAGGAGCTTTGAGCAGATCAGCACATGTTTTGAGCCACAGAGCCGCAGCAGAGGAATTCAAGAGCCACATGCGGCTCCGGAGCCACGGGTTGCCAACCCCTGCTCTTGAGTATTTGTTGTGTCTGTTTTATATCTAGCTTTGTAAGCAGTCTAAGAATAACCCATTCTGGGATACTGTTGTGATGTGCTATTCTGGGCAACCCCCAGTTTAAACTCAGTGATCACACATGATTTGTGGGCTAATTAACCCCAATGAACCCAGAGTGCTCAACATTAACCCAACAACAACAACCCTTACCCTGAAACAGGGAGTTCCTATCGCTGGGTTGTACATGAACTGGATTTAAAGCAGAAGCAGTGAAGGCATCCCACACACTCACTTCCACTGTATGCTGGCAATTCATGAAAGGTCAAGTGGATCAATGTTCTTTTAAAATATATTAGGACAAAAAGTGTAACAAACCTCCTGTCTTGTTTTTCCCCTTATCTCCCTGTAGAAACTCAGGACTGATGATGAACCCTCACATTTTACTGGAAGGAGTGAGTCTGCCCCCACCCCCACACCCCTGTAATAATCTAATAAGAACTGCACAGGCTCAGTGAGCATCGAATGCTGACTACCTTGAGGAGGGAGACCTGAAAACAGGGGAGGGGCTTCCAGAATTAATATTCTGGAAGACAGGAATGAGTGGGTGGCTGGAACTCCAAGGAGGAGCATTTCATGCTGCCACACTTTGTTACAGGTTCAACTTGTATGTACTCATTGCAAACACACAGGTTCAGTTGCATCAAATGTAACCAGATGCAGCAACTAAAAACGAAGTATTATTGGCATCCTCAGAGAGTGTTCAATGTTCTAAAAAAGTTAGGAGAAAAACCTTTCCTGGTACAAGAATTGAGCACCTTGGTTTGAAACAAAATGCTAAAGCAGACTGCAATAAAATTTAGCATAGGGTCTGAATTTTGATGTACTCTGGTATAGAAGCCATACAGATAAACTACCAGTGAACTCTTTTTCCCAGGATTAGCTTGGTTATCAGTATCTTTCTGCCCAGTTAGTAAAGAAAAATTGTTATATCAAATGTGCATCTGTGTTAAACTGTGTGTTTGAATGATTGTAACACTCATTCACAGCAACATAAACCTGAGCCAAAATTAAATAAAATCATTCTATGTGTTGTATATGAAGCTGATCGAATTAAAATTACTTTTTTAAATGTGAAGATAATTGACTTGCCACACCTAGAAATTCTTCTTGTAAAGTTGTAAAGCTTTTCCAGCTACATATTCAATGAATTCAGAACTCTGAATGTCTAAACCTTGGGGAACTTTAATAGTAAAAGTAGGTGAAGTCAAAATATTCACATCTACCACTGTTTCATTCAGACTGGAAGCTTCCCCTCTTTCCGTACTTGATGAAACCTGAAAGAAAGCAATGACAATTGGATACTCAGTACAGCATGTGATAACTCAGGACAATATTTTGATGGTTTTATTACTAAACATCTTCATTTTTAAGAAAATGAATGATAGATGCTATTATGGGTGATCGCCAAACTGCTCATGAATGATGTTTGCTGGGGAAATGAGGAACAAGGAAATTTGGGGTGATTTTCCTTCTGCTTTGCAGCCCAACATGTACCACCCAAATCTGTTCCAGACTGGGACAGCAGTCAGGTGGGGGAATTACTGAAAATTGCCCTCTCCCCATTCACTGAATAAAACTCTACTAGTTTATTTTCAGACCAGTCAGAAATTGTATAGTTTAGTATGATATGTTTAGGACTGTGGGACTGGAGATCTGGGTTCTAGTCCCCACTCAGCCATGTAGCTTGGTAGGGTGACTATGGGCCAGCCACAGACTCTCAGCCCAATCCATCCTGTAGTGAGAATAAGATTGAGACAAAAAAGAGAATTATGTAAGCCACCTTTAGTTCTTTAAGGAAGGAACTCAAAAGGAGGATATTAATATAAAAATGAATTAAAACACCATGATGTACTACATATAATAGATGTAAGATAGCCTCATTTGCTCTTTGTTTATAAGCTGATGTGAAAGTGGACATTTGAATCATTTTTGAAATCACCTACTGGGAAAAAAAATTGGATGCACTGTTTGACTTTCACCCTATATGTCAATAAGTTCTACAATTTTTTTTTTTTTTTTGCCTCGAGTTCTAATTTTATTGTCTTGATGTAAAGAAGGTATAAGTCAGTCACAAGCAAAACTTTTTTCATCTGGAAAAGTAATCTGTGGTCACACAGATCTGTTGTTGCCATTTCATTCCATTTAAATGGTGATACAGGTCACTTACCCATCATACTAAAAGGATTTAGAGTAGTGTCTAAATTCTGGAGTTTCAGATCAGCAAGGGATTATCAAATGTACTTAAAATCTACCTGAACAATGGCTTAGTATTTTTAAGAACAAAACCCCACACACATTTTCCCCAGGTAATACACAGTGAAAAAAAATCAATACAATAGAACACATCATTCTGGTTGGTTACTTTCATTTTTAATGTATGACATTTACCTTTACTATATTGAAAATGTTTTCAGGTCCTACAGTCATGTTGGATAGCTCAGACACCCATCCAAACCTTTCTTTCATTTTATTCAATAAGTAGGATGTATCTTGTGTATGATGCTGGACCATCTGGAGAATCTGTTGATACTGCTCACCAGAAATGTTAACAAGCTTAAAGGCATCATCATACTTGATATGTAGTTCAGGAACACTGGGGCAAGCTATAGAGAAATAAATTTTTAAAAGTCATTCATATAAGAAAAATGTGAAAGCTGTGCAGATCACATATGTGACAACTGCATGCATCAAGCAGTTAGAATAGTTGGACAACTGCTTTTCATTTAAAGAAACAATCCCAAACATATGTATTTGGAAATAACTCTTATAAGCTTGAGGGTCTGCATCCTACAGATGAAATGACTCCTGATTCAACAGAGCAGTTTGCAATTCCCCTTCCCACTGCAGTCTCCCAAGCCCCTCAAAAATCTAAAAAGGAATGTTGTGGACCTTCTGGAACATGGTGGGGGTAGGGACAGCACTTGGATTTACAAGGGAAAAGGAGACAGCAAAAATTGCCACTTAGATTCCTTACCTTAGAAAACAGGCGAGTGACAGGGAGACATGGTATAGATGTTCAAAATTATGCATGGTGTGGACAAAGCAGAGAGAAAGGTATTTTTTTCTCCCTCTCCCACAATACTAGAACCCATAATTATCCCATGATGCTGATTGGTGGGGAGTTTCAGGACAGACACAAGGATTTTTTTCTTCTTCACACAGTGCATAGTTAAATTATGGAGTTCACTTCAGTTAGAAGTAGCAATGGCTATCAATTTGGACAGCTTTAAAGGGGGATTGGACAAATTTATGGAGGAGAAGTGTTAGGTATATGTAACATTGCCTGCACTGCATGTTTTTTGCACTAATCAGAGTGGGAGGAAAGGGGTTAAAGACATAGACAAAACAGGACTGATATCTCTTTGAGCTGTGTCTTTTCAGTCCCTTTTATCCTCCTACTTCACCTGGAAGGGGGTCACTTGACTGTTTTTACTCTCTCCCCCCTCCTTGCCTGGAGAAAAGAAGCATTCTCTCTCCCCCCTCTAAGCTAACCATCTAACAGTGGACCTTCCTTTTGAACCAAGATATCCTGCATGAACATACCCACATCTCTGCTTCATGTAAGTCACATATGGATTTTTTATTAGATAAGCCATTTCTTTACTTTTATTGTAAGCCTCCCCATGTAAATTCTAACAAATCCAGGTGCGAGCAATAGCCGCTTAACTAAATCTTCTGTTTAATGTTCATTTCTGCTGAATCTGTATATAACTAAACATACAAAAAAAAAGTTCCCAACAGGAATGCTATCAGTGGCTTCTGGTTCTGATGGCCATGTTACTTTGGGTATCAAAGGTTGTATGCCTATTTACACCAGTTGCTGGAGGACTTGATCAGTAGCGTGCTCTCACACTCATATCCTATATTGAAGCAGGATATGTGGGGTCCTACGGGTAGCTGGTTGGCCACTGTGCAAAAAGAATACTGAATTATATGACATCTTAGTCGTCTTATGTTCTAATGTTAGCGTAGCTAGCCAAGTGAAAATAATTGACACAAATATTGTGTGTAAGTATACATATGCATTATTTTATAAATGCTTTATAAATATTTCATTTGCTGTTATCATGATTGATGAGGCACCTTCATTCCCAAATTACAGCATGGCCCTAATCTGAAAAGTTCAACTCCTTTTTTGATGAAGAACCTGCTGCAGCAAGTAAGAACAAGCTCAATGTACTCTTTCCATCTTTCTGAGCACATGAACAGCATTAGGTGGTGAGCAAAAGTAGAAACTTTGAAAGAGATACTCTTCTATGCCCCCAGTTCTCTAAGTAAACCACCCATGAGGCGTTTGGGTTATGGGGTAGCATAGAAATGGAAATAAATAAGTGGCTAGAATTTCCAGGGATGCAACACTCTGGACTTTGTTCAAACCACTCTATATACTGGTTTGAACATTTTAGCAACCTCTTATTACAGTCACTGAGACACAGAACTGGAAGACGCTCATTCAGCCTAACTCTCAATGATATGGGGAAGAAAAGCTGTGTGTGATTTTGCCTATGAAAAGAGATGTGGAGTCACTCAACTCAGTTCTTGGTTTCTCTAAATCTCCACATATAGGATATTAAGTAGAAGCAAGAAAAATGTGTGATTATAGAATTACAGAAATGTGAAGTGCTATTATAATCCATGGGCGGAGTAAGTATTTACCTCGCATAAGATTATCTTGACATTTCTGACATCTCTCATGAAATCGGCGGCATCCTGATGAATTTTGACGCAACTTATTGCATGGAGCTCTCTCCTGATCAGGTGTGTTCTGAGAGAACATTCCACTTTTGTCAGAATCTAGAGCAAACAGATGTAGAGAATGCATACAGTGTCATTAGCATACACAGAAGTTGTCCAATGAATGATAACTGAAATAGTATTAGTATATCTTGGTTGGTTTAAATCTCAAAGTAAGCATTGAAACAGCCATCAAGAGTCAGACTAGGCTGGCCTAGTTCAGTAACACTTAAATATGGAAGGGCCTCAATCATGTAAAAAAGGAGGGTAGGAAATCAGCTCTTATGAACAAAAAGAATGCATTAGGGAGGAGAAGTGAATCCCCCTGCCCTTTTGTGCTGTCCTTCCCTGTACTTTTCCTCACCAAGCACTTGTCTGCTTCTGTAAGGTTTATTTTGGGTATCAGAGTGCTGGCTCAGAGAAAAGTGCCTGGAGGACATAGGAAGAGGGTGGCCTTTACATCATATCCATGCACTGTTTCGCTTTTAAAATTGGAACTTCCCACCTTCTTCTATATCTGGAATGGGCAAGCATACAAGGTCTGGGGGACCCCATTGAAAGAGAAATAACAATAGTAAAAGAAAATTACCATTTTGCAGATGAAATAAACCTCAACAGTGCCAATAGGGTTCACATGAGCTGTAGTTACCCATTTAACTGTTCTGTAGCCACAACAGAGTGCCATTTTATCTGTTCTGGTGAGAGTTTATGGGGGTGATGACAGCAGGGACTAAATGAGGTTAGCAAGCTGCTTGTTGCCCATCTCTGTTCTATGTGATTCTGAGACGCTCCATATTTTAAGCAAATGGAAAGTGAAAAATACATTGAAAGAAACACAGTCAACATATTGGCTATAAATTGTAAAGACCTACATGTCTTAGAATCAGATGATTTAAAAAACCACATTCTCCTGTGTTAGTCTGATGTGGTTTTAAGATCCCTTGAGATGGAGGCCCTTCCCTCTGTCCTGCTACTGAAAATTTTGAGAGATTTGGTGAATTGGTCCCCACAATTTCTCTTCCTACAAACAAGATGGGGAATTTTGAAAGATGATTTGCACACAGTTTATATTACATGCCTTTCTTTTGTTCTGCCATCTCTCTTGCACTCTCTGTGTATCCTTCAAATGTCTCTGCGATCACTTCACCAATTCCTTCCAGGACAGTTCTGCTGAAGTCAAAAACTAGTTGGAAGAAACCTGGTAACTCCCAGTCTTTGGGGGAGCCAATTTTTCTTACAGGCTCCTCAGGGGAAGCAGGCAAAAAATAGGGCTCTGTTAAGTCTGGCTCAGACATAAAATATATTTGAAAAGATTGATCAAATTCTTTCTGCATCTGTTTGAAAAATAAAAAGCTTTTTTCAAATATTGTGCCCATGTCAGACAACAGCTGGTTAAACAAATTTTCCATTTGTACAAGCTGGGCATCCTCTTTCTTAGGCATAGTCTTTTTTTGGTTAAGCTGGAGATCTTGCCCTTGACTTGCATAAACAGGAAATGACCATGGAGTCATTTTCCTGAAAAAATCTTCAACCTGTATGTGTGAAGAGAGAAAAATTAGCTAGTTACTCAGTTGCTATCCTGTTTCATTGCAAAGGGTTTGGTGGGAAAAGACACAAATATTTTGAAAAGCAACTTTTCCTTATTTATTAATGTTGCTGAAATATAATACTCTACTATATCAGTGCAGTTGTGATAATTTTACCAAAAATTAAGCATACAGTCAGTTGTATTATACTGCAAATTAACCAAGCACCAAAAAAACAGTTTGTGTCAATTTAACCATGAGCATTATCACTGAGAATATTAATCCAGCTCAGGAAAGAAATGGCTGCAATACTGGAGGCTTGCAGCACCATCTTATGCATATTGAATTCGAAGGATGTCTCAGCATCTTCATTATTCAAGGCTGCAGCCAAAGGGAGCAGTTTCAGCATCATCAGGACTTTCAGTCACCTTCAGTTTGCAATAGCAGAATTTTACATTTTCAAAAATGGAGAATCAACTATGGCTTCCTTCCTTCCTCTTCCAAATTTGCTTAGGGCAGTTCATGTGAAGCATGAAACTGCCCCATCAACTAGTATTGCTCATTTGGATTCTCCACTCACTGACCATGCACACATTATTACTTCAACATCATCAGCTTGTCCCTTTTCCCCATCCACCACTTTAACTAAGCTGCTTTTTGTGTTAAGTTGCCTGACAAAGAGATCAGAAGATCCTGAAAGATAAATATTCTTGTGACCTTTGAAATTTCACAGTGATGGATATTGGGTTTATTTCCTATGACCAACATGGGTATCTTCTTTTTTTGGGGGGGGGGGGGTCCAACAAAGTAACTCACTAAGAAAAGCTGTGTGACCCATATAAATTCTGAATCAAAGCTAACTGACATATAGTTGCTTATGTTTCAATCTGTTCCTGCTAATTAAAAGGCAGGTGTAGTAACCTGGAGTGTGCAGGCAATCCCATTACAACTCTCTGATCTTTTGTCTGTGGAGTGTCCAGTTCATGCCCAGCTCTGAGATGGAGGCTGGAAGATTCCAAATTTTCAGGCACTTGAACGGTTTAGTTTTAACTACATTGGCTAAGTGGTAGTGTTTGTCCTACAGATGACCTCATCCAGTTCATCTGCATCAGAAAAGAGAGGTTTCTATCTTCTAGACCTGGATAAGATTGGAATCAGTATGGTCTGACTGAGTGGACTACTCCAAGACAACCATGACAGAAGGTCAAATATTTCGACAAGGTGCTGAAGGCCCCAAAATTCTATTTAGTTCCAAAATCTTTTGGAAATGTTAGTAGGCATCAAACTATTATCATCATTCAAAAATAAATGCCACCTGTGCTTTTTGTGCTTTTTTCTGTGCTTTTACACATTTATGTCATGCACACAGCTCAGCCTATGAGTAACAGCATGAAGCTTCTGCTGAAACACACACACATACACACACACCTTACCTTACTTGTAAATGTGGCCCGCCCATGCTGACAAGTGGTATAAAATTTCATGCAGTTACTTTCTAGGCAAGATTTGCACTCATCCCACAGATTCTTCAGAGTGTCCTGGCATATGTTTTCTTCTTCCTCAAGTCTTTCTTTTACTTCATTCATAAGTCTCAGAGCTTCCTAATTAAGGAATTTGTTATAAATTCTCAGTCATGATTTACATCAGAGTTACTTGTTTCAGAATACGTTTTACACATATATGAATATGAACAGTATATGTTCTCTACAACTGCTGTGTCCCACCTCATTCTCAAATACTTATTTTTTTAGGGCAGAAAAAGCATTTACCTGCTCAAACTCAAGACACATTTTCTGCATTTTCTTATTTCAGGATAGCACCATTTAAATTATTTTTCCTGCTTGCAGCTACAACTAACATATAAGCAAAGTGTCATTCTGCAACAAAATGGGATTGGAGGGGTGGGGTGGAGAAGTGCATGGTAATGACAAGAGTACATCCCTTCCTTTTCCCTCCATTTCTACTGCTCAACAATCTTGCTAGCTCCACAGAAGTATAGGACCTTGCATTATACCTATTCAAAGTGTTTACACCAATTGGCTGTTCACTCTAGAATTTCATACAAAATCTTTCACAGTTGTACCTTGAGATGCCTAGATGTGAACATGAGATTTCTGCATGGAAATTACGTGCTCTACTATGAATGAACTGTGGCCGTTCCCCAAGGAGCTTGGTCTGGGGACTGTCGCAGCCACAGTCCAGCAATACTGTAACAATAGCAATCCTGGTCCTCCTCTCCTTTCTTGGATTTATAGTGGAAGAGTTTCAGGTTGCTGCCTCCCTGTGGTCCTGAAGCCATTGTGGGGATTTCTTTTCAGCTCTGGGGATGAACATGGCATTCAAAACCCCATAATGGTATTTTGGGCAAAAACAAAGCTGAGAGAACATACTCCCTCCTATTCAGCATAAGGAACACTGCATGTGGCTGGTGCAAGGGGAATGGCATTTCAGTAAACAAATGTGCATTCTTCATCCATCTCTCCTTGGATGCGAGCCCCAGGACTAGCAGTTGAGAATTCGTTAGCTCCACGACTAGCAACTGAGAGCTTGTGCCTGTGCACTATTCCCTGTCATAAAGGTTTTATGGTACTATGAGTGTAATGTGCATCCAGAGTCTTAGACTCTGGTTTAGGTGCTTTGAGGAAAGGAAAGGTTTTTTTAAAATACATATACAACATGATTATCTGACATCCCCGGAGCATTAAGCACCCCAATTTCTTTGGACCTGCTTCAGGTGCCCTCTCACATCTGCATGCAGAGTACTCCCAAAAGGACGATTACAGTTCTTCTTAATAGCTGCCATTTGAGCATGCAGTTAGTCACAGGCAAGCAAGTATGTGGGTGTGAGTCTGAGTTTCGTACCATATGGTACCCATCTGTTCAGCTGTTGCTTTTCTATTGCCTCATATCCCAATATAGATACTCGGCAGTCCTGGTAATTTATTACAGTGGAATGGGGGGGTTTCCTAATATGATGAATGCATGAATTGCTTGTAAAGACATTAGGTATTTTAAGGAGTATTATTATTTATTATTTACTGCTTTTGTATTCCGTTCCTAGCTATCAAAGGTCTCAGAACAGTTTATAACAATTCAACAGTGTAGAATACATAGTTATACAGCAAAGAATCACAACAATTAATAACTATAAGATAGAATTAATAAAATTAAAATCCATCCACGGAGGCCCTTGTACCTTGCCCGCCCACATTTTATACTTGCTCCTAATACCACAGTGCCCATAAAAAATGAAGTGGCATTTTTACTATAATTAAATAAAATCAAACTAAATAAACAAGCAACAAATGAAATAAATAAATGAAATAAATAAAAATAGTGCAATTTTGATAAATACATAGAATTTACAATTAACTCGTGATTGTTTGTAATAGTGCAAACAGTAATCCAGTCCTTTGTCAGTGGAGTTCCTTATCCATTGTCATTTTTGAGTTTTATAGGAGCTATTGTGATGTTGAACTCCTTCCCCCAAAATACGTTTGCCACCATGGAGCATGGTGGAGAATTTCCAAAAAGCTCAGAATAACAGCTGTAATAAATAAAGAACCCTGCTTTAATTAACTATTTATATGCCAACACAAGGCATCATGCCTTTGGTTTCTTTGTAAATAAAGGGTGGTTTACATCTTTGCTGAATAATCACTGGGGACCATGCTAGGCCATGAGATGCCCTTCTCTGTAAAAGCTTGCAAAAAGTTAAAAATACACAATCTTATTCTGTTTTTTTAAAAAACATTTTAATGACCACTGAGGTGCTGAGAATTTCCTCAGTTGCCCCCACAAATTCATACAATTAATAGGATTCTACATAAAGAGGACATTGGCTATTAAATCAAGCTAAAGCTTTGAAAGGTATGTTGACAGTTATAGATTGCTTGTAAAAGTAGACCAAGAATGGGCAGCTTGGGGAGTCTGAAAGCCAGTTTCCACCCCATAAACCCCAACAGGTCACACTCCTGCATCAATAAGAAGAGCAGGGCTGCATATTGTCCCCCACAAAATATACAATAGATAGCAGCCTCTCTCTCCAGATGCTCTTCATCTGTGCTATGTAGAACTCCTATAAACTCCAGCCAGCTTGACTATGTTGGCTGGGAAGAATGGAAGCAATAATACAACACATTTGGAGGGTACCATTTGGGAAAGGCTGCAGTGAATACCAGTTTTTCGGAATGTATAGGGACATCATAAGAAACAGACTTGAAGCAGGAACTAGAGCAGCTATAGATCTTACTACAGATAACTTCTCTAATGAGAACCCAGTTCTGTGAACCCTAGACTAAAAGTAAGCTCCACTGGGTTCCTGAGACAATCTCCACAGGAGTGCATAGGACTGCAACTAAGAATGGAGCTCTGTCATTTACAAACCAGATGAAGTAGCAACTTCAATTAGAACTTACCTTTGGTTTAAAATGCTTCTGTCTGTTCTACTTTCTAGATCACAAAAAGGACATTCATAAAGTGGCACACACATTTCTCAAAACACCTTGAGTTCAGCACTGAAAACATGTATCTCAGGTAGTCCAGCTCTAAAAATATTATTTCTATTTATACATTACCTCTTTTTCATAGCTGCTCTTTTTTAAGGTTTTCATCAGATCCATATGTTTGACTTCATTTCTTTCCATCATAATTTTCATCTGTTTAATGCCAATCAGTGCTGTCTTTACCTCTTCATCTACATATTTCTCTCCAACTTCTGATAAAACTGAGGGGTGGGGAAAATGCCATTTGTGCTTGTTAATAAATAATACCTTCAATTGTAGTACAAATGCTGAATTATAATCAGTATATGCTGCTTTGGCAAATAGTAATAATGAGATAAAAATTGATGGTGCATCTGTATTTCTGTACAGACAAAAAGAACAAAATCCTTTGTATAGAGGGCTTCTCTATATGAGGCCTTTATTGTGCAATCCCAGTTCTTCACTCATTTAAGTTGGAGGGTCTTTTTCATGACATCCTCCTTTTTCAGGGTCTCCCCCATGTCTTCCAGCAATTTCCACAGTTTTTGGTAGAGCAAGGAAAGTATGCTATTAAATTTCGAATTTGGAACAAACAGGAATGAAAGTCTCCTGTATTGTAATACAACTGTACCATAATGGCACTCTCTGGTTGGATAATGGAATATATAGAAAGGAAAAGAAAGAAGAACCCCAGGGTGGCGGTGGGGGGGAAACGCATGTAAAGGATGCATTCTTCTTCCTGCAAAGAAACTGAAGAAGAAATCTCAGTAGAGTAGCAGCTTAAACATCTCATTTATAGAAGCTCAGAGAATCTGGAATTAAAAAATGCTAATAATCATAGTTCATTCTCAACAATCATATATTTTAACTTACTGATACATGCATTTGAATTGACAGAATTCTCATTTTCCAAGGTATGCCTTATTAAAGTGTCAGCAAACTTGTCATAAGAATTTTGGCATATTGGTATTGTCCCAACTGGCAAAGTACCAAGAGATTTCCTTAGCAATTCCACTTGGCCATTTGAGCCAAAGAATAGACATGTTAGCATGCAAAACCTTGAAATATAAGTTATATTTGTTCCCTTTTAATGGAAACTCAAGAGTATCAAGTGGAACTATTCAAGCAAGTACATAATATATCGTATGTGAAACTGCAAACTGCCATTTTCATACTTCCCCCCTACAGAACAAGATCTTCAATATTCCTTCACTGGGTTATGTTTTCTTTTCCTTTGGTTTACCAAATGGGTTGTTATCACTTTTCCACTCTTGTCTTCCCATCAGTCCTTAAGTACCCCACCCAAAAAGTTTCTCTTAAAGGTATGAATATAATAATCATTTCTAAATATGAGTGTACAAATATATCCAGATATGCAAATTTTATGCAAATCTATGCTACATTGTCTTCTCTTTTTAAAAAACTGCATTTTCTATGTTTTATACAAAGCATAAGAGACTGTGCTGTATCTGTTTTTATATATGCTTATATAATTTTCATTTACTGCCCTATAAACTACTATTTATATATTTGTGTGTGTGTGTATAGGAATTCCTATTCACAAAAATTCATATGATTTCAGTAGAAAAATAACTGCCACTTAAAATTATTTTAAGGGTCTTCTACTCTTCACCATGGAGCTTAGATTCACAACCAATTTATATTAGATAAAACATAAACTGGTTCTGCCAGTATGACAACCATATTGTAGTCATATGTTTGACCACTGCCATGTTGGCACAACAAAATAAACACATCTTTGCTTGTCATCTGTTGCAGAATACACACTAGATATATATGGTTTTCCTACATGGAGTTGATTTTGTGTAGGATTTCTACATGAAAAGTTCCTATGCATTGGAAATAGCTTGAAGACATAACTATAGATCATCATATGTGACAGATACACATGTGATGATCTACTGTTTCTCACTATTTCTCTTCCCCACCTTTTGACAAGCCAGACCCTCATGGTAGCCATTATGTCACTTAGCCACATCTTCTATGGGATCCATTTTGTACCCACAGGCTCCAAGAAGTTGGGGTCCCTGTCCTAAGGATTTAAAGTGTACGTACCTTTCAGGTTTTCCTCAGGCTTTACATCTTCTTTGATAGGAGCACACTGATGTCCTCTGAGCCATAATAAGCACATTACAAAGACCAGTAAAGTCTTCATGTTTGCTGTATTGAAAATTATTAGAATATATTCGGTTCTGAGTTACCCTTTTCAGAGACACTTCAGATAGTAGTCAGGCTATGAGGATTAATAAAGAAATATTATGCAATTAGTGTTTTCTTCTTGTATTATATCTTCTCCTGATATTAATTTATCATATTGTTTTCCCACAGGGAGAGCAATGCCCTGATTTTAAGTTTTATTCTCCCAGTATATGTAGTGTTTTAGAGAGTATGTGACAAAATCTATACACTGTATTACATGCGCAGTACACACAAATGCTCTTAAAACAGCTTTGTAACAATTCTAGGCCTGGCATTTCCTATCAAAGGTTATTTTTTCATAATATATATTTTAATGAAAAGCATTTCCATCCTTTAGTTTGACTTTGGATGTTGCCCATAATCTTTATTTTCCTTATCATACAAATCTATATTCTGCTCAAGACTTTTAATTTTGAAATATGTTATCACAGGTCTTTAGTTTTACTGCAAAGAATACTATAGGTTTGTTTCATTTTCTTCCCTTTCTCCTTTTAATCAAAGTTTTCAGAATAGCAATGATATACCAACTTGATGACTTTATAACAAATAAGGCAGTATATAAATGTTAATAAAGAAATAAATGTCAATTACCACACAGATATGCAGATATATCTCTCATAGATTTATATTCATTTGCCCAGGAGGAGCAGATGGCCAGTACATTTTGTAGGAAAAAAAAAACCCGCCAACAGATTGTAATAGATTCCCCAACACATCATATTTACCATTTATGCTGATGAATTCTCTTGCAAAGAGAACTCTGGCTTCAGGAAAGAGTGCTGCTGTCCCAATTACCATGTGTGTCATGGATTTTGTCTTGTACTACTTAGCTAATGACAAGGTACTTAATCCTATTAATGGGATGTTTTGTGATTAGACTCCAGGATTTCTCCTTCCAAGAACAGAGCTTGCATCCAAAAATAAACACTAGAGGGAGCATAAGACATAACTGTGCAAAAACAGATTTGCTGGTTCCTTGCATTGTATATGCTAGATGTAACAAATGGTTTGCTGAATTGCTCTTTTTAAACTAGAGATAATACAACAAGTCCAACTGGCAATCCTTACATATTCCTCTCTTTTTGGATACAACAGTGCAAGTTTTTAGCTTCTTAGTGTCAATTTTTAATATGTACCCTGAAGATCTTACCTGTTAAACTTGCACACTTGAGTTTGTATTTTTATTTTCCTACTTGAACTGAGGAAATGTAACATAGTTGCTGGTTAACTATGGGTAGTAGTAGCTGCTGAATGAAAATGAAATAGAAATAGCTACAACCACTAATATATGAGTCAGGAATTGACTGGATTGTGGCAATTACATTGGGGTTAGACTGTGGCTCAGGGGAAGTCAACCCCTGAAACTTAGCAGCTGCTTCTGCCTCCCTTTTGAGAGGAAGAGCTTGGAACCTGGGGCAATCTCAACTACTGCTGTTGGCCACAAAACCCTGCTGTATGTACACATTCCTGATATCTTTTGCTTGCTTTAAACATTTTAAGCCACTTTTTTAACTGAAAACAGGATATAAACTAGGATTTGCGTCTGGGGCTGGCATTGTTGGGCACGGGCCAGGACCCACATCAGTTCAGAGGTTTCTGTTGATTCCTGGGGCTTTTTGGTTCTTCTGCTCTTCATCCGCACTGTTGCTACCTCATTCACTTGCCTTCCCCAAGCATGCAAGCCAAGGCAAAACTGAAACCAGGAGCACCCTGTCTTTGCTCTGCACCATCCTCTGAATGGTTGTGCAATTTGAGGGCAGAAGAAGAGGACAAGAAGTGAGCAACGGTGACAATGAAAAGGAGGAAACAGGCCCATTCAGAGAGGGAACCTAAGACCAGCCCTACCAATGGCAAAATGAGGGGGCTACCTCAAGCAGCTGATCTGGGATATCATGGAAAAGCATGAAATGATTATTTTTTATTTTGTATTGTATTTTATTGCCAGGAAGTGGATGAAGATATGACATTTGCTGCTTTGGCTTTTAAATACTTGGGCTGGGGTGGACCATTGAGGACATCTTGCCCAAGTCCACCACAAACTTGAACATGCTAACAAACAAGGTCCATCAGACCAAGGCAAAATCAAGGGCTAATTTACTTGCAATTTTTGCTTGCCTTGAAAGTGGTTTTATGCTTTCATATGGAAATTGACTAGACAATGCAAGCTTCTATCTTTTCTGTTGTGGCCCCCAAACTCTGCAATATTTTCCCTTAAGTGATCTATACATCTCCATAATCTCTCCAAAGTATCTGCATGGCAAAAGGTATTAACATGTATAAGGTGTGGCCATAGCTGAAATATGGCATCTGGTCTTCTGTGATTTTATTCTGTTCCATTGACCTTGTTCACTTCTCCCATCCCACCACTACTGGCATTATTACTCGTACATTTACACTTTCATTTAAAAAAGCACTGCACTATTCATTGTACCCTAATTCTCACTTAATTTTACTTCCTGTAGCTCTCTGTTAAAATTAACTGCTTGTCACTGGATTTTTATTAGCCTTTTCTCAGCTGTCATCAATCCTATTTGAAATATCTCTATAAGCATACTGCAAAATGCCCTTTCCCATCATTCCTTATTCCTAGAACTTAATTTGTATTTATTTTTTAAAAAATACATGAGTTGCCTTTTGGCCCAGTCTAGCCTCATTAGGGAGTTCTGTAATACACTCTATTGAAATGGGGAAAATACAGTTATTACAGAATAACTCCATTATTTATGTTATGTCATGTCATGTTATCTGCATTTATGATTTATAATAACTCAGATCTAGAAAATAAGTTGGAATCCACAGATTCTAAACTGGGGTTAGATCCATACTTAGGATATAATCCTATGCAGGTTTAGACAGAAGACAGTCAGATAACTCCATTCTGCCAGCCAGCCATGCTAGCTTAAGAATGCTGGGAATTACCAGACTTTTTTCTGTCTAAGCATATACACGATGGTGGCATTAGTCATCCTTATAGGAGGCCCACTGAAATCCTGAATAGCTTAACTCTTATTTTTTAATGTTCCACTCTAAGCATTACAACCAAACATCTGTCAACAAAGCTGTGTACACTCACTGGAAAAGAAATCTCACCTGGAATCCAATATCAAGTTGCCTTTAAGAAAGTCTTGCTGAATTCAGTGGGCTCCCTTCTGAGTAGATGTGTATTAGGTTACAGTATATGTTGAAATTGATAAGGCCTGTTTCTATGTCATCCCTGATGCAGTGGGGTTGTTCTACAGGTAGAAGCACATTTCCACAAAATTGTGTGACTTACTGAGAAAACAAGTGCCTGAGGCAGGAGGTCAAAATTCCCTGCATTTAATAAAAATCCAAATCATTTTTAAATGGATTTGCTAAACATTGCATCTCTTTCTTGAACTGGGATTTGTTAGTAAAATAATTCTGATGCATTTTAAAAGTCAGAGGAGAAAAATCTTCTTACGCTTTATGATTAAAGGTAAAAACTTAAACTTACCATATAAGAAGACAAGGCTTCCATTCTTCTTGTTGAATAGAAATTTTATTGCTTCAGAAGACTTTATAGTTCTTCCTGGAAATGAAAGTTTCTACTTTATCTATTCTAGTTACTCTCCTACCACATTCATTTTTTATGAACTTAAAACAAATACAAAATAACTTTAATTCCAGTTTAGCTGCATTAAGAATTATTTTGTTATAACTGAGAATTAATATTTATTTTTACAGTGTCTTTCTCTTGTTGTAAGTTACAATTTTAACAATGTGTATTTTTTACAGCTGCTTCTGGAAATACAGCCACTATGCTGCCCCCTTATTGCTAACATATAATTCTCTAATGCTTTGAAGTCCTTACATATAAACATTGGTTACCACGGGAAAAGATAGAAATAATCCTGCAAATATCATTTAAATAGAGGGTTCCAGTAAGGATGGCAAAGGACTACTGTGGAAGAGGGCAGAATATGGTCAGGGCAGGGGAAGGTTAGAGAAATAAAGATGAATCAACATAAATTCTGGAAGAGAAAAAATGGATCCTTCACTGGAAGTGCATAGCATTACTTTTGAACAGCACCCATAGACTTGGTTTTTATGATCCTACAAATCATTGCATGTTGTTACTTGAGATGGGTCTTTCTATCATGCAAGTCTGGACTGTCCCAGCAGAATGGATGGTTTGAGGACAATAAACCACCCTGAAAACTCATGGCTTGTTGTAGAGTCGTTCTAGCTACAGTGGTTGTGTCCTCCAAAGTTAGGTGATGGACCTCATCATCATGTATTCGCTAGCAAGCCATTTTGCAGGAGTGACAAACAAACAAAAAAACCCTTCATGTTGCTCTTGCCAAGCATCCCCAGGCAGCTACCAGGGTGATCTGCCCCACAATTTCCCAAGTGGCACTTGGAAGCATCGCAGTGGCTGAAAGTTCACCTGCCATGATCACAAGCTCTGATCATGAACTCTGGCTCCTTTTAAAAGAGAGTGGCTCAGACTTTTCCATGCTCCAAGCACCTAGAATGTCAGGAACAAATGTAAATTGAAAGCACCCTTAAGATAATGTTGTCCTCACCACTAGGAAAAAAGGTTCAAATCATGAAGTGGGTGTAAATTCCCCCACCTTTGCTTCTTGTGTGAGCAAAGATCACATACACATTTGGATTCCTTGGATTCCTTTGACAATCCGACTTTTATCAGCTGTGAAGAGAAACCAAAGGAAAGAAAACCCCTACTTGGGTCCAGGGCTGGTACCTGCTAGACATTGGCAGCAGATACTTCCAGGACACTGAACCTACGAAGGTTTCAAAATTCTTCTCTTGTGGAACTGCATGCTTTTGCAGTCATGCAATTGTAGCTAAGCACAGTTTTTAAAAGTAAACAATTGTGCATATTGTGGATGCAAAAATAAAGTTTTAAAAATTGTTTAGCATCCACTGACAGACCCTCCAATATCTTGCTTTGGCACTTTGAGATGGCCGTCA